ACGAGTCGATTGGGTGGCCATTTTTAGCGGCATCTAGCTCTACTGGGTGCGGCACAATCTGCTGTGCACATTTGGGCCACGTGACCTTTGCTGACCTCTGTAGGTCAAACGGCTGAGAGTGCCCCCGAATGACTTGGACTGTGGCTTGGGCATGTCCATGGCCTACCTTGTGTGCGAGTTTCAGCTGATCGCTGTGCAAGTGTATTTTCGACAATGCCCACAAATGACCTTAGGTCATCGCATGACCTTGAGAGGTCACATGAGTGTTGGGAAAGTAAGATTAGATGCTGGCGAGTCGATTGGTGCCATTTTTAGCGCTCTAGCTCTACTGGGTGGGCCACAATCTGCTGTGCAAATTTGGGCCACGTGACCTTTGCTGACCTCTGTAGGTCAAACGGCTGAGAGTGCCACCGAATGACTTGGACTGTGGATTGGGCATGTCATGGCCTACATTGTGTGCGAGTTTCAGCTTGATCGGAGGTGTCCCGAATCTGGGCTGAATCCGGGCTGAATCTGGGCTGAATATGGGCTGTCTTGACGGACGATGTGGAGGAACGGGACTGTTACCCTGGACAATACGGTATTACGTGGGTAAAGATAAAGCAACCAGGAATGGGACGGGCCAGATGTGAAGCGTCGAGCGTCTTCGCGGCTCATCTGTGGTGACTGGCGCTGTCGTAGCGTAATAAGATGTGTCACCACTATCTCCGCTATCCCGTCTGAGATGGAAAGTGTCGGAAAATATCACTCTCTGTGGCAGTGTAGTTTAAGTATGCGAAGTCTCATGTTAATCGTTACACGAAAATTGTCCTCTTCTCATTCAATGTGTTATATAAAGCGCTGGCCCCTAACACATGGTGCATTGACACTCATTGTATACCAGGATACCTACATGGCTAACGGCAAAATGTGCTGTCATGACTCATGAAGCCTTCTAAAAGCTTAAATTGAATCAGCTATCACAAAGACTTTCAGGGATCAATGGATGTCCGTTCTCACCTTGAGCCCCCGGCCCGTAAATCGGTACCGTTCATCAGAACCGTTTAAAATTGTTCAGGTGGGAGGCATGTGCTAGGCATGGGTGTGTATTTTGTAACGTGTATCACTGTCGATGGATATGATGTCGGTTGTGTGTATTTGGGAACGTTCATGTGTTTTCGTGCTCAAGCGTTCGCTCGTAATCGTTCGGCGGCCTGAATCCTCGATTGCGGTCGCTTCTCCCGCCGCTATTGGAACCACTATGTGGTGGCTGTGTTGACTGTTGTGAGCTATACCCCTGCACGGTTCAGTGCTCACTGGACTTGAAGCCGGTTAAAATGGATGATTGTGGTCAGACTAAACGTTCCGGGACCTTCAAATGCAATGAAACGTAAAGGAATACACGTTTTTGTTATGGTAGCCGAATGCCGAAATAAAACGACGAAGGCCGTATTTTAAATTTATAATAGAACTTTAGATATAAATAAATAAATAATTATGCTTCCTAGTCCATTGCTTTCGAGAAACAGCAACGTTTCAACAGCCACGATTACAGCGTCTCCATTCATTGCACACTGGCTGTGTGCTGTTACGAGCGCGGGCGGTCCCGGTATCATTCCGGCACGCCCGTTTCCCATGCCCTGAGGCGGTGTTCGGTCATCCTCGAACACTGCCAGACCATCTGACGCCGATTCGGGGAATCGTACACACACGCTCGCTTCACTCCAGTGACCGCCCGTCAGCTGAGAGTCGCCCGACGGACACCGGCGCTGGTCCGCAGAGACAAAAAGGCTGCACCTTCTGCGCCGGTCCGCGGCTCGACTTTCACTGACCGTGTCAGGGCCGCGGGCGGTGCGGCAGATGACAGGGGGGGGGGGAGACGGGCGTGCCGCCGGGCGTAACTCGAGGTGTCAGGTGGCCGTCTGAAGACCGCACGGAGTGGCGAGGGACATGAGTGGTAATCGCTCCTGTTACAAATGATTGGCGAGATAAATGGACGAAATAAGTGCCGTTTGGGCCACAAGACTGTAGAACGGGACCGAACCGGTTGCCTCAAGATAATAACCTTCGGAATTCAGGGACACAGTGATCTGGACTATTACGAGCAGACCAGCGACACCCGAAACTGGCTGCTTTTTTACCAATATTATTTGATTTTTTTGTTGGGGGGGGGGGGGGGTAAAAAAGGCAAAGAAGCAATTACTTCTTCTACTACCTACTTCTACTTTAATTAACGAGGAAACGTTGTACTCTTACGGCGCATCGATATTCATTACTGTCCCGATTACATTACATCGATTTAGTTTATATTTTCTACGATCAAATAAAGATCGTAATTCATTCGTTTATGGTTAAATAAGATAGCTCGAAGCAATAATTAATTTCCTTTGTCACCCGTTTATCTTTTATATTTAAGCGGGATATATTTATAGGAATACACCGTTTATTATTTAACGGTAACGGTAACGGTATTAAACGGTAGGTACTATTTACATTTATTTAGGTATATTTATTCTTATGTTATTTTATTCTATGGTTATATTTATTCTTTTACGTGAATAGCTGAACAAGCTTTTTTGTGGGCGACATGAATGGGAAATAGTTTTGATAATATTCCGATGTTGAATTATTGTCCTTGCTGAGACGTAGACACACATTACGCACTACCTAGCATTACGCACACCGTGAAGCCGTAATCGCCACGCCATATGTGGAAGGCTTTTGATTTATGGTTCTCTGGCTACGTAGAACTGTAAAGGGTAGAATTTACTTAAGAGTTAAGTTATTTATAATCATTTTAGCTTGGATATTCCGTTTTATTTTAAATTTTAGAGAGACAATTTAAGGTGCAATAAGCTTAAGATTGGCGATATAAAGTACAACGGACGAAAAACGGGCGATATAACGCACAACGGACGGGAGACGGGCGATATAACGTGTAACGAACCGGAGATATGTAATGTGCAACAGACCGGGAACGGGCGATATAGGTACTATGCAACACGGGACGGGAGACAAACGAGATAACACATAAAGAACAGGACGGAGGAAGCTGGACTATATAAGACTCAACTGACGGGAGACGAACAATATACCGTTCATCGGACGGGAGATATACTATTTAACGTGCAACAACGGACGGGAGGCAGGTGATATACTGCGCAACGTACCGGAGACGGGCAACGTGCCGTACAAAGGAGTAGAGACCTGTGATATAACGTTCAACGGGCGGAAGGTGGACGATATAACCAGGTTAGGCACGTACCGCAGGCACAACGGACGGGAGACGGACAAAATATGTAGCACAACGGACGGGCGACAGACAAAATATGTAGCACAACGCACGGGAGACGGACAATTAAGTACGTAATGGACGACATCGACGGACAATAGGTATAACAGACGGGAGACGGGAGATACAACAGACCGAAGACGGGCAATCCATAAAAAACGGACCGTAAACCTGAGATAACCTGTAAGGGACCGGAAACGAGTGTCTATCCTCGTGCAACGGACCAAAGACTGGTGAAATACCGTGCAATGAACGGGCGGTTCGAGATACAACCTACAACGGACCGAACGTAGAGAGACGATATAACTTGCAAGGTCGAAAGACGGACGATATGCTATACCATAAATTGAACGGGGTGATATGTGCCGTCACTGGCGTCTATAATGAACCAGAGCCGGTGCATCCCCAATGAATAAAAACGCAAACATCGAACAACTAAGCGGGGACATAAGCGGGCATAGGTTTACGGAAACTAACCGGAACAGTGACTCACCTGAGGGTCAGGCAGTGAGACGGAGTTCGGCGGTGCGCACTACCCCGCCCACACTCACATCGGTAACTCGGCGGGCGGCCGACGGGCTGTGGTCGTTATATAGACTCTCACCGGCGCGGCAGAGACGGCACCGACCGTCCCCGACTCACGGCGCCCCGTCGGAGACCCCTCCCCTCCCCCTTCCCGACTCGACCTTGCCGTCTCGGACGGTCCGGACTCCGGAGGAGGAGCAGTAGAGACCGAGAGTGAACTGTCCGGTCTCGTCTGGACCAGGCCGACCGTCCCGCATTTCTGATGGCCACCGGGGCATTTGAGACATTTTTCATATCTATCAGTGTCATCAGATCTCTGAGGCCGGATCGCAGCACTAACCTTGGGACAATATGGCTGATTAGGTGTACCTTTGCCTACAGAATCGAAAAGACCGGGCGGTTCATACCTACTTTCATGGTCTTTTCGGTTATAATTACAGCGTTACGTGCAAGTGCCGATGTCAAGTTCGCTACTCATGAGCTGAGCCAGTTCACCAGTTCCATGAGCCCACCCAGGCCCAATTGTCACAGAGCAGCAGAGCTGTCCGACTATCGATGTCGCTCGCCGGCTCGCTGCTTGTAGCACGGAAGCATGCAATATTGAAATTCAGCATAGCATATAAGTTGAGAAGGCTGCTCTGAACCCGTGAACCACCTATGAAGCCCAGTCTGAAGCCTACGTATATTAAAACAGTCTTTTTTTTCGTTCAGCAGCATGAGAAGTGTGGGGAAGGCGTAACCGGAACTAATAAACGGTTCCGGCTCCATTCGGTTATTCCGGTCTCCGTGCGAACTGTACCGGCGGATCTGGCTTCGGAGAAAAATGGGGCGGCTCCGAAGACCTCGGCTTCGTCTCGGGGTAAAAGCTGCCAATACCGTACCTGATTCTAACTCCAGCAAGTGCTGAATTCTGACTTCCGAGATTGACTGGATCAGTCAGCAAGCAATAAACCGGCAGGATGCGACTGGATCACGTCATACCCAGGGGTGAGCCGGCCCCGTCGTCATTTTTCGAGAAGAATGATTTCATTCAAGCTTAATCGAAGAATATGTGTGTACATTTCCCGATATTTTAGCTCTAACTTTGAGATGAAACTTGTAGGTAAATCGTCGTCTAAAGCTGGTCATGATTCAATGACGTCATTTGAAAGCTAACGATTTCTATACGCTTGTGTATTTTGAGTAGTAGTAAAGTAGCAACCTTGAAGCTGACTCAATTCGGCGTTTGTGGGCTCTCTCTATCGTCTGGAGGTTTCGAAAGATGCTCTCCAGAGATGGCGCTAGTAAGTTTGGCTGACATGACGTCATGCTTAAAAGTGATGGGTTTTGTGAGAGCAAATTTAATAATAGTTGAAAATTTTGTACTTTTGCTAAATTGAGAAAAAATAAATATACAATTGTTCAAAACAGCGTTTTCCTCATTCATCCTTCATTGTTTTGAGAGAAATATAGACAGTTTAAATCTTTTTTCTTGACCGCAATTCGCACACGCACTAAATTAAAAGCTGGAGTTTTGTGTGTTCGTAAATCGTGATTTGAGAAAATAAATTGACAATAATCTTTTGCACTTTTGCTTTACAATCATTTTTTAATGCAGATGAATGCATAAATTATTCAAAAATAGGCATATCTGTGAAACATTATGATTTTCCACAAGCAAATTTTCTAAAAACTTGAACTACTTACAACTGACGAACGCATCCAATAATCTGGATGTCTTAGGATGAGTTCGTCATTTTTTTCCCAAGGAAATACGATACAGTTTAAGCTACTTTACCGATTTATTAGGGTACTTTTGCCAATGAATTATTAAATAAATGACAACAATTAATCTCATTATCAACCATACTCGCAAGAATTTTCTTCGCATAAGCGCGAACACATCCGCGCTTTCATGAAAAGTAACGCCTGTAGATGTCAGGACTGCTGCTTTATGTTTCGCAAGGTGGCGCAGCGCGCAGGGTACCGACTACCGAGGCTGAGGTCTCCAGACTTTCCACCACGATTTAGCTTGGAAATGGCCAATGGGGAAGGTCTCACCAAAAAAACGGACGCCCTTTTACACAGCTGCAAAACGAGAATGAATTATTGGCATAGCTGACCATACGTCCCCTCCCCCTCTCCGCCCCAGCTCAATTGGAAATATCGCCTATTTTCCTTAGTCAGTTATATTTTGACTAATTTCTCCACTCTTCCCAGTAAACCTTAACATGCATGATGCAGATGTCCACTGCGTAAGTCGTGTGCTTGCGTAAGTGTGCCAACTATATAGTGCTGCCTACACTCTACAGTGCCTACTGCTTCCACCATTGTCGTTATAATTGGTGATTCTCAGGTCAAAAGTTACACAGTGGTCTCAGAGAACAATCGAGTTTCAACAAATTAACGATTCAAACCGTTGCATTCTACTTATATTCCGGTCAGTTCTGCTACTAAACGATTCCGGCAAAACACTCTTTAGCTTATGTATTAGCGAACCACCACACAAAATTCGCCCAATCAATGGTCAGTTATTACTGCTGGGCTGAACCGTCATACGCTATATAGCCTATTGCAGTCAATATTTTCAGAACGATACCGACTGACGAAACACAACGTATTCGCGGATTCGCACATACGTTGGCACCCAGGTGGCCTGTCAGCAGCCGCACAAATTGAGATGGTACACCGTAAAGCATGCCTTTCCACACAGGCACAAGCATAGAGACACAAATTCTCAAAATCCAAACTTATTCCAATACTGGTCAAATACTAATAGGCATAAAGTTTTGAGGTTTTCTCATGTTCATTCTTCTTTCAACACACGCGGCAGACTGCAGCAGAACATCTCACAGAGCTGCGCTGGATGCAGTCATGAGCTGGGACACGGTTTGTGACCAATGGCCGATCGGGGGTGCCAGCCTCCTCCCGGCACGCGATGCACTGGCCGCCGCGCAGTCGATGTCGGGGCACCGCCGGCATTCGCCGACAGGGTTCCATCCGATTCGGTGTATTGGTGGCAGCCCGAACAGTGACCCACGCGAAGCTGGTGGACGTTGTTGTTGTTGTTGTTTGACCCCCCGGCTACCGCCGGGGCGGTAGCGTAGCCGACCCGCTCTTGTGGGCCATGTATCCGGCGGCCAAGGCCGCCACCACGTCGTCGCGCCGGACATCGTAGGCCGCGCCGATGATGTTGCCCAGCGCACGGAGCCGGGGGCCGTACAGGCACGGGCATTCCAGCAACACGTGCGCCGGGGTGTCCGCTGCTTCAGAGCAGACTAGGCAGCGGCCCGCAGGGCATTACTTGTCGTCGCATTGAGCGCACTCAGGTGTAGGTCTTCGACCAATCCGGTGGAGGTACTGCTCCGATCGGGCCCAGTGGCCAGACCGGAGCTGGTGGATGTCGACGGCCTCCTCCCTGGTGGCGGTCCGGACCGGGGCGGGGGCGCGGTCCCCCATGACGGTGCGGTACCAACCGGCCGGCCAGTCCGCCTGCCACTTCCTCTTGGAGTGCCGCGCGACAGCCCGCGTAAGAGTGCGGACATCCACCGGCGTTGACTGCTGGGGGAGAGCGGCCGCCTCCTTGGCCAGGGCGTCCGCTCTTTCATTACCGGCGAGCCCACAGTGGGCCGGGACCCATTGCAGCGTGACCGTGCTGCCGTCGGCCGTCATGCGCCGGAGCTGGGCCCACAGCCTGGCGCCCAGTGTCGAGGCCTGGGCCGCAGCGCCTCCAGCCAGGAGCAGCAGAGCCGCCTTCGAGTCGTGGACGAGCTGGTGGACGTCGATGGCCGATGAGCGATGCCCTTCCGCGACCGGCGGTGGCAGTCGGTCCCACATCAAGAACAGATACCAGTCATGCGGTCAGTCGGCGACGGCGCGGTCGCGAGCCGATCTGATGGTCGCGCGGTGGGCGTTGCCGACGTCCACCGGGACCGTCGACTGGGGGAGCGCGGCCGCCTCTTGGCCGCCGCCTCTGGTCGGCGCGCTCGTTGCGCTGTGGGACGGCATCCACTGCAAGTCGTTCACTGTGAAGCGGTCGTTTGACCGGGCCTGGCAGGCGGGGAAAGGGGGCCTCAGATGAAGTAAAACCATCCCTCAGGCCAGCTTGAGCTGGCTCTCCACCTCACCATGTTAGATAAGCGGACATCCTCGTGATCATCGCAGCGATGATTGCCAATTGGTGTGTCATTATGGGAGAGGATGCCAGCCTCCTTTGCAAGATAGTCTGCCTTTAATATAGTGCAGCCCGACCCATTGCCTGTGGCAGCAGACTGGGATTGATAATGCAGTGCAGGACACACCAAACGTAAGCGGCCATCTGTACCCCCTGTGCAGTAGGGCTGACTCAAGAGCCCAGAGTTGCCCTCCCCCACCATTCTGTGCACGTGATAACTGGATGGGGCATGCCATGGTCAGCATCTGTTCAAAAGCTGCCCTAAGCATGTAAAGCTCCACTGGCATGCTTGAGCATGGTCACAGTCAGTTCTCACTTCTCAGTTGAACCTCCAATGGAAACCCATCACAAAGTAGAGATCAGGGCGCCTCTCACACTGCAGCACACTCAACGACTGAGGCACCATCTCTGTGGCATCTCATCACTTGCAGGTGGTTCTTGCCAGGAGCAATGCCAGCCACGCACATCAGGTGATAACAGCAGTGTACAACTGCCATCTACAAGCATCCATGTTCTTTCTGGTTTTCTCTTGTTGAGATCCACTGCCATGCATGAACTTGATGGGCTTTTGCTGCGCTCCTCCCATGTGCAGACAGGTTTCTGCTGAAACAAAGCAAAACAAATGTGATTAATAATGGCCCTGTTTCACCATCCAGACACTGTGTGCACTGGTAGCTACGGCATACCATAGCATCACTCAAATGACATTGCATGTGATACCTTAGTTTATGATGAATCACGTTTGGAACAGAGTGAGAGGTTCTGAAAAACCGTACCAAGAACAGAGGTTTGAGTTCAAATACTGCTAGCATGCTGCTGGTGCTGGTACCGCAGCGTGCTAGCGTTCTGGGATGCTGTCATAGCTTAGCGTCACAGTGAAGTTTGTTGACACTGCCATGGAAACCCAATGCTCTGACACACGCAGCGCACTGCAGTGCTCTGCCGTGAAACACCACCCATGAACGTTGGTTGCATTGGCATGACCAGGATCGGAGCAGTGTGGCAGACAGTGATTTTAATTTTAATTGCACTTCCTAGAGATTAACAAGTTGTTGGTGAAATTGCTATTCATTATTCCTATTACCATTGTCTAAATTTCACATTTCAAGACAGCATTGACATGTTATATAAAATAAGGTTTAGACTTCAGGTGGTCCCGGATTCAGTTTAAGTAGCACAAGGGCAAAAATTAAAAAATTGTCAAAAAATATTTAAAAAATACCTGCCTTCATCAACACCTCATCTAATGACATGCAATGCAATCAAACACAACAATTGTGGCCCTAAAAGCAAAAACCGTTTGAATAACAATGTCAATGTAATATTTTGCAACCGCTGCACCATTACTGTCACGTACGCTATCCCTAGATTGGTTGCTGGTAAGTAGTGGTTGTCGTCATCAACTCGTCATGCAGCAGCTGATTGGGATGGGCGGGGCCTATTTTTATCCAGACGATAGAGAGAGCCCGTTTGTGCGGTTCTTTATTTATGTCAATTTATTTTTGCATTATTTCGTGATTTTCTAGATTATTTACCTACATGCGGAGGCTTTGAAGCTGAAGGAAAGGTTTGTATAGTTTTTTAGATTAAAATAAGATCCCAGAAGCCGTCAGAAGCCGTTCTATGCTTTTTGCAGATGACACCAAGCTCTACCAGGAAGTGACCAGCCTCCAGGACGAGACTCTCCTCCAGATGACATTGATGCCTTGGGGCACTGGGCAGACAGATGGCAGCTTCCCTTTAACCAAGAAAAGTGTAAGCTGATGCACCTGGGATCCTCTAACGAATACTTTACCTACCAGATGAATGGATCCACCTTAGCTCAAGTGCACACGGAAAAGGATCTTGGACTTGTCATTGATGAAGACCTCAAGTTTCATGAACAGGTGGCAGCTGCAGTGGGTCGTGCAAACAGAGTTCTTGGTCTGGTGAAGAGGTCGTTCAAAGCCCTAGACAGTCGATCTTTGCCTCTCCTCTATCGGACTCTGGTGCGCCCTCACCTTGAGTACGCGAACGTGGTGTGGGGACCTACATTCAGATCGGACCAGGATGCCATTGAGAGGGTCCAGAGAAGAGCTACTTAGCTGGTTCGTCCCTTGCGTCACCTTCAGTACCAGGATCGACTTCGAGCCCTGAACCTCCCCTCCATGTACTATAGAAGGATGAGAGGAGACATGATAATGGCATACCAGATCCTGACAGGATGCCTGAGGGTGAGAGTAGCCGACCTCCTGCAGCTCGACACCTCAGATCGAACGCGTGGTCACCATCTAAAGCTGAAGAAGAGACGAGTGAACTCCCATCTTCGCCAGACCTCTTTCTGTCACCGCATTGTTGACAGCTGGAACAGCCTCCCTGCAGATGTCGTCGCGGCACTGAGCTTGAACACATTCAAGAATCGTCTCGACAAGCTGTGGGCGAACAGGAAGTATACCCTGCGGACTGACCAAACATACGGTGCCAGAATGAGCTAAAGAGCTACATGGTTGATGTAAGGGAGAAGTAAATGACCGGATTCCTACAGGTCCTTGTTGACCGTCCTCAATCCGTAACCTCTATTCTATTCTATTCTAATAAGAGGCACCTGAATGCCATTTGTACCGAGCTAATGGCTGAAGGTTGAGCTGAGGTGTGGCCAATGAAATGCAAATATTGATATAGGGAATATTGTTCAATTTCAATGTATGACGCCCAAGTGTATTGCTAACATTAAGCGAGATGCTATGTTTGTGATCCCTGTAATTACATTTGTTTAAATTTAATATGCCACTTTCCAGAAAATGTGTTGTTGGTCATCTCCCCATGATGCCAATGCCAACAGTATTTTCATAATTTCAAATTTGAGGGACAATTAGGCCTCTTGCCTTCTGAATTTTTGTTGCATGATTCGTTCGAACTGTTTTCAATATTCTTTCAAGCTAACAATTAAGTACGAATGATTGAGACAATTTTGAGCAGCCATTAGCCTTGAACTATTTGCTCGTATTGTGAATATGTGTGCCCATTGGTTTGAAATGTGTTCCGCCGCATCTGGATTTGTGTACAAAGTATTGAGTCTCGAACCTAAAGCATGATATATTTGGCCGGTGTAATTTTTTATGTAAAAATTTACATATGGTATTATTGTCAGCTTCAACTTTAAAGCAGCTATTTCAGTGTTAGGTTCAAAACTATGCAAAAAGTTGAATATTCTCTTGAATGAAAGGACACCTATCCATATAGCACTCAGTGTTTTATTTGTTATTTTTACAAACACCCCAGGTTGGTGAGGGGGTCCAGATCTATAAAAACAAATATTTGTAATCCACTTTTAGCTCCTCAATCCTACAGGCATCAAAAGATGATCTATAATGCTTTCTCCACTGACCAGCACCACATCTTTTACAGAACCTGTCATCACAGCATATCTCACCATGGCCAAGAACACGGCCAACCACGCATTCCGCAAGATCGACGTCGACCAGTACAACGAGGACCTGTACCGTGAGGAGGAGGCCGGCGACGCGGCCAACACTGGCCCCGACGAGGCGCAGCTGCAGCAGCTGCTGTCTGCGGGGAAGAACACGGACGCGCTGCAGTACGTGCTGCAGCAGGCGCCGGCCGGCAGCCGCAGCCAGGCGGCCAAGGACGCCGCCCTGCAGGCGGTGATGCGCGTCCTAACCGCCTTCCGGACGGCCGATATGGAGGCGGCCGTGCGCTCGCTCAGTCCCGACCAGTGCGACCTGCTCATGAAGTACGTGTACCGCGGCTTCGAGGTGCCCTGCGAGGGCAGCTCTGGCCAGCTGCTGGCGTGGCACGAGCGGCTCTATGCGGTCGGCGGCGTCGGGTCCATCGTCCGGGTGCTCACCGATAGGAAACGAGTGTGAGCGCTGAATGAGGTGAGACGGGGAGTCGGCTGGGCACGGGACGGGTCCGGTGGGAGGGAGGGGAGGGGTGGACGGTGAAGAAGCGGACAGCATGTCAGGATTTGTAGAGACCGACAGAACCTGTGGTGCTTGGAGGGGAGACGTTCTTAGACGTGGGACGGGTTGGTGTTATACGATCACTGCTGCAGCGCTGCGGACGGTTCTGTATTCCTTAGCAATACGAAATTCAGCGTATAGGTCGCATTGTCATACTTGCTTTTAATGTTCCTCGCAGGCCCGATGAGCTGGCAGTGATGTCGAAAACCCGTTCTCATTCTTTTCTTTTCTTTTTTGTTGGTCGACATTAATTACGATTGGCATGGTGGTTAAGTATTTTTTTTTTTTTTTTTTACAGTCATCAGATTGAATTGGTTTTCATGCTGATCCCTGTATTTGTACGACCCTTGAACGCCGTTTGTCGTCCGACGCGGACTTGTCGATTTGTCGAACCGGACGCGGTGCTGATAGCGGCTCGGCGACAGGAAATGTGTCGCGCCTCCTCCCTCCCCTCCCCTCGGGCCTCACACCCCGCCCCTCTGACAGAGCGTGCTGATCAACTGGAGATGCAGCCGGCGGCCAGCGGGCCCCGGAAGCCGCTCTGTCTAACAGACTGGAGCTGAGGCACGGGCCGCTCGCTGCACGGCTGGCCCTAGAAGGCTTGGTTCGTAACTTCACCGAGAGGCGGCATTGCGGGCGGCCGGTCAGAGCCGCCAGATTTCTGGACTGCTGAGCCGCACAGTGATGGCGAATGTATGGTGACCGGTGGGGTCAATGCCAAGCCCGATCGTTCGTGATTCTGTAGCTCTAATTGTTATCTTATTATACTGCTTATAATGCATATGTCAGAAATCGTGATTCCTGTGGGTTTTATACAATAAACAATTTGTTTCGGACTTGGGAGTAGTGCTGTCGTGGGAAGTGTGCTGAAGATGATGAGCAATACGCCACTCCAACGCAGATTTATCAGCGAGTGGACGTGACAAGTCACCGCTGTGACGTTTAAAGGCCATGGTCACATCTTACGAATGCCACTTAGGATCTTGCCGGTCTCATCTCAACGCAGTGCGCAAAGGACAGGACACTACGGGCAGTCACTTCGATGAGCAGGCATTCATGCCCAGTGCCTACTGCCCACTCTAGCCGCAGCTACGGAAGAACCGTGACCTAAACACACAATACACATTAAAGATTTATTAAAGTTCGGATCTGCCAAACAGAGATACAGTAGATACATAGAATAGCAAAGGTCTTCGCACGAACTGAAGTGGGCGCCGAGTGGAGCAGGTGGCCGCTCAGCTGAGATCGCGCCCGGCGCGCCGCCGCCTGGCGCACGCGCGCGCGCGCTAAAGACCGCCGCTCTGACTAGTAAGGGGGGAGGGGGAGGGCGGCGGCGGCCGGCCCGACCGCGCGCCGCCGCCGCCCCAACACCTAACAACAACCACACGGCTACACGGACACTGAATAGACGGCCGGGGCGGCGGTGGGAGGGGCGCGGCCGCCCCCCGCGCCGTGGGGAGACGCGGCCGGGAGGCGGCGTCCGCGCGCCCGGCCCACCGACACGCTCGCGCGCGCACGCACACACAACGACGACTAACGCGCTCTCACGCGGCGGCGGGCGGCCCTACCGGAGCGCCAGGTACGGGCGGCGGCCGCCGCGGCGCCCGCGCGCCGTGCCCGCTCCGGCGCCAATAGAAAACGCGGCGAAACGTCCGCAAAACCAAGTAGCAAAACACAACCGCTCTAAAAGTATAACAAATCCAGTAGGCGTGGGCGGGGCGCCGACGAGGCGCCGGTGGCGGCTGAGACGCAGTCGGTCTGCAGTCGACGACCGGCAGGCGCGACACAGGACACCAGCAACGGCTACAACACGGCTGGGGGACGGGACGGGGGGACGGGCAGCAGCGCACAGATGGCGAGACAGAGGGACTGCGAGGGCAGGGGGACAGAGACGGGAGTCAGACGGGCAGCAGACACCGACAGGCGTGAAGACTAGCTGAGGGCCCGCTCTGGGGCTGGCCGTGTGCGCTTGGACCGGCGCCGGGCGCTCACACGCGGTGCGCCGCGTAGTCGGCGTTGACGAACGAGAAGCCCTCGAACTCGACCTGGTTGATGGCCTTGATGATGTCGACGTTGATGGGCGTCAGGTTCGGCTCCTCCTTTGTGAACTCGGCGTCAAAGTTCACCGCGTCCTTCTTGCCCTTCTGCAGACGCCAGGCGGAAACACGGTCAGTTGGGGAACACAATTATCAGTTTCTTTCAACGTCCTATGCCTTCGTCATCGCTAAAACCCGCAGTCACCTATAAACTATTGCAAAGCCTAAAAGCAAGACACATTTATTGAACGATCTTACATTGAGTCTTGTCAATAATTCAACAAACTGATATCGTTCTTTTAACACCACGTAACCAGAGCTCCTTCACTAAAATGCTGTCTAGCCATTTTCTCTATGTAGTTTCAAAGCCCACCAAGCGCCACGTCCAAGCATACCCGATTTATAAAAATTCCATCCTCCTGCCTTGTCCCCTTCCCCCCCACCCTCGACTCACAATTTTCGGCTTAAACGGCGGCTTGACGCGGCGAGCCTCCAGTGCCTGCCAGTCGATCTCCTTGAAGAACGGGTGTGCCGGGATGGCATCCTCGCCGCCCTGCACCACCACGCAGCCCAGACGCTTGGCCGGGTTCTTGGTCATAAACTGGCGGCATGGCGCACACGCAGGGGATGGTAAATTAGGAGCTCAGATAGGCTCAGCGGTGAGGTGAGAGTTTTGAGCGCGTAATGAGAGTTGTCGTTTGGAGTTAAACTGCCGAAAGCAAAGTTCACAACAAAAAATAAGTTTAGCATTTTAGCATATACCATTGCTTGATTTGACTGTCGAGAATCAATGCATTGACATGAATAAAATCGAACGACAATCAGAACCAGAGCCAAGAAGGTAGCAAACAAGTTACTCAGTGTTATACACGTCTCTCAGTCTAGATAATATATTTTCGGACTGCCCTCTTCAGCAGGTTGACTATTTTCACGTCGAATTATTTGGTCATGTTTCCATCGGCGACGATCTCAGCCTCTCTCCCTCCGCGTTCGACTCACGCCCTTGAGTATGGAGACGGCCTCTCTGCTGAGCCAGACTGGGTAGAGCACGTCGTCATGCAGAATGCTTTCGAACAGATCATCCTCGTTGTCGGCCTCGAACGGCGGCTGGCCGGCCATCATTTCGTACATGAGCACGCCCAGCGCCCACCAGTCGACCGACGAGCCGTAGTCGAGCTCCTGCAGAATCTGTGGTACACAGAGGGACAGAGTGAGACGGGGATATAGAGACAGACAGATAGACATCCCCCAGTCGACCGACGAGCCGTAGTCGAGCTCCTGCAGAATCTGTGGTTCCCAGAGGGACAAAGTGAGACAGAAAGAGAAGATGGGACAAAGAGACGGAAACACAGAGAGACAGACAGAGATGGACACCATACGCCCAAGGGGTGACCGACGAGCCGTAGTCGAGCTCCTGCAGGATCTGTGTGAAACAACGGGGCGGACTGTGAGACTAACAGACGGACAGACAGAGAGACAGGCACAGAATTGCAAAGACCGCCAGTACACGCCCACCAGTCGACCGACGAGCCGTAGTCGAGCTCCTGCAGGATCTGTGTGAAACAACAGGGCAGAGTGAGACAGAGAGACAGGCAGACCTGTAAGACGTCCTGTGCCTGCACAGAAGAACAGAGCGAGACAGAGAGACCGAAACAGAGAGACGGACACACAGACATAGAGAGACAGGCAGAGGCCCAGTCGTGGGCTGAAAGTTCGTACCTCGGGCACACCCGTCAGTCGTTTCTACCCTCAGGATACTGAAATCCTTCTCCTCCACGCCGCAACCCTCTCCGGGCTGGACAGGCACCTTTATCTTATGCGGGCTGCTCCCTTGGAGCGGCTCCGCTGCTCCCCAGGGAGCGCACCCCGTAGCCGGGTGCAGAAAGTGCTTGGGGGCTGGTCGGCCTGTCCATTCGGACGGGCTCAGCCCCGGCGACTCTCTAGGGTGTCTGCCCAGACCAATGTCTCCCCCTAATTCCTATAATCCTTCCGGCTCTGAAATGGTCTTTTCAGACCGAAAGGGCCTAACCCAACAAAACAACAAACGTACCTCGGGCGCGATGTAGTCCGGAGTCCCGCAGAAGGTGTTGGTGGTCTTCCCGTTGATGATGCCCTCCTTGCACATGCCGAAGTCTGCAATCTTGCAGTGACCGTCGCTATCAAGCAGGATGTTGTCCAGCTTGAGGTCCCTGTCACAGACACAAGCAGGTGTTCATTCGTGAGTGGGTTAGGTGATTGCCCATTGCCCAAACTGCTGGTAGGAAGTACAGGCCACGGGCTGCATTTAAGTCATCGCGCGTCCAGTCATGAAAAATAATTCTAGATTTCGTTTTCTGCGGGCTGCGGATATCAAACAAGCAAAGTTCATGAGGAAGTTAATGTATCAAACATCATGCGCCTAAGAATGGTCTGTAAGCAAAATAGAACAAATCCAATAATAACTTCTGAATGAAATGCCATTGACTATCATTTCCCTATTCAAATCGTCTTCACACCGCACCATGAGGAAGCTTAACTGAGCGGGAGAAATACCATCATCTGGCAAATGCCACAGTGGCAATACTACCGACTCCCACACACCCACGGAGCTGCTAGCTTCATTCATATTACACCATCGGCAATCCCGCACTGCCAGTGTATCCACATTTGCCGCGGTCGGTGACCGTTGCACCCATTTAGACCGGCCTGCCTCCCACAATAGGACGACTCGGTGCTGTTTGGCCTGCCCCACATTACACCACTCGGCGGCGGCGGCGGCGTGGGACGAACCGGATCCTGTAGCGACCCACAGTCCAACAGCTCCACCGCCCGAGCGAGCGAGCGAGCGACCCAGCGACCCGGCACACCGACCGACCGACCGACCGACCAGGCGCGCGGGCACCATCCACCCGGTGGAAGCGGAGACACAGGACGACGGCGTGGTGGCGGTCTCGGCCACCGTCTACCGCGCCCAGCTTACTACACCTACTAGCTACGCCCCCTAGAGAAGGCTGGAGGGAGCAACAAGACCTACCGACCGACCGAGCGACCCACGACCGATCAACGACCGATCAACGACCGATCAAACGACCGATCAAACGACGCACTCACCGGTAGATGACGCCGTGTCGGTGCAGGAACCGCAGAGCCAGCGTCACCTCGGCTGCGTAGAAGCGCGCGCGAGGCTCGTCAAACTTGCGCGAGCGCTGGATTTGGAACATGAGGTCGCCGCCGTTGACGTACTCCATGACGAAAAACAGACGGTCCTGGAAACGGTACACAACGGATTAGAGGTCAGTCAAGGAAGGGAGGGGAAGGGGAGCGATATTACAACCATTATAGACTAAAGGTGATTCAAAGGTGTGAGAGTGCCGACGTCGTTGTCTGACGACAACTGACAGCTGACAGACAATAAACACAAAATCATAGGGATGGAAATTTAGAGTTAATGCGCTAGACGTTTGTGAATTAGGTCCCATAAGAGGCCTCTTGCACCAATGCTTAGATTATGCTGCACCGCTTACCATTCAAAGACACTACCGTGACAGTTTATCAATAAACCTCTACAAAACAACTAAAGGTTTACGTTATGAGTTTGTGAAAAAACACCGTTGGTTAGCTATGAAGTAGTTTGCCCTGATTTTACGTAACAAGTATTTTGGTGCAAGACGTCTCTCGTATCAATATTCCCTAACGCAAACTCCCTTTGCCAGCTACGCTATCCCTATCCCGGCACGTACTTTGGACTGAAAGCTGGAGTGGAGCGCCGTCAGGAACGGGTGTTTGGCCGAGAGCGCCAGGATGCGCTTCTCGGTCATGGTACACTCGACGTCGTCGTCCTGCACGATCACGTTCTTCTTCAGCACCTGCAATCGGCGGAGCAGGGGGCGGGGTCAGAAATATGACGCATGTGTGGGTGTCCTGACTGCCGAAGCCAGGTCAGAGATACAGGACAGGACACACAACATCGTAGAAAAAAAGGTGCTCGCCAACCCAAAATGCACTCCCGTTTAACCTCAGCGTTAAAAGGTGGTACGGCCATGAGCACTGGCAGCCACGCCCGACAATCAGCTGATGTACAAGTCACACACAATACATAAGGAAAGAAAGTCATGGTCGGGCTACGAATTACGAAATGTGGTGACCATGTGGCGATGACATTATATTTTGACTGGGTATCAGGATCAAAACGTTTGTGTGTAGCAGTGGAACACAATAGCACAAAGACACCACCGAGTCCGGCAGTCCGTACCTTGACGGCGTAGATTTCGTCGGTCCCCTTCTTCTCTGCCAGCATCACCTTGCCGAAGCTGCCCTTGCCCAACACCTTGATGAAGTGGAAATCCTCGATACCGACGCGGCGGGCGTGCGTCTCCTCCTTCAGATTCAGATTGGAGCGGCCCGCTGGCAAGGGACGGTGTGTCGTTAGTGGTTTGACAAAAAGAGGGACGGAAAGAAAAACAGACAGACAGAAACCGAAACACAGGCGACAAACATAAGACGACAAGTAGACATGGACAGAGAGACACGGGCAGACAAATGGACGTAACGACATACCCAAGACAACGCGCAGACAGGCGCCTAAACAGACAGACGAATCAGGTGTAGAGAAAGCCTTCGACACAAGCGATTCAGGACTTTCAAGCGACTCCGGTCATTACATGACTTATTCGTTGATGTTTCATGAAGTGGCCGTCCAGTTACTCATCACTACCGCATTCGTACGAATCGAGACGCGCCTGGCATTCAATTCCATTTCCCCGAGGTATTCGTCTGTATAACGCCCACCCCCTGTTCCTTTCAGCCTCCATCGCTGCCAGGTGGGATCATGTACCCCCCCCCCCCCATGTCGACAGGCGGGGGGGGGGCGGAAGTGACCGGGTGCCGCCGCCAGCAACACATCGCCCGACCGGCAAACACCAACATCCGACGGCGGACAGGGCAGACCAACACCGCCGTACCGCGGTGGAAACACGCGATGGACACGGCGGAAACACCGGCGGCCAAAACAAAATCGGCGGTCTGCATCAGACTGATACGTTTTCAAAACACAACGCTTCCCTACGATGTGTGATTGACACTTGACAGTCAGTCACGTAAGCTCTTCCGCATTGAGTGTAAGGGTCAACTGACCCAATCTTCGCACTAGCGACGCCTTGCGCGTGTCTCTAGACATTCCTTGCTGCTCGCTTCTTACCGATCGCATGTCGTGCTTCTCCTACCCCCGTCCCACACCCATCCTACCAAACCCCGTCCCATCCACCGCCACCGCCGGCTCAGCCAAGCACGTCACGTGGTTGGCAGCTCTCAGGGGCGGCCGGCCGCCCCGCTGGCTGCCCGGCGGCTTCTGGGCGGTCGCCGAGCGCTGCTCTCAGTGACCCGGTGCCGCGGGTACGCACAGCTGAACCGCGGCGGGACGGGAGCGTCGGGGAGACGGTGCGGACCACCGACGGGTCGGGGTGAGAGGCTGCCGAGGGGTTATAACTCGGCACCGGGGGCGAATTGTGGCGATGTTTAGACGCATTTTATCAAGTGAGTACTGAGTACTGAGTAGTGGGCAATCATGATGGGTCAAGGCTGCCGGATACCAGAAATGCATGACACTGCAATATCCTCTCCATTTTTTTTCTTCTTCAGAGTCCCGTTTGTTTGTCCTGGCAGCATTTCCACCTACTAGTGCGCCGTGTTCGCTCCTGGTGTCTCCCGAGCTCAGCCTGCATGTCACATCCCTTCCGCCTTGCCTCACCTCAATCTACCTCTCAATCTTCAGCCTGTCTCTCCGCCCTCCCTTTCTCCTACCCTATCTCCGGCCCTCGTTCCCCACTCACCCTTGGTGTCGTGTTTGTGCGGCGGCACGCCGGCCGCCTGTTTGGCATTCATGTCGAACAGGATGCGCAGTTGCAGTTCCTCCTCCTCAGCAGAGCGTGGACCGGCTTCCTCGCCCTCCGGAATCGCAGACGCAGACGCGGAGGTGGCGCCCGCGTCATTCTTCGTCTGCTTCGTGGCGGGCGTCATCGACGCCTGAAGGAAGAGTCGACGGCGGTGAGAGAAGCCAACACAGACAGCACATAGACAAACACGGAAGGTTAAAAATGTCCGGAGGGACCACGACTTAATGCGTCCGCTTCACTGAACTACCCCTGAAGGGGTAGAAGGAGTAGTTCACTGTTTAAAGTAAGCGAGAAGTGTGGAAACATTTGTTTTGACAAGAGCACCGAGAAAATGAACGGGCAGGTTGTTATCTTATCACCTATCTATCTCACGGCGGTTATCAGTTAAGCCACTTCTTCCAGAAGATAAACAGATACAGACGGAAACCAGCAGTCTACATCTTCATCTACGTAGCTGGGGTTGGCCAGTCATACCTTTTTCCGCCGCTGAGTGAGCTTCTGCGACGAGACGCCCATGCGGGTGAGCATCTCTGCCAGCTGCTTGGTGTTGATGCCACAGTTGTTGGCCACGTTCCGCTGACATCGCTTGTGAACGTTCAGATTGCACGCTGAAAATGGCAGGGGAAACTTGGGTCAGAAATGCGAATGAAGCGTGAATGAACAGGAAATAGAAACCAGTACATACGCGAGAGCGTTTGCTATCTATGAGGGCTTCAAATTTGAAGTCCAATAACTATTGCATGACGACGCCAAATTCTATTGAATAAAATGAATGGATACTGTCAAATAATACAGCAGAAACTTGATTATAAGTGAGACACTGTATAAATACAAGTCATCGCACATCAGCAATATTGAGCGCCAAAAGCTGTCTCTCATATAAACAATAACTGGACGTTTGATAATTCCGTCAAGCGTTTACATCTCGCGCGGCACATGGCCATTCAATGCGCAGACAGACAGCCAGTACCGACACCCCGTCTGCGCTGCCCTCCCCACTCACCGCTGCACTGCAGCCCCTGTTTGATCAGACCGTACAGCAGCGAGCCGCAGTGGTCGCAGAACGTGAACCGCTTGTAGTTGTGCTCCTCGAACCGGTGCGGCACGTTCACACTGAAACGCTTGTCTAGGCCCTGGCGGACGGAGGAGGGTGGAAGGTCAGACCGAGCCGGCTGGTACGGAGCGGGCAGGAGCGCTATCAGTGGGGCAAGATGGTATAATAGATATTGCATAACCCAGACAGACTAGCAAGAACATCTCTTCATACCGTACCGACTAAGTAATAACTAATGCTACCTGATCTCAACTTCTGAAAAATCAAAGCATTGCAGACAGACTTTATCCCAGGTCTTTGCTTTTTTACTTACATTTGTATTTATTTTATGTATTCGCCTACCCCGGTCGTCAACGGGTGTTCCCATTGCAAGACAAAATACTTGTGTAACAATACCCGTGTAAAGGTGTGCCAACAGCCCAGGGGTGAGCCCTGTACTATTGTACTGTACTATACTACCTATTGGGTAGGGTCACGGATCCAAGCCAAACCAGTCCACAGGTGACCCAAGTCGTTCGACATCTTCCCTTCCCGTGTCGCACGTACCCGCTCGTCGTTTCCCCTCCCCTTCGAACCCACCCCGTCGTCTGCCCTCTCCCGGTACGTACCTCATCGTCGAACGTCTGGCGCACGCCGATGCACCGTGTGACGACCAGCTCGTGGCACCGTTTGTGCACCACGCACGTGCACACCTGGCACTGGTAGCACTGCTTGCCCAGTCCCCTGGAGGCACGGGAAGAGCGTCTGAGACCTTCGTACTCTGCCTGCCTTTGTCAATAATTATGGAAGACTCGGAGAATAAAACCAGAGATGTAGACAATAACTCAACAGCTGATTACATGCAAGATTGGATTGTTTTGTTTGTTTGTTTTGTTGGGTTAAGCCCTTTCGATCTGACGAGACCATTTCAGAGCCGGAAGGATGATAGGAATTAGAGGGAGCCATTGGTCTGGGCGGGCAGCCTAGTGGGTCACCTGGGCTGAGCCAGTCCAAATGGACAGGCCACCCAGTCCACTGGTACTCACTGCACCGGGCTACGGGCGTGCTCCTATGGGAGCTTCCCGCATGGGATAAAGTTGTCCGTCCAGCCCGGAGCAGGGGATTGAGGCGTAGAGGAGAAGGATTTGACTATTCTGAGGATAGAAAAGACGGAACGGTGAGTTTAAATTAAATCAGTCGGATTGTAATCTATCTACAACACCTCAACCCAACGGAAAATCTATCCCCTATACCACAATCTGCTGGATTATCTTCCGCCCATGCCACAATCCATCAAACTACGATTGACTAGGTCGTTCACCGGGCGCCTACGCCACTGACTCGACAGCATAGTTAGTCACTGATCTGCCTGCGCCATTGACTGGGTGACATGGTCACCGTGCCGCTTGCATCACTGACCAGATGAAGTCACGGCAGTGGGAGCAGAACGCCGGCTGGCGCAGGATGGTGGCCATGAACTTGTGTCCGTTGACCTGGTGCACCCGTCGCCGCATGGCGCCGCGCCGCAGCCGGAAGCCCGTGTCGCGCTCCTTGAACTCGCGCTTCGGCGCCGGTCGGGAGCCATCCTCATTGTCTGCGGAAGGTGGGAGGGAGGGAGACGGTTAGTGGGACGGGGACAGTCGGAGGGTCGAGGGACAGTCAGAGATACTGTGGATGGTGGGATATCGGCGCCGCTCAGGAGCCATCCTCATTGTCTGCGGAAAGTGGGAGGGAGGGAGACGGTCAGTGGGACGGGGGGACACTCGGAGGGTCGAGGGACAGTCAGGGAGACTGTGGATGGTGGGATATCGGCGCCGGTCGAGAGCCATCCTTATTGTCTGTGGAAGGGTGACCGGCGGGAACGGTCAATGTGGGTGTGGTGATGAGACTTATAGTATGTCTGTATGAGGACGAGGGGATAATGGTGGTTTCGATTATGTCAATAATGCTTGATAGAGTATGACGTGATGGGTCGGGATGGTCGGAGTACGGTGGGGTGACGAGATAAGTGTTAACTATCACGGGAACCACGCTTGAGTGGCGAGATATTGTAGGCGGGGGAAGGACCACGGGGTTATTCGAATGCAGTACGGTGGGGTGACGGGGCAACGTAACGGTGACCGTGTATTTTGGTATGCGTTTGTCATTGTGAACTGCGGAATGAGCTACCACACAGTACGGCGAAATAATGGCCTGACAGAGGGTAAAAGGGAATGACGGGGCATCACAACGCACGGTGGGATAGCACTTAGCAGCTCATTGCGAACAGCATGAGAAAAGCATGACTAAATTGGGAACAAAATCCAGACGTGTTTGAAGTCTTGGACAACAAGTCTGACCCTAAAAGGGATGTAGATTGGTACACGGATGTAGGTAGTAGCCAATTGATTTGTGGACATAGGAAACAGAGCAGAATAATCAATTTTGTGACGGAAGAGTCACAAATGTAAAATGATAGACAATGGATGTCCATGGACCGGGTATCAAACAAGGAACAAACGTGGCAGGAGGAGCTGATTTTAGATCCATCGGTCAATCTGTGACAGAGCCGAGTAGCGCCCACATCAGGCTCAGCAGCACTCAGCAGCCCAGCCCAGCCAGACGATAGCGGTGCGCCAGTGAGGCACACTGCGGCATCTGTTTGTGCGTGTTTGCGTCTGTTTGTCCCTGCTTACCGCTTACCCAGCTTTAGCCTTGAGCTAGCGGAGGTGCAAAATTCAGTTCCTGCTTGCGCCTGCTTGCGACGCCTGTTTGTGCCTATTTGTGCATGTTTGCGGCACCTGTTTGCGCCTGTTTGCACCAGTTTGCAGCGGCGGGTCGGTGACTCGTTACACCTAGCTCAATGGTCACCCGGCACGCTACACGGCATGGAGTACCGCCGCCACACTTGCTATTAAACGAACAGACAGTCGGAAAGGCTACTGAAACACTTTGAGGGAGCGATTCAAGAGAGCAACCTTGAGAAGACCCTCCCAACTCGGCATTGGGAGAAGCTGTAAGATTGTGCGAGCTTTAAGACCAATCATTGACAGATACGAAAAATATTTGCACTTAGGTGAGGCAAACAGGCGCCGTGGCTTCTAATTACGGTTAGTCACACACAAGCACACTCACGAGCGTACGCGTGCCAGAATACATCGTGTGTACGTACCGAGTGCACCGCCACGCACATCGAAGGCCGTTTGCTGGATACAGGAAAATCGGTGCCGTGAAAAGGAAATACCAAGGTAAAGAGGGAATGCCAGATGAAAGGTACGATGGAATGTGTTTCGCTTAGCTGAAAATTGAGGTGATTGTTTAAAGAAACGGTAAATACTCAGCTCATCACTTACCTTTGGCTTTGGTAAGTGAGACGACGACATGAATTTTCCCCTGGGGTTCCAGCATAACCTGAAACAAAGTGAGACAGCGGTCAGACAAACATTCACCACAATTTTAAGGTGAAGGGCGACTGCCACTCTTACCAATGTTAATCAGAGGCATGTACCGTTGACATTAGCCACTGATCGGATTCGGGTGCCTCAAGTCTCCGACAGGGGCGGCGTGCAGGTCGTCATCAATTATTCACCGGAGTGAGCGTACGATGCAGGGTCACAGGTCACAGGTGGTGGTGGGGTGACAGATGCAGCACAGAAGCCCTTCACGCCAAAACTGTCACCATGTTTGAGTCATATGGCTCAACAGTGATCAGAGGGAACGCACGGTAGTAAGGTAGCAAAACATGTGCAGTGGTAATATGTTTTTTACTGGTATGATGTTTAATATTTGCGGTTGCAGCACCGATTCCAGCCAGTGGATCAGGCAGCTCTCGCCTCCGCGGAAAATAGCCATCTCTCCGCATGTAAAAGTTTCCTGTTAGCCCCCACACTTCATAGACAGCTGTGGATTTCCCGGTGGCTACAGTGTGCATGATCCGCTTTCAATGTGTTTCTGACGGTGATTGTTGTTTGGAGGTTTCGCTCGGTTGTTTTCCCGACCGGGGGTTGCTCGCTCGTTACAGTCGTCTGACACTGACCGTCGTCGGCATTACTTGGTATACGGGGGTAAAAGGTAAAACCTTCCAATCGGTGACAGGTTGGCTGGTCGAAAACACACCAGTTTGAGAACATTATCTAATATCCTGCTCCCTAAGCTCAGCGCTGGCCATAAATGACTGCGGTCAGGTAGCTAAAACTCGGCGCTATGCACGTGTGACCGTCTAGAAAGCTAGACCATTTTGCGGAGACGTTTTTTTTAAAATCACGAGCCGATTTTTGAACCCCCTGAAAACCACCGAAGATTCACTCGCAACTTTTAGCTTAGAAAAAAGTACCTAATTGAAGTCAAGTATCTACGTGCCAAGACATTTGCCGTCAGTGTGCGCTATTTAACCCTTCGCCCCAGACCAACACAGTTTATATACCGAACGAGCCATCAGTGAGCAGCTGAACGCTGAACGTCCTACATAACGACTCATGCTGTACCTCACGTCACCAGACATGCGGGACAATGTGGTGGGTTCGAGTTCCCACTGACCGGACCCACGGTTAGGAGACCGCGGACCGGCGGCACAGTGGCGCCGTCACTTTCTGATTATCCGGAACTCTCTCCTGGCAAACAGGCCGCCAGAGAAACGCCGGGTCACGTTCCCAGACCGGCCCGCTCACGCACACACACGTGCGCGTTTGTATTCCCCGATGGGGCGGTAGTGACGTGTGGAGGTTTAGCACCCACGGCGCGCGCTCCTGGCGGGGAGGGGCGGCGGCTAGTGGCTACCGTGGCCATGAGCGTGTCCGCCCCGCTGGCTACCGCCACGGCGGCGGTCCGTCTGTTTCCGGCGCCGGTCAGCGGACCCGGAAACACCCGCCAGTCGCACGGTCGGTCACACTGTGCGTCACTCGTCCCGGCCACGAGGCGGCAGCGTTTCCAGTTACGTCAGCCGCCGTGGGACGACCGCCACCGTGAGTCCGCTCACGGACCGGCACACGGAACCGGGCGCCGTACCGACACCCGTGACGGCCTCGCCACCGATCGGCAGCGCCATATCCTGCATCCCGACCCTGGGAGGGCGCCGCGATCGGCGGGGCCCGTGACGACGGGTGTCAGCTCCGGTCAGACGGGAGGCCACGGAGCGGTCCGTCGCGCCTACCGACACACAATCGGGGGCACATGCGCTCGACACACGTTTCCGCTGGCGAGATATCCAAATCCGACTTGACCAGATAACAGAATCTGACCGGCCGTGTTTGCCAAGGCAGAAAAAAAGACCTTCGCTGGTTGCCGCGGTACTCTCAGGAGGATGTGCGGATTAAAAGATATTGGCCAGGTGATACGACAGACAGGCGAATTGCTGGCTCCGTCCGGACCCGGACACAGTTCTTCCACTGACCGTTTTCAATATTCAAAGTCACATTAATTCATTCTACATAACATTGTGCGTCAGTCATAGTGGTGGTGCTGGTGGGTAGGGGATAACTACTGGAGAGAAAAATACCGGATTACTGAACGGCGCATTTAAACATAAGAAAACAGACAGCTGAACAATAGACTATCGAACGCATTGCATGCGCTAAGGTCACGCATGGCTATGTTTTATTCACCAGCATATGTAGGTAGTACTCATACAAAACTGGGTTGCTTGTCACACTTCAGGAACAGACGTTGTACCAAACGGCAATGGAAACAGACGGTAATGGAAACGAATGACATACTAGGGAAAACACCTGGCCTACACCTGAAATAGGCCGTCTATCCCCATATAGATATCGCAGTAGCATTTTTATGCTGGCCGTTTCGCGGGTGCATTAGCGACAGTCTGCCACGCGCCACCGGCCCGGTTCGCCATCAAACCGCCACGCCGCTGGATCTGGAGCGCGCGCAAGGTCACGCAACAGGAAACGGTGTTAATCGACCATGCTAGGGTGAACCCGAGGCCAGGTGAAATACAAAAACCCACCACCAAATATGCACCTACCGACAGTGCCAAAAATATGCTGATAAGCAATCAACACAATAGGACAGGTTGTGAAACACAGTTGGCCGCAAACCAAACCATTGTAACTGGCGTGTCTTACGGAATACGAAAAGCTCCAAATAAGGTAGAATGACTGGACGTTGGTTAACGACTTGCTTCGAACCCGGTAGGCATAGTGTTTGGACCTAACCGGTACTGAATTTATCATCAGTGATGGCGAGGCAAGGGAAGCACAATTCTGAATGCACAAAAGCTATCTGATCATTGACGTGCGTTGCTGGACACGGTACGATAACCACGCAAAGTAGATGAACGCTATTTTTGTCAATTTTCTCAGCAACACCGCATTGCAATGAGGTTTTGCAGAATTCATGCGCACCATGTCTAGCAGCTGCAAAGTACACAACAAAAGTTCACGTATTTCATCAGGCAGCATCGCCCCTAGTTCTCATCCAAGCCTATCCACAAACATTGATTTACTGATGAAGGATTTATATAGCGCCGATAAGTAGCACCAGTGTTGAACATACGGCATTATCCTTGATGATGATGAACTGGACATAACGATTAAACAACCTTGCCATCAGGGCTGAGGAGTCGGAGTCGGAGTTGGAGTCGGTCGGAGTCGACAGTTCTGCCCGGAGTCGGAGTCGGAGTCGCCAAAATCTTACCGATTCCGACTCCGGAGTCAGAGTTAACGCTGCATGGCTCAGCGTCATGCACTGCACCTGTTTAATTGACGATACTGCGCTCGAAATTAGATTTTGTTGGAAAAAGGTCATTTTGCTGTTTTGGACGAACGTTTTCAACGAAGGAAGCAGAAGACGGTGAGTTCCCCAGAACCTGCTTTTTAATTCTGCATGTTATTTTAATTGCAAATTTGCAGCGCAACGCCTTGGAAAGCACAAGAGATCGTTTCAGGGAAGATAAAAACATCTCCGTTATGAACTTCAATATTCATGATATGTATTTTAATAGAAACGTCCGGAGTCGGAGTTGGAGTCGGAGTCGATTTTTGAAGCCAGAGTCGGAGTCGGAGTCGGAGTTACCCTAAAATCCATCGACTCCGCAGCCCTGCTTGCCATTATACCTATCGGTTCAGACTAGCGGCTCGATTGCCATCGAAGTTTGAGCGGGAGCTTGAATCCTTACTCCCCGGAGCCCGGGGGGCCAGCGATGCTTACGGTAAGTAAGCACGACAATGCTCCCATTCACAGCACACATCCCTGGCCGCTACAGATTTGTCTTCAAACACCGTATGATTTCTTTGCATATCTCACCCTCTTTTAGGAGAAAGCTTTCACTCTGATACAATAACAAAAACTTATTTTAGGACACTTGTCATCAATCATACCCAAAAAACTTATTTCAGACATTTTATTTCAGGTAATAGTTTCTGCAGATAACCTGTGTCAATGCTCTCCACACGGTGGATCGCTGTCCCGACTGGAATAAAGGAGCCATTTGCAGGGGTAATAATTTGTAGGTGAGTTGATCCATAAGGACGAAAACGGCATGATGAACAACACGCCGATGATTGGATAGAACGTAACTTCAGATGAAGAGACGTGGTGAATTTACTAACATCTAACAGCCGTTATAGCGGGTCGTGCCCCGCGAATCCGAGAGAGCGGGGCGTAGTGACCCGATTAATTCGCAAGGCAGCGATACCAATAACGAGATTAGAGGTAGGATCATCATGGGATCACCCAATGTTTAACATCCTTTACTGCCAGTCGGCATGTAGGAACTGGCTTTCAGGAGATCGCCTTTAAACATCGAATGGTTCCGCATACGGTTGTGCGTCCGGCGCACTGTAGTACGGGGAAGTTTACAATTAACGAGCGAGAACCACATGAAAACAATGCGCCAGTCTCGATAGCTTGATATCCTATCTTCAGGTGTGGGGCACCCAATGTCCTATAATAGCTGAAATCACGAAAAATGTCAGGAGAAGAGAGCCAGCTGACTCATGAAGCCTGAGGTTGAAATTGGCTTTAACTTTCTACCTTCTGAATTGCCCTCATGCAAGCTGTTAGGAGGAACTATTGCAGCTCATAGGTATGGTTATCAGCAGATGTTATATTTTTGGTCCAAGGGTTAGCCTTTTTATGAATGGGTTGTTGTAGGGTTCTCAACAAAACGAGGAATGGCTACCAGGGAAGATGTCCCCAAAGACGACCTCACATCCTAGAAACTAAGGGCAACAGACATTTAAAAATTTCAGTTGCTTTATGAGGAAGAGTAGCATCTACACTGACAACCAGAGTTAGCAAATGCAGGAAAAGGAAATCTAGGAAATGTGTGGCTACTAAAGCAATACTGCATCACCATTATTGATCCTCAAACTTTGGAAATGATCCAAAGGTGATATTCCAGAGTCAGTTAGACTGACACACTTCACTATTAACTCTTATAGCAATACAAAAATGCAAGAGTTTTGATCTTGCTGAGTCTATTGATTGTAATTCATGCTTTGCCTTTATAAGTTATAAGTAGCAATCTCACATCTTAAGAATAGGATAACATCCTTAGTCCAAAAACATATGACAACATGAACAGACAAATAAGCAAGTAAAGGACATCTTTGGATTATAATTCACGGACCACATCAGACAAAAAAAAAACTTGTCTAGATGCAGCCCATGTGAATTCATGAAGTGCAGTGAAAGGACACCACTCCATTGATTGATTCATAAAACTATCAAATGCAAATGAAGACACTGATCGCATGCATAAGTATTTTCATGTGAATGAGATCCACAAAATACCTACTACAGCAAAACAGGAAATGATCAAGAGGCCCCAGAGAATAAGTGGAGCTTGCCAAAAAGCTAACGGAAAGGAATTGGAATGGTCAGCACTCAAGTCATTCTTTACCGATATCAATATACACTACTCAGTGCACATCTCATCCGTGTCATACAAAATGTACAGTTTTACCAGCACAGAACAATCCCAAGAGTGACAAACTAGCTGTAGGTACTTACCCAGATGTCCGTCTTCTTTTCATCCACATCTTCAAATGGAATAATGCAATTTGCCACAAACACATCAGGAGGAATTGCAGCATCATGGAAAATTGTAAGCCCTACATTTTGTGCATTCTCACACTCAGTTTCAAAAGATTCATTCCAAACTGGGCATAGTGTCTTTGATTTAGAAGTTGATCTGTTTATATATTGTTCGTCAACATCTATTGACACATAGGGATCTAGGCTCACTGACTGCTCACCACCAGGCTTGATAGCTACATTATGTCTTGTTTGAAAGTCAGTAGGCTTAAGATCAACAGCTTCGCACACTTTGAGAGTCAGTTTACCCGTAAACATGGGGATGATGCACGAAGTCCAACGATAAAAAAGAGTATGTATCACAGCTTAGACGCATTCACAAGCATTCTGAAGCACACTTCAATCTTCCATTTCCACGGAGCTCGCGGGCACACTATTTTCCCGATAATCAGATCACTGTCGCCCGCGACGGTCACAGACACACAACAAAGTCGTCACACACCGCCTCGATTATATTCGATCCACCCATTCCATCTCCTCTGCCTGAGTTTTCTCCAGTTTTCACAAAATGATGCCAGACAACAAGTTCAGCTATAAATCCGACTAAATGGCCTGAAGACTGCTAAGTGAAAAAGCAAAATTTTTGCACAAACAAACAAAGATAAACTCATTTCTTTGTCAAAAAACTAAAATCAAGACTTTTGTGGCTAATTCAAATATGTTTTGAAAAATTAATGGTGAAAAGTAGTCTAAAACATAGTTCAAAATCAGGCAAATGAAAACAACTAGAATCAGAAAGCATCATACCAAAACATGGCGGCCTGCACGGCGCAGGGTCTTGCGCGCAGGATTCTCAGCCAGGCACTCTTTGCTAGGACAAGGTAAGATTAAGAATATATTTTTGTTTTCTTTAACATCTTTTGATCTTTATCGGCACAAAGTTGTGATGGAATGGATGATACATTATTGTTCATAGCTAAAAGATGTTTGTCGTAATTGTAGCAAGTGCGCAATTTCTGAAACATCCTTGGTTTTGGGATTGTTTACAATTGATTTTAGCTTACGGAGAGAGCTAATTGGGTATATGTCGTAATTTTAATGAATTTCATGCTTTCAAATGTTTTATTTGTTTGTTTGTTCATTTAAGATTGCCTACATTTTTGGTGAGAAATCAAAATGCTTCGGACTGGTGAATGCCCATTTCGTTATGCAAGTAGGTTGCTGATCTTATGGCGATTTGAGCTGGCTTACGAGCTAAGCATTCTTTTATTCAATATGATGTTTAAAAATTTATCATCTTCATAAGAAGAGCAGTTTGACAGTGCAAGTGAAGATTAGAGATCCTGTCCACATTAAACATGTGCACCACCTTTGCTCATTTAGTTTAACATTTGTAATGGACCTATGATGCCTTCTTGTCATTCATGCATTGGAATAATGTGAGTCTGGTGCTTACTTTATTATATGGTCAAATCTTTTAATATTGGCCAGGTAGGTCAGATATATACCTAAACAGTATTTAAATAATTGAGATAATGACAATTTAGGTATTCAATACTTAAAATAATATTTTTAAAGTAAATGAATTAGGCAAATAATTAGGTAAATCAGGCTAAAGCTAATTGGGATTGGGGCATTAACTTTTTTTTAAATAGTAAAAAGAAATATTTCACATTTGTAAACATGGCCATCATTTTCTGCAATGATAAATTATTACTTATCCAGGAAGTAGCTGAATGGTTTATATCATAGCAATATCTCTCTCCCTCTTAGAAAATGCTAGGTAGATATGAACAAGAGAATATTTTATGTTCATCATCCAGCTAAATTTCCAATAACCTCTTCCTGTTTCCTGTTTTTCCTGTCTTTCAAAAACATCTAACCAAATTGAACCATAAATGTGGACATTTGAAATGGGTATTTCAAAGCCAAACATCACTCTGAACCAGCATCAGCACCCTGTCATTTTGTTCTGTTGCTCTTTGCAGGCTGCCTGTCATCTCCAGTCGCCTCTTCAGTGCAGAGTCAGCGTCTGACGCGCCGTCGCCGGCGGCTTCTGCGGCCAGTGTGCGGCTGAGTGACGCGTGTGTGCAGCAGCTGCGCCGGCTGGCGGCCGATGGCTCGGCGCTGCGGCTCGCCGTTGATGGCGGCGGCTGCTCGGGCTTCCAGTACGTGTTCAGCCTGGCCGATCTGGACGCGCCGCTGGGGCCGGACGACGTGGCCGTAGAGCGGGACGGCGCGCGCGTGCTGGTGGACGCCGTGTCTCTGGAGTACATCCGCGGCGCCACGGTCGACTACCACGAGGAGCTGATCCGGTCTGCGTTCCGCATCATCGACAATCCGCAGTCGGAGCAGGGCTGCTCGTGTGGCGCCTCGTTCTCAATCAAGATCGAATAGTGATCGCTGCCTTATGCTTGCGAGGTGTTGAGGTTGATCGAGGCTCCAGAGGAAGAATGTGGACAACGGTGTTGTCAGTTCTCACACTGGTGAGAGCCAGTGGCGATGCCCATGTTATAGCTCATTAGAAAATTTTATTGTGGCGTTGGAGCTTGAAGAGGAGGATGGTCGTTACTGTCATGTCAATTTTGATTTACCTAACAGGGACTGGTAACGAGTGTCAAGGTGCTAGCGCTTCTAGCACTGGTCACTTCCGCTATTCTGTGACTGCTATGCAGTGTGCATCGGATATTCCCGCTACTAGTGTATGTTCGCTAATGTGATATTTTCCGAGTCACGATAGCTGTGGTTATAACAGTGTGACTCGCATGTGTGTGCAATGGCAATGAGCATGTCAATGAAACTGATCAGTGATCACCCCATGGCCGTGGATGTCATTTGAATCAGAACGACAAACTCAGCGACCTTCTTCTTTCTTTGCTCCATGGTGGCTTCTTGCAGTCACACAGTTAGGAAACGACCCAGCGGTTTAGTCAAGTTCTATGGTACTGTGTCACCGAGCTCAGTGGCTTTGCGGCGGGCACCGCTCGAGCCATGGGGAGGGAGGGGGACCGGTCGATGTGTGGGGCGCCCGCGGCTCATGCGGGTGGGCAGACGGTGTCGGTCGGTGACCCGGGGACAGGTGTAGGTGGGGTGGGGGTAGCACTGCCAGTCTCGGTAACCCGCGGGGAACAACGGAAACATGAGACGAGGCTCGAAAGTTGACTCGAAAGGCCGTCGTCGGTAAAAGTCTTAGTTTGCGAAAAAGTTATGCCGATGTGTAGACTGCTTCATAAGTAGTACGTAATGGTCTATTGCCGATAGAGCCAAATGTCGCGGGGTCTTGGATTTCGGAAGGCTGACAATGAGTGTAAAATATAAGCATGGATGCATCGTTATCGTAGTCCATGCACGAGACTTGCACTCAGTGGCGCAATGAAGATAATCTTCTAGAATAAAGCGTCGAGCTGCGTCACATCCGTCCATCTTACCGCCACCCATGACCCATGTCCGTTCGGCCAATGTGATAAGAGGACGTCAATGACCTGAAAGTCGAGGAATAGGTCGCTCTGTTCCTCAGCAGGAAACCGCTCGACTCGGAAGTTCGGGCGTCCCGGCGGCGGGCCGCACGGTCCGAGCTACAGTCCATGAGCTCGGCTGGCGCCTGACGCCGTGGACAGCCGGCCAGTGTCGCGTGGGGGCGGGACGGGGCACTCCAGTGAGTCAGCCGCGTCGCCTTCCGTCCAGGGGCGCGGTGTCCGTCACGGTGCGGCTGTATACCGCCGCCCCTCCCCCCCCCCCCCGCCCCCGGACCCGCAGACACCACTGTCTGCGCCAGCGGGCCGCGCCCGCTTCCGGTCGGCGCTGGACCGTTTCGGCCACGGCCAAGGTCAGCCTGGCTCCTTCACAGCCCCGCCCCGCTCCCCGTGACTGGCGGAGAGTGTAACACAGGCATCACCTGGCGGAAGCCGGTAACATATCCGCCATCGCTGAGAAGCCAACATCGTCTCGCTCCACGCGGGGGAACGCGTATTTGTTTGTAACACGGGCCTCAGTCAGGTGTAGTGTCATGACTTCACCTATGTGAGGCACCGCCGTCATGAGCAGCAGAGGGTGGGTATGTGCGCAGAGGATGGATATGGTATGCAGCGCAGACGTGACCCGTGAGCGATAGATGTTGACGTGGCTGACCTCTGACCGTGAGCTGACCGGGGCCGTGAGCCCATTAGCCAGACATCGCGTCAGGGTGTCTGACGCATCGGATTGAAATTCGCGAAGGCGCGATGGTGAATCGAAACATGCCTGAGGCACAGGGGACAATGGGACGGAAATCGGACGGGGGGAGCTAGGTATCTAATCGAAACATAGTGAAAATCGTGACTCACGAGCCAGAACGAAATCAGGAGGGAAAAAGAGCCGGTGGGGTGGGGGGGGGAGACTTGAGTCGGGAGGCCGGAGGGTCTTCGATCAGCAAGCCTTCTTGCCCCGCCCCCACACACATCCGTCCAAACGCACAGCCGCCGCATTGCCTGAGAGAATTTCTAACGAGCTCGGAGACGAGAGACGGTACGTAACACCGGGGACTTGCGCTCCACATCTCGGAAGATGACATCAGACGGGAAAGTGCGCACGCCCGGTATTTGACGATACGCGTTTCAATGTAGCCGGGGAGGCCCATCAACTTCTCGAATCAGACTGCAATGCTGATGTGACGCGATCAAAAGTCCTGTTGCGCTATGTGACAGCACATCAGTGCGAGAGTGACGCACGGGTGCTATTTTTAGCCTCTGGGTGCTACCGTGAGGGGGTGAGTTTCTCGATTTAGCGTGGATTTCCCATCATCTCGTCACAGCGCCGCCACAAGAGCGTCACCCGGCGGAGAAGTGACGTAACGACTCTGACCGCCGCTGAGGAGACTGACATCCTCAGTCCGCCCTCCTCTCAATGGACTGGGACACTAAGAGCTACGCGCTTACTACATGTACACGGTTCACCGAACACCAGCCAACATGGCTATAACAGCGTATATTTCGCACATCGTCGCACTTAGCGGCGTTGCAGTAGACACTAGACAGTACACATGCTGTTGAGTTATAATACGGCATAAACAAACAAAAAACTTTAGAATAACGAAAGTGAATATTTTCCCACGCTTCCGGAAGGTCATAAAATTGTTTATAACAATTCGGAATAAAATGTTATGGATACGTTCAAACGCCCGCGGCGTATCACTTTCTCCTTTCACGCGGCGAATACATCGTATGCAAAATATCCAGCTGAGGCCAAGGTTATATCACACTTATTATGGTGGAGTGACTTGATAAACATATCATAGCAGGGAACCGAAAATCAATTGGAAAGCCAAGCGACCCATGGGTGCAGCTTACGCATAATCGATAAATGAGATTCCTGCATGCAGTACGAAATCGAAGTAAAACAAAGCTCAACGTTCATAGTCTCGCATAACTCATCACGATATCACCGTACAAGAAAATAACTACATTTATAGCAAGCATGGCGTGGAATAATCAGAGTGCAATCATAGCATGTCGATCCCTCCACAGTGATAGCAATATTCAGTACAGAAAAAACCTCATCCAGCGGCACAATGCACCAGCAACTCACCCAAACCCAGGCAGCCTAAAACCACGGAAGCTAACGCGATATATAGGGCCTTGGCTGACGCCACATCACAAGCGAATTTCACGTCACCAGCCAAAGCCCTGCGTGTCAGCGCTTGTCATGTTCTCTCGAAGTAGACGCATCACGTAGAGTCGCCTCCTAGATCGCTGTGAGGTGCAACCAGCATTAGTTCAGTCCCCCCTCCCCCTTCAGAAAGCCATCAGACTTCGTTACCTCGCTCCAGTCGTTGTCACGTGACTTTGGGCTATGGTCATGTGAGGTCAGGGCTCTGATTACCGGCGCTACAGCCCAGCTCATATCACGTGACCACCGTCCGGTGCCACATCAGAGCCCTCATCTCAGTTCATACGTGACAGTACACGAGCCCGTCAGTTGTGACATCACCATGACTCAGTCATGTAGGCAAGGAGGATTTTCCTGGCGATAAATCACTGTCCTACCTCACCCAATAATGTGCCACCTCCACCATTTTACCTTGCTTTGGAATGTGGCTTAGACTAGCGCCATTTCGTTACCTTCTCCCGGAGAATGTGTGTACAGCCTCGAGGCCGTTGTGCTTGCCATCCTAACAATCCCTCAGTCCTTCTTTCATCTTTCAACCGTCACAGCTTGTCCCACGTCTCCACCGCTCTCCTCCCGCGGCTACCGGACGCCGCGTTTCTTCAGTCCGAGCTGGTACCTCAGCTGGTCAATCTGGTCGCGCTGAGCCGTCAGCGTCTCGTTAAGGCCCGCTAGGTGGTCAGACATGGCCGCCACCTGCGTCTCGTAGCTGGCAGCGGTGGTGACCAGCTCCTGTTGAACTGTCTGCCGTGCGGCCTCCACCTCTGCCAGTTGCCGCTCCCGCTGCTCAGTGCTCCGCTCCAGGGCGGTGAGCGTGCGCACCAGGTGGCGACACTGGAAGAGGGAGGGAGAGGTCAGAGGGCGGTACAGATCAGGGTATATTGGTACAGATAAGCTCCAGGGCGGTCAGCGTACGTACTAGGTGGCGGCACTGAGGGCGGGGGAGGGACGGGGTCGGGAGGTTAGACTAGGGCGGCGGCAGTCTCGCAGCATTAGGCAGGGTCCTAGCACGACAGAAAAACGAATTCGGGACTTGATGATCTTCAGTCAATAATTTTCTGGAATCCATCATAATAACCTACCCTAATGACCACATACGACCTGAGATTCAAACTAGCGCCTCCTCTTCCCTGTCAGTTGCCACTTGCACTTGCCACCACCCCACCCACCTCGATCTGGTAGTGTCGACAGCCGTATCCCTCGGCCGTCTGCTGTCTCTCCCCTCCCTCCCTTTACCCTCCCTCCCTCCCTCCCTCCCTCCCTCCCTCCCTCCCTCCCTCCCTTCCCTTCCCTTCCCTTCCCTTCCCTTCCCCTCCCTTCCCTTCCCTTCCCTTCCCTTCCCTTCCCTTCCCTTCCCTCTCGCTCTCCTACCACCCACCTCGATCTGGTAGTGCCGACAGCGTCCCTCGGCCGTCTGCTGTCTCTCCACCATCTCGTCCAGCTGGTGCGCCAGGTCGGCTTTCAGTCGCGCCTCGCGCGCCTCCAGGTCCACCCACGGGTTGGTTGAGGTCCGCACCTCACCGGCCGGGGTGGTATGGGTTATACCGCCGCCCTCGGCAGGGTCCGGTGACGGTGAGGGTTCGGGTGGTGCGGAACGCTCATCCTGGAGACGCTGTAAGAGAACACAAGAAGACGGTGGTCAGGTGTGGGTTATGGGTAGGTAGTGGAGGTGGCCGGTGTGTGGGCCCGTGCCGTTAGGTCACCGGTGGCAGCACATGTGGTATGCTTGTCATTGCAATATTGGCCTTCACGAATGACAAAGTGCAGATATCAGGCGTTTTATGCTGCTAGAGCGTCGTGTGTCATTTTTCCTATAACGAACTTCGAGGATTATATCTATTGGAGCGTATCTCTAGCAAAACACATAAAAATCATGGCGATCAAGCATCGGTAGCTATTAGGACTCACCTGATATTTAGCCTTCATGAGCTGGAATTCGAGTCGCCAGTGCTCCTTGCTCTGCTCCAGCTCAATGATGGTCTTCTGACACTGGTCGAGTCGCGCGGCGGTCTCCGCCTCGTCGGCCTCGTACAGGGAGCCGGCCAGAGAGTGGTCGTACGAGCCGCGACCACCGGAGGGCTGGAGGGCAGACGGTGGTGGTCAGGGGGGGGGGGGGAGAAACACAGTCAATAGAAAAAGCTGTAGTGCTTAATATCGAAACGAATAGAACCTCGCATACGCATCAAAATCCTTTTCGTCAAAGACCGGCGTGAGGGATCTGGAAAGTGAATACTAAAAATGGGACGGATTTAAAAAGTGCAGTGATTCAGAAGAGAAATTCATGGGATGCACTTAAATTTACTGCTCCAATTGGACTGTAACAGATACACTACATATAATGGATAATTCGACGGTTTTGACGAGAAAGTGAAGCTTCTTTATCCAGACCGGTGATCCCCAACTACTCTAAACGCAATAACCATGATCCCTCCACTCTCCATCCCCCGCTAAACCATCTCTAGCCCACTTACAGCATCCACGGCGCTGAGATAGGCGGCGGCGCGGCCGGCCCGTCGGTTTACGGCCACCGAGGCACCCGTCTCCGGCGATAGAGAGCGGAAAGTCGCCACCGAGAGGCGGCTCATCCACGGCTGGTTGGACGACCACACAGAGCGCAGCTGGAGAAGAAAGGTCAGGGCAGGTCAGGTCACGTCGATTCACGACACACCAGGTCAGATCGGTTGGAGGCAGGTCGAGGGAGAGTAACCATCTGGGGCTGATATCTCACGCAGAAATGGTAAGCAGAGCATGACAATGACGCAACAGCCACTTCTACAGTTCAGGCAAGATAAAATCATACGATCCGCAGTCACCGCACGTGAAAAAATTGGCTATCATAGACCTCAGCTGTATGCCGTAGAGTATAATGACTGCAATCACTCTGTAATCATACCCTTACCTTGTCGGCGGCCGTGGTGGCGGCCACCAGCGATGTCAGGATACACTCGTTGGTGGTGTTGAGCGCCGCCGTGCTGGTCGGGAGGTCGCGCTCCTCAGACATCCTGATCGTGTAGCTCTTGGAGAGGTCTGTCCGAGCACAGGGGACGAATTACAGATCAGTTTAGGAGCTGGACGAGCTGTATGTAACGATCTCAATGCCTCCAAATACCAGAAACGGGGAATGTTAGTGAGGACAACAGCATAAAAGCATCAGTTAAAAAAAGCATCCTGAGTGACGGTGTAAGGGCAAAACGATAAATCAATATTGTATTTTTTTGCTGATGTCCATGCAAGTAAAGTAACATCTTTTATCACGAATCAGGACTCAGTCTGTACGGTGTTCGGCGCCGCGCCTACCTCTGAGAGCGGTGTGCAGGGCGTCCAGGATGGTACCGAGCAGGCCGATCACCCGCACACTGACAGGCAGTCGCGGCTGGTCGTCGGCGCTCACTGCCAGCGGACGAGGTACGCTTGTTACAGTCGGCTGCAGAATCTCAGCCGAACAGATGGTAGATGTTATCGCTGTATCAATACTTGTTTATCGATAAGGTACTGCGATAAAAACGAGCAAAAATAAACGTTCCCTTTCTCAGTTACCAATTTACCATCGGATACATGAAAATGCCGTGAGATGCACATCTGATGCGAGCCCTAAGTAGACTAAATGAACAATGGTACATCGGTGAATATCCTATACTAGATGCCGGCAGCGCTCTTGCGTTGCCTTGGGCCAGAATTGGAGGAACGGTACTGAGGGCACACACCGGGCCAAACCACCGAAACCCAGACTGAGCTTGGACTGAACCTGAAACCAAACGAAACATCCCAAAAATGCTTCGAAGCACGTGAGATTGGTGCGGATATCTTCCTACAGTATGGTATGAATTAACTGCACGTGCATAGTTCATGTCCCAGGCACCCCAGTGCAGTCATTTTCATAACATCATGTAGCGTGTGTCTAGTTCTATCAGTGTACCGACTTTTGTGTCGCTAGATCGACGTTTCCCGGGATCAGAGGATCCCTAGTCAAAACCGTTATCCGCCCCCCGCACGCGCAGCTTGCACCCCTGGGATATTATCTCGCCGGAATGTTACGACTAAATGTGTTCTTCTTATGACCTGCAAGTTTTGAGCCAGTTAGAGCGGCCGTTTACCCTGCAGGCGTGGCAACGCACGAAGGGGTGCAATCGGCTTGCACGTACCTAGCTCATGCACCACAGAGTTTAGCTCAACCAAATGTGCACTATTTTGGAGGCCTTGCCTGAGACTACCATTGAACCGATTTTGAGGTTGATAGCTCAAAATTTCTTTGAGCCAGAGGACCTCACGTCAAAACGGTTTTCCGCCCCCAGCACGTGCAGCCTGCACCCCTCGCAGACGGTGACCCCCCTGGAAACTGGTTCAAGGTGTTACCGATGTGTCCCGCCAGTGTGGCTTTGTCCGTGACCTCGGGTTGACCTGTAGCCTTGACAAAAAAATTCGTGTCACCGAAACTTTGAAGCGGAATAGCATGTGCCACGAAGCACTGAGCGAACCGAGGCCAGTACCAAAAGTTTACCTCGCCGGAGACGAGTCGAACGGTCCCACTTGCGTCCCGATCGGTCCCCCCATTTTGACTCCAGGTCCAAAAAGGCTTGGACAAACTCACATACTCACTCACATACTCACTCACATACTGACAAACAGGCTTGGCCGAACTTTTCTTCAGCGACCCACCAATGGGAATTTCCGGATGCAAAAGGGGAATTTCCGGATGCAAAAGCATGCTATCGCATGCTTTTGATCCTCCAATTCTGGACTACCGGTGTTTAGCGTAGGTTTCTTGTTTCACAAGGAAGTGGATTTGATCCCTGTATTATGACATGCATGATGGTAAGCTAATTAATCTCTCATAGTGCCGGAAGCCGGTGCATTTCGCCGTTACCTTGTTTGGCCAGCAGTGTGAGGGCCGACTGAAGGCGTCCAAAGACGGCCGCCACGCGTGACATACAGGAGAGGTACTGCTGACCGCTGGCCTCCAGCGTTGTCTCCTCCTGCAGACTGCTCCGACACAGACAGGGAGAAATCGTGTGTCAGGAAAACCGTGCATACACCATATGCGACGGGGAGACCGCACATAGATCAAACACGAGCAAGGCGATCGTCGTTTGCCGCAACAACAGGCAGAGTCGGAGTCTACACGCCCACTTATTCTCAAAGATTTGAAGACATTATTATAGGAAAAATATATCTGACGCAGCAAAACATTTACCTGAATGTCAGACAACTTACCAAATATCGATCATTGTCCAGGTCAAATACAATTTCACGACGCCCAAACAGAGTAACACAAAAAGTGAGTTGGCAAGAGCTTGGTCAGCAAAGTCAGTTGAGCAATTTACTACGACCACACATGACCCTTCCATCTGCAGTCGGCCCACCTGAGCTGCTGGTAGGAGACCACCTTGGTGAGAAACACGTGGTAGCCCCTGACGGCCTCTGCCAGCGGCGCCAGCTCGGAGAGGGTGTGAGGGGACACCAGCCGCCGGCCGGAGAGCGTCTCGGTGAGTCGCTGCAGGGCCGCCGGTACCGGAGACAGAGAGAAACGGTGCGCCAGCAGCAGCGCCGACAACTGCCGAATAATCGACCGGCGAGGCACGAACGTGAGTTTGAGAAGTGGGAAAGCAACGGAAATTGGGCTATATCGATGAGTACCGAAGCCTTTCGTAAGAATAGGATTCGTGTCCAGTAGAATCAAAATTGTGAACTGAAAATTGAATTCATCACTGCACTGGCATTTATAACTAAAGCTTCATATTAACATGCTCCCATAATTCCTTCCTTCCCATTCCCAGCTCTCTCACCCTCAGGTAGCAAGACATCCCATCCCTCCGTACCACCTCTCCCACCTTTGCTCCGACGGCGCTCAATCCGTGGCTGCTGAGCGCCTGCAGTCGCTGCTCGCAGTAGCTGTGGTAGTTGGCCAGCGCCGAGGCCAGCTCCGACAGGTGACCGCACACCTCTGCAGAGAGCTGCGCGGCACGCCGCTGCTCGCGACGGTCACACGTGGGCACGTTCAGGCGGTCCAGGGATGGCGAGCCTGCCGGGGAGGGGGGGGGGGGTTAGCGTGTTGGAGGAGTAGCCACAGTGTGAGCGGTGGGCTTTAAATCAGATTGCAAAACGATGGGTGTGAGTTAAACTCGAGGGTTAGGCCACGGACTCACGACACAGCTTGAGCGCTGGTCCATCCCAGGGTGCAGAATAACAGGCCGCATCGCAAATGCAAGGATCATATTTCCGGTGTCCGAATTCCTGAGTATTACATTGCTTTGACTTCCTACCACCGCGCTGATTTGGCAGCGACATACACGTTATAGACACTACTCAGTACTCAGCACCTAAGCACGCACACGAGAATATAGGGAGACCCCCACCGATTTGTCGATAATGAGTCACGTGGCTATCAAATAAATATTTGTTATCCGATAATGACGAATCCAACATATTTTCCCGGAAGCCAAGGCACCGTGCGGTGCCAATATCCTGAATAACTTCTTACTCATCCTCTTGAAACCAGATGGACTGTATGCAGTTCCTGAGTCTGTATCATTTAATCGGCTAAGGGCCTATGACGTTCGTCGTTGTCAGTGCTTCGTAGCTGAGCCTCCTCTCCCCCTCCGAACCTTTCCACACCCCCGGTGAAGTTATCTTATACCCACCCCTCCCCGACCCCGCTCCCTCTCCTCAGCACCCACCTGTGTCCACCAGCGGCGTGTACTGCGCCACCGTTCGTCTCAGAGTGTCCAGCTCCGTCTGGGCAGCTGCCAGCTGCTCGGCCAGCCGTCGGCGCTCCTCGTCCGCCAGCTGCAGCTGTCCGGAGACAGTCCGCAGCTGGGCCCGGCGCCGCTCGCAGTCGGTGCAAACGGCGGGGCGGATCTGACAGCGGGCCATGGGGTGAGCGGTACACAGGGGAGACGGTAGAGCACACAGACACAGGGAGCTGGGAGCGACAAACGGCGAGGTGATAGATACACAGGGGAAGCGGTCTGCAGTTGGGCCCGATGCCGCTCGCAACGCAACCGGGCAACCGGGCGAGTCTGACAGCGGGACACGGGGTGACAGGTACACAGGGGAGACGGTTCGCAGATGCTGGGTCCGGCGCCGCTCACAGTCTGGGACACACGACGGGGTGAGAGGTATACAGGGGTGACGGTGGAACAGAAATACGGTGAGCGTTATTTGGACACAACAACAAGAATGGCGGTGGGACACACACACACAGCGGTCGGACGGTGGGAGAGAGACACTGAAGAGTGAGGATGAGCTTTTCCCAGCCCGCGATGAGGATGAGTGGACGTACAGCAGAGTGACGAAAAGACCCAAGCAAGGGCACTGGGAAGTGAGAACAAGCAGCACTCTTAAGTCTTACCGGAGACATACGAGCATACGAGCTCGTATGTACACGACGGGATGAATTATGACGGACCTAGCACCCACACCTTAGGTTCAAACTACGGACGAATGGCTCTATGAAGGAACACTAGCCGGGCATCTGATGGCGACCAAACGTTGCCTGAGTTACCCAACAGTAGAAACATGTCCAGAAGTCAGTTATCTACTAGCTGCAATGTGTGAACTTTCCGAATGTGCGAGTCATACAAACATCTAAAACATATTCAGACTGCGCTGTAACCCACGATCCGGATCTCTCAACCAAGCCAGCCAGTAGTCTAGATCCGACCAATCCGGACCAGACCACACCAGATCACCGCCGTCTGGCGCCGACGGACCCACCTCTGGCGCCTGGGGCGGCGTGCGTGGCGGTGTCGAGGGCGACGAGGTGCGGCTGGCCTGCAGGTGCGCCTCCAGTTGCCGGAGTCGGGACGTGAGCGATCCCACCTCCTCCCGGTGGCGCTGCTCAGACTCGGACAGCTGGGGAGGGAGGAAGACCGCGATAGGTTATAGAGCGGACTGGGAGAGCTGGGGATGGACGGGGTAATAGCGACCGGTTAAAGAGCGGACTGGGGCATATTCTAGGGTTAGGAGGGGCGACTGGGGCCAGGGATCAGTCGTATAGAGTGGAGTGGGATAGGTGGGGATGGGCGACGTGACAGGGAAGCGTGCAGCATCGCTATCTGCCGGTCCGGTCATAGCCTCTCCGATCTGCTTTGCTAAGGTGATCGTGACGTATATGCTCGACCTTCGATCAGCAGCGATGTTATTTATTACAAGTTGCAACAAAAAAAAAAACAATCTACGCCAAGACACCCCCGACAAAGAGTTGGATCGAGCCCGAGCGTATCGTGATCAAAGAACGGTAATTCGTACGTTACATTCTACGTCAACTCACCATTTCGTTCAATTTCTCGTTTGCATTTATTTTGGACATGAGCTCCTCTTCCAAAACGTTGAGGTTACTTGGCGGAGGTACGTCGCCAGTGGAGCCTTTCGTCACCTTCTTCTTTGATTGTTTGTGCTGAAAATGAGTGAAAACTGTGTATTACTTTTCTCCTGCAGAAAATGCCACAGTTAAAGGGACTGTCCCACCTTCAAAAAATTGCTTTGATATACTGTTCTTGTGTTGCAAGACATAGATTAGGGGCCCCTGTACACGAAATTGGCAAACATTCGGCCCATAGTTGGCTAATTGTTTAAAAATTCCAATTTAAAGCTTTTGGATCGATTACGTCATATGATTGTTTTTTTATCGGGCAAAGTTTTTTTCCTAGCTGCCAAATCGGTGGCACAAAGATTTGTTACGCTTCTGCCGCGAATAGTACAAACATTGCGCATGAAATCAAAACTCAGGAAATTGGTATTTTAGCAAGATGCAAAGTAACACAAACATGTTCAATGTTCATGGAAAGGATTGAAATGAAAATTAGAAAATTGAAGCTTGAACTTTGTCAAGAAGAAGGTCGCAAACTGCAAAGAATATCAACAAGGCCTTATTTATCATTTTTAAAAGATTATAGAATGCTCCCTAATAAGCAAAAGCAAGATATTGATGTAAGATATTGATGTTTGATTATTGATGCTGCCCACAATGTCTTGGGCACATGGATGCTGGAAGTGAGCTCAACTTCAATAATCAGACCTAAGAATCACAATGGATATAGCCATGAGCCAGACTGCAAAGTATGGCAATTTTGTCCAGATGTCGGTGCAGACTCCTTCGTCTGGTGCGGATCTAAGTGTGGTGCGGTGTGGATTTGGTTTGGTGTGGTGCAGATTTAGTGTAGCGGGGTGCGAAGTGTTCTCTCAGCCCCCTTTGGTGTGAATTTTCTGGCTCAGTTTGCAGGGTTTGTGTAAATTTTGAACTTAGGCCAGTGCTCCTTGGTGACCTGCGAGCCATAGGTACTCTGCAGTACTGGCGTGGGCCCATGAGCAAAGTAATATAATATAGTCTGTTCAAGATTCAATATAATAAGTCTGCAAAACACATTCCAGCAATTGTAATTGAAGCAGAATGAATTGTAGTGACCTGCATTCGTATTTTTGTTGTGTCTGTGAAAAATAATAAATATACCTACTTATTGGAAAAATCGTGGCCTTTCAGCACATTTGGCAGAGTTGTGTGACTCTGATGTAGTGGCTCATGTGGAACGCAACGAGCTGCGGAACAAGCTTGAATGGCATTTTGCCTCAGGGCTATCTGCCAGAAACATTTCATCTGCATGAATTTATCTACAGGCAAGTCTGACAAATTTGTGGATTAACTGGGGACCTTGTAAGCCTGCATATTAAATTCTAGCCTACCAGCTCAGCCCTATCCTCAGTTTCAGCATTCAGCATGATAACAGTTCTGATCAAGTTCTGATTGTCACCACTGAGACACCAATGGAGTCCTCTGAAATTTTGCCTTTTAATCAAATTATTTGTAAGAGTTTCAAGCTATATTTAGACCAAACATTTCACTCTCAAAGATCTGCGACCTACCCCACTCGTCCAGTAGGATGGATGCCTGGCGCGCAAACAGTCCAGCAGTGAGCTGCCAGCCGGCATGCAGGGCAGCAGCAGGCAGCGGCAGCAACGGCAACTGGTGAACACGTCTTGGACTGCAGCCACGACATAATCTAGGCTAGCGTCTATTCAATTTGTCCATGTACAAGTCCCACAGCTCCTGCCCGAGGTGCCCGAGGTTGCGCAAGTCAGGGAACTGACCACCTCCAGCCCAGGCGTGGTTCACTGACTCAAGATATTTCAACTGACCAGTCAGAGTTCATGTTTTGCAACTTTTATCCAAGTTATTTGTAATTGTAATATTCTAAACTGAATTTTAGGCATGACTTCATTTTTCAAGAGCTACAAAGAACACACTTTCCCTGTGCAGCACGTCTATTGTCCTAACATTAGTCACATAGTTGCAAGAAGCGACTTGAATGCGGAACCTGCCTGTTTTGAAGCCCTGTTGTCTGTTGGGTGACACTGCACAGAGGTAAGGATGGGGTGTGATTTTGCTGCTGTTTGTCAGGTTCAATATGTGTGTCAATGATCACAAAGTACTATAAAGGTTTAAAAAATGCACAGCATGGCCTAACAAAGCACATTACCTAGGTTTTGACAAGCAGCGCAGCGACTGTGGTACAAAGGCCCAGTCCTGGTCCCATGCTCATGTTAGTAGCTGGATCTGCTCCCAGGAAACAAAGGTAAAACACTATTGACAGCTTTAAGATGAAATCTGCAGGAAAACTAAGCCATCTATAAAATCTAACATACGCTTAAAAGCGCAACAGAGCATTTCTGATTCAACGTGCAGCACTTCCGCTTTCATCCGCCATCAGCAACTCAGTTCAAAGAATGATGCATTACATCACTAAAATTTATTTCAAAATACCTCTGCATGGTGTTTACACAAACAACAGTTCTTTACTAGACATGATCGACCTCAGGCCACCCACACTTCAGCAAACAGGGTATTATCAATGTTTAACGGCTCAAGGTTAGTCGTCTTGGATGTTCAGAAATAAAAAGGTGAACATTCATTGTCTCTTCCTTATTTGTCACCATCAATAGATTGTGGACTCCTCAGAGCATGTCTTGATTATGGAGTTGAAACAGCAGTGAGCAAATCATTTATGATTTTGATACTATGATTAATTTCAGTGAGTTGCACACTTGAACTTGACACCTGCCATTGATAAGTTCATGGCTCTTGCATTCTTCAGTCACATGTAGGACGGCCTCTTAAATATTTAAATACAAAAATAAAAATACTGCTAGAATTAGAAGACTATTAGAATTAGTTTGGCATATCAATTTAATTCTCCACCTCGTGGCGCCGGGCGCTGTTCCATGAGGCGTTGTTATTTTTCAAGGTTTCAATAAAAAACAAGTCGACAGATACAGAAACTTCGGAAAAGGCGGAAACGTCACAGGTTTTAAGTGCCAATACCAATACATTGTGGCACTTATTTGCACAGATGTCAAAATCAAACACGAATTTATTTGCGATGAAGTAATTGCTGGAGAAACGGTTTTCACGACTCTGATTTTCAAAGAACGCCCATCAAGATGGCTATCTCAACTCAATTCTAATGTTAAGGTGGGACAGTCCCTTTAACGATCTCTTAAAGAAATGTATTCAATTAAACAAAAATTTAAGCAGTAAGGGTAATCAAATTTCAGCGTCGTAATAGCGTAGTTTCTGCCATAACCAGCACAGCAGCCTAATCCTATCGGTTCGCCCTCTGAGCCGGGTGATATCGTTCTGTCCTACCCAGTTACCTGCGGCGAGGGTTCCAGCTCCTCCTGCAGCACGGCCACGCGGCGTGTCAGCTGTGAGTTACGGAACGTCAGACTGTCCACCTCCTGCTGCTGCTGGCGGAGCAGCCGGTCCGTCTCTGTGAGCTCCTCCTGTCCGCGGAGAGTCAGGAGTCAGCGGTGGTTCAGCGATCTCACAGTGGCCAGGCATCCTGTCACGGTCACGGCCAACGGTCAGATGTGGTCCGCCGACCTGATCACGGTTGCTTATCGTGTCCACGAACGCAAACCGTCAGCATGGCTCCCTCCCGGTTAGCTGATCTACATCATTACATTTAGGGTGGTGCATGACCGGAAATGAACCGTTTGTCAGTTGGGACGCGCTTCATCTCCTGCCGAGACCAACCGCGCCGATAGCTTGAATTGGTTTTAATGACCTTCTCGGGCCAAATATTGCTATAAGACTTAGTCCGTAGTCGTACGCTACGCATCCTTATGGTGACCGCACTCATCGACAAATATACCTAGGCATCAAACTTAACAATGAAAGTCTCGAAAGTACCTTCATTTGTCATCTACACACTGATATCATTTGTGACAAAAAGTCAATACCTTGAGCTGAGAACTTTTCGCCTGTTCGTCCAAAACAGCCTTCTTCAAAACGGTGCATTTGGCTGTGACCTGTAAGAAAATGCCATGAATTAATAGATTGCTTACACACAAACTAAGGTAAACACTAAACCGCAATAATAGCGCTACGTGATAGCTGCAGGTCACCCCATTATTTTTCAAACGATTTTATGTACTGAAAAAAAGACTACGATTGTCACGTCAATGAGATTCATAGGTGTGTCACATGCAATTCATCAATCTCACCTTGGAATATTCAGCAGCCAAAGTTTGGTACTTGGCCTGAAGATCAACAGTGTCCATTGTTTCACTTTATTTCCTCGATGTTCAAATAGTATCGATGAAAGACATGTGACTTTACATAAAATCGCTCCTGCTGCCGGAAAAAGAAAACTGGTTACAATGGCCAACAATTGTACCGAGCATCACCGCAAGGTATGTACGACCAGTTCGGTCATTGGGAGGTTATGCAAAGCAGTCAAAAGCAGACTGACCTCCACAATACTGTCACAGTGTCACACAGGGATTGGGAGTTTGTGTACCGATGGACGCTCGCTTCAGCATCGGTTATCCCGCGCCCCGCTGGGCTATTCAGCCATACGCGCCCTGCTGGGGGGGGGGGGGGGGCAGATTCTGCCCCCCCCCCTGTCTAACTTCCGAACCGATGGTCGTAGAAAGACGGGGAAAACGGCAATCGAAAGCTCTCAACAAGGCGGATCTTAAGAGCCCAATTTTTTTGCTTAAGTAGGTCAGAGGTCAGGTCAAGGTCAGGTCAAGGGTACAAAATGCAAGTTTCTACAGTATCGGCCTTGCACCGTAGTTGCCGAAGAATGGACTGAGACTGATTGCCCAAAACGTGTTCTTAGACTACCAAGACAATATTCGTTGCACACAATGTCATTCAAAGGTCAAGGTCAAGGTCAGGTCAGGTCAGGTCAGGTCACCAAAAACAAAATATAGAAAAGGGCATGTGCGACACATGTTTTATGGGTCATTTTACTCATGGAATTCAATAGGCACACTCAATAAGTGATATGGACCACCTCTGGATGAGTTTCAGGTCGAGGTCAGGTCAAGGTCAGGTCAAGTGAGGTCAAATTTTGAAGTTGGTTGTTAAGGCCTAAAAAGGTGTCTATCCGATGCAGTTTTTCACGGCGAATCGAATGGTGCTATTTTTGTTTCCGTACGAGGTCTAGAACTTCCAAAAAAATCATTTTTCAAAAAATTTGTGTGTCGTGACGTCATACCATTTTGAATAACTCCCACATTTTTGAACCGATTCTTCTAAAAATTGGTATGTAGGTGCACATAGACCACTTCTTTGACATATATTCCGGCTTTTTCGATAAACTCAAAATTTTGGATTTTATAAATATTTTCCCAAAAAAGTCAGTTTTTTGGAAAAATTTTGGCCAAAATCCAAAATTTTCAAAAAACCGAGATAGCCATTTGATAGACAAAGTAGAATCACGTATAACCTTTTTTGTTACGTCTTGATTCCTTTAAAAATGAAGATGTTAGCGGCGTTTGAAATTTTGCCGTTTTTGAGGCGAAAATGGCGAACATGACGTCACTAAAACGTCAATTTCTCAAAAATTTTCCGACGGATTTCGCTCAAATTTTCAGGGAACGTGTCAAATTGATGTATGATGAGGTACTGAAAGTTTGACGCCGCTGGCGTAACGCGTTTAGAAGTTATTGGCGAAAAACGGGAGGGGGGGGGGGCAGATTTTGCCCCCCCCCAGCGGGGCGCGGGTTATGTCGCAACTCACAACCCAAAAGACAATCTCGATTTTCATTGTTACTCATCATCACGTTTGTTTGTTTGTTGGGGGTTAGGGGCGCGCCGACTGCGAGGTCATTTTGCGCTCAACTCATCATCACGTTACCGCTCGCTTTGGACTATAATCATTCAAGCATAGATGGCCTTGATTCAAGCTGGAAAACAGTTTGTGCATGTGCAATGTGCATGAGGAGTGTCTGTCTGGATGCTCACCACCTGGTCTCCTGATATCTATACCTGAACTGTGTGAGGCTCCCATTCCTGAATCATGACACATCTGTGAATGCATCCCTCCCGCTAAATTCAGTAGTGCCAGGCAACAGGCAATGATGGCAAAAAAAAAACAATGACATGCTTTACCATGGCCTTTAAAAAATTGGTATTGCCATACTAAGCAGTCAAAATATCCCCTTCTCTTGAAAGTTCAGCATATACATCCCAATGAGTTTGATAAGAGCAACATCCCCAGGTCAATTGGTCTTCTTACACCTGAACACTTTAAAGGAAAGGAAAGGAAAAGCTGTCAGCGTCGAGCCACTTGGCTGGTGCAAGGTACAACTATACAAAAATGTGGTAAGGTGATGGAGTTTGCATGGAGGGTGTGTGGACTGTGGAGCCAGGACCCCACCACGGTCAGTGCACTGGAAATGAGGCTGCTTTCTGGTCCCGGCGTTTTATTCTCCGAGTGGGTTACCCCCATCTAGCGCTTAGCCTTTCAGGGTCGCGGCTGTTTTTCACCGCTCGGCCCATTCGAGATGCAAAGTTGATAGTCCCACGAAGTTTATTTGGGGCATCTGAATATACGACTCCGAAATTAATCGATTCTACAAAACCTTTTTCTTTCATCAATATGCATATATTTAACAGTAATTCCAGACTAGGCTGGTTTGGCTGGCCCTAAATAAGCTTCGTTTGACAATTAACTTTGCATCTCGACTGGGGCGAGCGGCGAAAACAACCGCGACCCTGAGTGGGTCCCGAAAGGCTGAGCGCTAGATGGGGGTAACCCACCCGGAGAATAAAACGCCGGGACCAGAAAGCGGCCTCATTTCCAGCACTGACCACGGTACCATGGTGTACTGCTGTTTTAGCCCATCATTCAAGAAAATGATTTACAGAAGGCACAATAGTGGCCATGCCACGGAATAGGGGATTTACCTTAAATAACATTTTTGATATAAAAAGCACAACTATTTATAGGTACTTAATGGTAAAAGTAATAGGTCTTGTATAGTGGAGGGAGGCTTGTGTAGAGTCAACAACCTAGCTCTGCTGGTGTTGCTTGTCAACTCCAATGTCACTTAGCAGCCAGAGTGGGCAGGCATGCAACTAGGTCTAGGGAGTAGGGGTGGTGCTTGCAGCACACGCCTTGGCTATCAGGTAGCCATAAAGCAGGCATCACACTTGCTTTTTTTGCAACAAAGGAGAAGGACTTGACTCAGAGATACTTTCTAATCAAACCAAACCTAACCTCACCAAACCTGACTTAACCTCACCTACAACCTACTACCTAAAACCCACCACCAAAAACCTACAACCTAACCCTGACCTATATCAGCCGGCTCCTACCCAGGAGATGGCAGTAACTGGGGAGTGTTCGCTCGGTCGTGGGGATTACCGCTGTGCCAGCCAGCGCCCCCGGCCGCAGGTACACGGGCCTGATCCGCCTTTTAACAGATCCTTCGGTCCGGTGACATGTCCCGAGGGCACGGCCTCGCCTCATGTCCCGGAGCAGCCCTCTGACCTGCCGGGCCCGAGAAATCGGGATAGCCCCAGCGTGCGCACCAGTGCGGTGCCACCTGGGGTGCGTGACAGGAAGCGTGCGGTCAAAGCTGTCCCGCATAGCGGCTGCCGAAAACGATTCATATCACTGCCGTGTATATTAGGGTGGTCCATTTTGAAAAAGTTTCTAGGATTCGTCGGGCCGGGTCGGAATTCTTGTCGATACCATGACACAATGTTGTGTGCAAAATTTCATTCTGATCGGATAAATTTATCCCGTCCCGCAAAGCGGCCAAAGTTTTCCCTATGTTAACTATAAGGCGATGGGCGATAACACGGATTCTCCCACTCAGTTCACATTTTTTGCTCAATACGCACTGGCAGTCACTAAATAAGAACAGCAAAGGAGAGAAACACATCAGAGTGGAATAGGCATTAGTGAAAGTAGCATATCGGTACTGATTAAAAGACGAGGTCCACCGTGCATCCTAAACCAATCTCCCGCCCGGATGCAACGCCCAGTGTAGTTAGGCTCCTCGACCTGAAGGAAGTGCTGTCACTGTTCCTTGCCGTGCGCGATGGCGCTAAAAATTTGCCGCTGATGAGGGCAACAGTGCAGCACCCGGCTCCTGCAAAGTCGTTTACCACCCGTATATGTGTCGGTCGCCGACGAGCAGTGGTCAAGTCGTCATTGAACGACCCTTCGGCCGGGTCCACTTTGAGGAAATCGTGACTGGCCCCTAGGGCGGTGCCGAGACCAACATATGCAAAGGACGCCAGCGAGCGCTGCTCCACTGCGTCGAGGGCGACGTCGACGCGGGAGGGTTCTTCTATCTTATCCGCTGCTGCATGGAGGTGGCAGTCGCCTGCTTTTCCTCGACCGCCGTCCCGACGCCGAAGGAGACCGATGGCCTTGAGACCTTGCCCATCACCTTTCCCGGTTACCTTCCAAAATCCGTGTGGTAAGCGGCGAGGGCCTTTGGGGAGGGCGATGTCAGTTCCCCATGCTGAGGTCGATCAATGGGCAGACAGTCACGATGCTACCCTTGTGACGATGAAGGTGGTGAACCGGACCATCGTCCTCTTCTCGTGCTCGGTGAGCGCGAGCTGGCAGAAGAGAATGATCTTGAGTGTGTTCATCACCTTTGCAATCCAACGACCACGTTGTAAGGCAACCGGTTCCCCGGCTCCGGATGCTGGCCTCAAAAATCACAGTCCATCACGACGATGGTGAACTGCACCACATCGCGGCAGTCATCCCGGGGCCGCTGCTTCATCAGCAACGCACATCAGGTGACAACCATCTTGTCGGCGAAATCGATTAAGTAATTGAGCGGTTTGAACGACACTCGTTCCGTGAGCTGCCAGCACTTTACAAACCGCTTGAACGACGGGATCTCGGGAGCCCGGGGCCGGAAGACGGATAGTGAGTGCCAAGTGAAAGAGGCGCCCTGCACTTGCTCTTTCGTAAGGGACTGTTTCATCCAGCAAGGATTTGCTTTTTCTGGCTGCCAAAACAAGCCACATTTCGGTGATTGAGCGTGTGCCTCTTGCAGCTACAGCGGCGATCCCAAACGCAGGCAAAGCCACAAATAGCGTAATGCATATCGCACCTCCTGGCATGTATGGTGGCTTGTACTGGCACTGGAGAACAGGAACTGCAACAGGAATTGTGGATTATCGTTCCTGTCTGTGGCTGATAGGAAGACTAGATCTATCATTGAGAAGGCTAGAGAGGACTGGTGCGATGAGCAGGCAAGCTCATTGGTAGATAGCCGCTGGCACGACTGGGCAATGTTAAAAGACGAATATTCTCCCTATACTAAAGACTGGTACGTATAATGGAAACTTTGACCGCTTTGCGGGACGGGAAAAAATCATCCGATCTTAATGAAATTTTGCACAGAAGCTTGTGCTATAGTATCGACAAGAATTCCGACCCGGCCCGATGAATCTGACGAACTTTATTTTTACCATGTAAATGTGGACCACCCTAGTGTATATAGTGTACTAACCCAGCATGAATGCGTGCTACTAACGACAAAAACCCAGGCTGGGCACCAAAAATATTTTTTTTAAACCCTGACCTTCAGCACCTCTCCTTGGTCATGGTTGCAAAAAAGTGTGACGCCCACTTTACTACTACTACCCCCTATCCAGCATCACTGAATCACTTTGACTTGGGGTTTGTCATTGTCCTTAGTTTGAATTGCAGATAATTTCTGCAATTCAAATTGGAGTTTTTGGAATTGGAGTAATTGGAGTTTCTAAAATTAAAAATATGTCACAACGTCCAGGGCTGCGGAGTCTGAGTCTGAGTCGGTCTGAGTCGACAGCTCTGCTCGGAGTCGGAGTCGGAGTCGCCAAACTTTTAACGACTCCGACTCGGAGTCGGAGTTAACGCTGCATGTATTAACGTCATGCACTGCACCTGTCTGATGGACAATACTGCGCTCGAAATGAGATTTTGTGGAAAAAAGGCCATGCTGCTGTTTTGGACGAACGCTTTCAGCAAATAATCCATATCCTTATATGGATTTTAATAGAACCGTCCGGAGTCGGAGTTGGAGTCGGAGTCGACTTTTGAAGCCGGAGTCGGAGTCGGAGTCGGAGTCACCCTAAAATCCATCGACTCCAACTCCGCAGCCCTGTCAACGTCCCTATCATTTCTATCCGGCCCGTTCAATGCCTAAATGATGAGGCTAATTCCAACCAACTACTTGCCAATCAATCATTGATTCAATCTGAGAATGCTAATTCACATAATATTGGGAAAAAATGGCAAAAAAGATACAGTAATAATCCATTCAAACCAAAAGAGCACGGCCCCACACCACAGACCACAGTGTATAAATAGCCAACACAATAACGAAAAACGTGTTCTGCCAGAATGGCCGTGTTTCCAAGAGATTTCGCGAGCACATATTCAGCCAGTCATACGGTGCAAAAGGCTATTAGCTAACGGCAGACGAAAGCTGCAAGCATCATCGAACACAATCAACCAGCTGCTCCTTAGTCAGAATTCTTACTAAGTGACGTTTTATAATAAAATAGCAATTATTTCTTTGTATAGACTTTTGAATGAACATTTAATTACATATTCTTCAAAATTATAAATAAACAAATTGCGTTACAAATTTAACTTAGAAATTTTGAAAGAAAAATGTCACTGACGTCATTTGTAAATTTCATTCTTTCTTCTTTTCGGTTCCTCTTTTCACAGGTTTCATATCTTTGGAAATAATTACTTTTCTCTGACGATTTGGTGAGCCTGATTCTCTCATGTTCCCTTTATTTTCATTTACATGTTCTTTTTTTACCTATTTAACCGTCACATCTGATACCCAGGACGTTGTAAGCTTGGTTGTAAGAGCTTCAGTCGTTCAATTACAGTAAAATTGTCGTATTTTTACTGTTCCTGCTTACCATGTTGAGGTCTTGAAACAACTTTTTTTTATAAATTTAGCCCGAAGCCTTTGAATGGAAGAATTCACAAGGACAGAGCCCCGCTAAGTGAAGCTTGATGCGTTGACCCTGCCCTCTACCCTCCGATCGATCGCGCAATTCTATGGCAGAATTTAGAGTAAAACTTCGCCTGGCTACGGCCTGCCACTTATCACAACCATACCTGTCAGGAGGCTCATAAATGTCAAGTGCCCATCACGCTACGAACCCAGACTGTTGTAACTGGGAACGCGTGCTCTCACCATGTGGAGTCCAACACTCTACCGACTGAGCTATGGGACTGGCTCAGTTGTTTCACAGTTGTTTTATCAAAAAATGTTTTATCAAACTGTTTTATCAGGCCGGTCCCTTAGCTCAGTTGGTAGAGCGTTGGCTGCCTAGTGCCTGCGCATGGTGAGAGCATGCGTTCCCGGTTACAACAGTCCGGGTTGAAAGCGCGAAGGGCGCTTGACATTTATGGGGCTTCTGACAGGTATGATTCCGGTTGGTGGCACAGTAGCCAGGCAAAGTCAGTGAGGGCACCGACCGTGCATTGCAGTTAAACTTTGGACTCTAAATGCTGCAATAGAACCGGAATTGCGCAACTGGAGGGTAGAGGGCAGGGTCACCGCAACAAGTTTCGCTTAGCGGTGGCTCTGTCCTTGTGAATCCTTCCTATCAAAAGGTTCAGACTAAATTTATTTTAAAAAATAATATAACTGTGAAAACTTAGGCCACTTTTACAAACAGAAAGATTGCCGACTGCAAGTACTTTCATTTCTGAAAGTCAAGTCAAGGCAGTCACAAAAATCATGTTACTGAAACCTGCAACATATACTCACCTTACAAGTTGGTTAGTACATTTTAGACAAAATGCACTAAAAAATCACATAGGCATATCTTGGTGCATTTAGCCCCTGGATCCATTTGTGAAAGTGGGACATGAGCATGCTTCTGGGCAGCACAGAGAGGAGGACAGAGACTGTGTCAGGTGTCGCTCCTCACATCAGCCGTCCACAGGGGTCGGTGGTGGTGGATGTGTCGGCGGATCAGCCGCTGAGTCGAGTGTCGGCCCGATCAGCCGCTGAGTCGAGTGGCGGCCCGCAGCTCGCTCTTCTTCCTGTGCCTTGAGTGACGGAGCGATCCTGATCGGGGTCAATCCGGACGATGGCGGTGGCGACGGTCCCTGTTTGGTGCCCACTACTGGCCTAGCTGTGGCCAGCACAGAGGCAGTGCTACCTCTGGCCATGACAACGGAGACTCTTCGTGAGAGCCAGACTGAGAGCCAGACATGGTAGAAGTCTTCAAAATTGTCAAGGGCTTTGATGTGGTGAATGCTGGTGGGAAGTTTCTTCAAATGGACGCTGGGCAACGCAGCGACAGGACTCGCGGTCACTCGCTTAAACTCGCCAAGCCAAGACACAGAACCCTCAAGAGAACCATGTTCTTCTCATCACGAGTTGTTGACCACTGGAATAGTTTGCATCAAGAAGTGGTAGAAAGTCCCATTATCAGTTCGTTCAAAAACAGATACGACCAATGCATGAATAGACAGTGAGAGAGGCAGCATCCTATGAGCCCAGCTCCCTTGCCTCTTATCCTACATTCTAGGTAAGAACTGTTTCGTGCTTGTCGCCGCTGCGGGCCGCCAGCCGACGGACAAGCTCCTTCATGAGACCGAAGGCCGCCAGACCCAAGACACCAGACGTTTCGACTGCGAAAGGGACGAGGGCGTATCGCTCTCTCATGGACAGCATGATCATTTTTTCTGCAAAGCTCAAGCTCCATCAGTGGTCAAATGTCTCCCCCTAGACGCTGTAAGAGGCCATTATCAGCGAGAGTCATTTGCCCTTGGCCCTGAATACATGAGCAAGTAAATACTATCTCAAACATATTTTCCTTTTCGCTAGGCACTGTAATCTGTTTGTAATGCACATTCACTCTGCTCATGTATTGGGGGCCATTGACCGGGGATCATTAGCAAAGTGGGATACTTAATACCAGTAAAACGCCTTTTGGGCGAAGAACGAGCGAGCGATATAGTGAGCCCTGCACGTGCGGAAGAGCGAGAGGGTGCTTCCAACGGGCTTGCGCAAAGCACCCTTCTAACTGGTCGCTAGCGGTGTGCCAAATTTGAACGCAATCGGCCCAGCCGTTCCTGAGATCTGGAAGCGGCATTCTGCACGTGCGCACGTGCAAACGGGGTCCAAAATGACTTTTGCACGGCACCCTACTAACTGGTCCCCAACCGTGTACCAAATTTGAGCGCAATCGGCCCAGCCGTTCTCGAGATCTGGAAACGCCCCTTGCACGTGCGCACGTGCAGTAGCACCCTAACCGCAACACATGGGAATGCATTGCCTGGTGGGTGCCTACCTGTTTGCCAAGTTTCAGCGAAATCGCCCCAGTAATTACCGAGTTACTGAAATGGGAACAAATTTGGCACCTCTTATTGTTGTATTTTGCACGTGCACTGGGGGTGACCCACATGCATCGAGAGTATCCTATTTTGGGTAGAAGGGATGCTGCTACCCTATAAAAATTACCGCAAGTCAATCGCCCAAGCGGCTGCTGAGATATGAGCCTCTCAAAAGCACTACTTTTGCAAAACAGCTTGAACACCCTTGACTTTTCACGTGGCACGTGCCACGACGGTCACTGAGATGTATCAAAAGTAGTCAATTACGGGGTAGAAGGGATGGGGCTACCCAACAAAAAAGACTGCAGGCCAATCGGACCAGCGGTTGCTGAGATATAAGCCTCTCAGAAGCGTTACAGGCCGGGCCGGGCCGGGCCGGGCCGCTCATACTTAGATAGGCAAGTTGCACATTTCAATCATGTATTAATGTATTGAATGCTGGGCACACATCTGAAACAGAGACACACAGGTATATCAGCGTTATTACGAGCGAGTTGTCAGTAACGTCAGCAGTGCATATTGTTACTAGTTTGTAGATTGTGAGTCTTTGTCCGTCAGGCTCCCAAAGACTTGGGGGGAGATAGACAGGCATAACGCTGATATACCTGTGTGTCTCCCCCCAAGTCTTTGGGAGCCTGACGGACAAAGACTCACAATCTACAAACTAGTAACAATATGCACTGCTGACGTTACTGACAACTCGCTCGTAGGTGTGTGTGAGGAAGTATGTGTGCCCAGCATAGATAGGCAAGTTGCACATTTCAATCATGTATTAATGTATTGAATGCTGGGCACACATCTGAAACAGAGACACACATGTATATCAGCGTTATGCCTGTCTAATACTGAGATTTTTCCGTTATATTGAAAAGACTCACTTCGCTCGCTGCGCTCGCTCGCTCGTAACAAACAAAGAACAATGCTGAGCAAATAGAAAAATCCGTTCCTGATGCGCATTTACCCGCTGTGATGTGTTGGGGCCACTGACCTTTTAACCTGCCCTTTACTTTTCAGGTACCGGGACCAGCCAATCAAAGTCAACAAAAATGGCTGGAGTTGTTGCTAAGCTGCCGGCAATGGGAACCAGTGAGTATTTTCCCATCACAGTGTAAAATAGGACGTTAAGTGAGACGTGAGCTCTGGCTTCCTTTGTTCAACACAGCCAGTATTTATTCAGCGTCATGGCAGAGGCACTTATGCCCCTTACGGTTTCTTGCGCTTCTTACCTATAATTTGCAAATCTTTTTGAAGAAACGGCTTCTTTTGTGCTCATATGATTTCAGCGGTAGGCCACCTTATCATCGAGAACACGGTAACCCACGCTATGGGGGATAGTCGTTTCTACGTTCCCATCTTTCGATGTTTTGCGATTACCTAAATAAACGGCGGCGTGACACCTGGCGATATCGTTCTGTGGCACTTCTATAGAGCCCTGGGCACACCTTATCATACATTTTTTGACATGGGATATAGGGTCGCAGGTGCATTTTGTGACCTCTCCATTTGGGAGCAATGGGGAAAAATTGAGCTGTCTGTTGTCTTGTCCTCATCAGTGACGTGAAATTACGCTAATATTTACATCTTTCGGCAAAGTCACTTAATACCGGAGCATCGTTACCGAGGTTTTACACTAGACTAGAAAATTGTCCCTGTGACACTGCCTCATGCCTCTTTTATACTACCTGAATCATCTTAACTCACGAGTCACGAAAGGTCATCGACAGTTTTTGCGACAGCTTTTGATAAAAGTGTGCTCTAGCGATGAAAACATCTTTTTGTTTGTTCAGCTCAACAGGATGGATCTGGTCAGGTCATGGTCTTGACTTTCGGTCAAATTAACTTCAATTCACTTACCGTGGCCTGGTTACCCAACCTTTTCAGATATGAAGTCGAAATTTTCCGGACGCAGCATGTGTTATTGATAGCCAACAGACAGTTCTGCAAAATTTGGTGCATCTAGAAAACCTACAACGTACAGAGGGCCAATAGGGGTCCCCCCTCCCCCATCTGTTCGTGGGTTATCTCTTCCATTTGTCTTGTTTGTCCAGTTTGTATTCGTTTATATCAACATTGTGCGACGCGCTTGACCAGATGTTGATGATACACAGATACAGCTCTCTGTAGGTGGTTCCCGCCCACCGCAACTGCTGACCTCCCGGCCCTCTCCCCCCTCAGACCTGGTGAACGCCGCCCGGCCGCGGCTGGCCACCTTCCTCAAGTACGCGCGCGTGGAGCTGACGCCTCCGAGCCCGGCCGACGTGCCGGCCATCCAGCAGGGCCTGTCCAACCTGGTGAAGTCGGCGCGCACCGGCGCCTGGAAGAACCTCACCGTCAAGGAGGCCACCGTGAACGCCCTGGTCGGCGCCGAGGTGGTCTTCTGGTTCTTTATCGGCGAGTGCATCGGCAAGGGCTCGCTGGTGGGATACCAGGTCTGAGCTCTGTGTCCGCTGACGTCTGATTCGCGCGCCGCTGTATGATGAACTGATAGAATACAAATGTACACATAGAGAGATGAGTGTGGTGGTTGAGACGGCGCGTGACGGTGATCCGAATCACTACATTACGAGTCTGAGAAATGGAATACGAAGTGACGAACATTTCAAAGTAACGAACTTGCAACTGAAAATGTTGTTAATCACCGATTTAACTCTCCTCGACTCGGCACTTGGAAGCATTTGAGCTGCCATAGATATTTTAGCACCTCTGTGGTTCATCGACAGTGCCGGGTAGGCCAAGCCCCGAGACCGAAGGACTGATTGCGCAGTCCCACCACCCGTTGACGGATCCGGCTGGAGCTACGGGCAGCATAAGGTCCAGCGGCCCGCGCCAGCGGGGATGGGTAACCGGCGGGTTGACGTTATTTCCACGCTCTACCATCGCCCAACGGTAATGCTAAAAACGGGTCTCTTAGAGGGAGCCGTGGTCGTCAATACCCTCTCCCCTCCCCTACCAGCCGCCGGCCCATGACCGATCAGTTTGTCGCCCTCGGCCCTTGGCAGTTGGCACGTCACGTTTTGCAATCGAAGATCAGAGATTGTCTATCCTATACGGCCCCGTCTCGCTTACTTACAAATATCAGCTCGGATCACTCACGGCCACGCTGCAGATCAAAGTGTCCGGTCAAAACGCAGCGGAGTTGAAGTGGATTGCCCCAAGATTGTCCCAGCTCGGTCTCCATCGGTCTGAAGTCAAAACCTGAAAGGATAACGGTGCGATGTTTCGACAACCCTGGCGGCGCGCACAAAGCAGGATGAAGTTTCTATCAGCCATGAACGTAGGGCTAAATTTGTGGGCTCTCAAATTTATTGATTGGTGAATGGTGAGCCCGGCCTTATGACTCGCTTGATTCATTTCTCATTTCTCCTTCCAGTAGCTCCCGAACGCTGGGGTGGGCAGTATTTTCCCTTTTTCCTTCATATGGCTGCACATATGGTATTGCACATTTAGGGCACTAATGACGCAACAGAGACATTTATTTTTCTCATTTAAAGCAGCTTTCATACTAAAGAGATAATAATGGTAAAAGTAATTCAATCTTTGACTTTCTGCCAAGGCCTCGTCTAACATGTTAACTGGGGGGGGCCAAACCCCCGCAGTCATCGGCCTGGCCCCCCCATCCAGGGCAAAAAGTCACTACTGGGGGGGCCGGCAATAGCCAAAAGGCAAACGAATTTTTAGTTCGAGGCGTCAGTGCACATAAAAGCAAATGTGTAAACGAAACATGGATGCAATGTGAGCACATTGATACCTACCCGCACTGAAAAAATTTTTACTCACTTTTCTGAGTAATGACTGAGTTGCCATTTTGTCCAATGGTAAAACTCACTCTAAATCCGCGTACTCAGGTAAAACTCAGGGCGGAACGCAGGTAAAACTCGGGCAAAACTCATTGCAAGTGAGTAGCATGTGAGTAACAAAGTGAGTTGCCATTTTGTCCGATGGTAAAACTCAGATAAAACTCAGTAAGTACTCATGCGTAACTCATGTCCTACTCAGACAACTCAGGCCAAACTCAGGTATTAGTAAGTCATTACTCATGAAAAACTAGGAAGTAACTCACATGTAACTCAGCTGGTACTAATGTATAACTCAGGTGGTAGTACGGCCATAACTCAGTTGGAACTCATCGGTTATTCAGTGAAAACTAGGGCTGTACTCAGGACGTACTCACGTCGATAACTCATACGATACTCGGGTGTTACTCAGGCGCCGCCTGAAACGGCTGATCTGATTCGTTTTATATTGGCTCAAGCCAATGTATAGGCTCGCCGCCCATGATAACAGCTGCCGCATCAGCATTATGCAATATGCATGCATGATGCTGATACAACAGCCACTACCAGGCAGCTAGTCTATATATTGGGATTGGCCAATATATAACGAATCATTGCCCAAAACCAGCATACATATCTGTATTATACCATGCCCGACCAACGTCTAGTCTTGCACTATTCGCCCCAGCCCTTACAAGAAATACATGTTTGTAGAAACGGTCGCATTGCGCTGTATTTCAATTCTGACACACGCCAAACTGCGTCGGGGGGGGGGGGGATCGACTCCACGTCAGCTCAGCTTCACTCTTTTGCCAGCTTCTCGACCTCAGTCTTCGCGGCTACAGGTGGCTGGCGCTCAGCATTGAATGGTGTGTGGAGCACATGGATACACACAAACCACAGCGTGTTTCGCACTTTGTGCGCCGTTTGTTGACTGAGCACAAAGTGCGCCGTCGCCCACAGCAAAAGACTCCCTTCCAAACCATGGATCCCCACAAGACTTCCGTTCGCTCCACGATGAGGCGGCACCGTTCGTTTTCTTCGGACTTGTTATGATAGGGGTGATCCAAATTTTCGTCACCCGTGTACGCCACCACTAACGCCTTCTCCGCCAAGATGCAGAGGAGGCTCAATGGGCCGTTCCCTGAAAACACAATAAAAAAGTCAGATTTTCTTTTGCCAGTAAGAGAAACGGAAGTTATAGGGCATGCAAGGTGATTGAAATATCAAAAGTTATCAAGTTACTTCAGCTCAAAATTAATGTTAAACCGCGCCGTGCTGGTGCTCTGAGTTTACCGTGATGTACTGGGGGGAGGGGGTCGTCTTCACGTCCGCTCTTCTAACTCGGCTGTTGGGGTTGGGCCACGTAGCGACACGCCGTAAGCGGCTTTCGAAAAAGCATTAAAGATATTTAAGGAAATACTTGGGTAATTTTAAGGTCAAGTCAAGTGCCAGGTCACCAGAGGTCAGGAAAGGCCAAATTTTGCTTATTTCAATATTTCCGAAAAACTGGGGTTTAACTCGGAACCAAAAGAGCTGCCCGCGGAAAAATGCAGTCAAAAGCCCTTTCGACTTTTTTTTTTGCTGGCGTTTGATCTCAGATTTGACCTCAGGTCAACAATTAAGCCTCCAGAGAGCAAAAACTCTAAAAAAGCCGTTTTTACCAAAATGTTTTCTGTAATACTTTCCACTCAAGAGTCACGACATTTATTTTGCCGTTAGCATGTGTTCCTCTCGTCGGGACGAATGAACTATAATTAGACCTTGAAAGGCCATATTTAAAACTTGACCTTAGGTTGACCTGACCAGGTCATGTTGCATATCAGTCGATCCAAACCGTCAAGCTGAACACATATGAGGTGTTTTATTGCACTAGCAAATATATTTTGTACATGCCGTAAGGTTGATACTTGAGACATGGTGATGGGACAGTATCAAAAACGCTATACAATGAAATCCGTTCGATATTTTTTTGACATTTTACCTCAAACTGGTGTGAAATCGAGCGGTGAATTCCCTGAGCGAAAATGACAAAAATATCGAACGGTTTCCATGGCACGTTGCGAACGGTGCGATCGTCAGCGACCATTGAAATTTTTCCGATGTTAAGTCATTTGACGTGACCTGACCTTGAACGACCTGGGTCTAAAATTTCTTCATATGCAGAAACAAATGTATGAGCAGGTGTGCCGAAAATGGTGGCGCTGCGCGCCGCCGTTCTGAGATATTCGCGAAAAACCTGAGGGGGCGGGGTGGGGGGCGTAAAACGCCACCCAGCACAGCGCGGGTCAAGGTCGGATGGTCACCTTAACAGTCGGGTTTTAGTCTCGCAAAACACTTCCATGGGCGTCCAATATTAAAATCAGCTTGAAACAATCACATAAAATGTGTTATACTTAACAGTAATGGAAATAAGTATGTCACGTCCAAACGCGTCTCGCCGCGGTATCTAATAATCTAATATGTAAGGAAGGTTGAAAATGCTCGCTGAAATCGAATAGTGTACGAAAATATGTGTGTAGGCATTAAAAAAACAGTCGGAAAAAATAATAACAGTGGAAAAATAATAAGCACAAACGAGACAAAAGAATCTTAAACGGTTCAGCGAGTGGAGACCATGGGCTCCACCACCGGGGGGGGGGGGGAAGGGTACGGGGGACGTGTCCCCCAATATTTTACATTTTTAACATTGTGCCTATGGAATATGGATGCTGCATGGAAAGAATCGACTTCAAACAACCTTCGCCCCCCCCCCCAAAAAAAAACATCGGGTCGTGACGGAGTTCTTGTTTAAAGAAGTAAAAAGGGTCAAATGAACGTTCTTTTACGATAAGGACAACATTATCCCACAAACATGTTTTTTTTTAACCCTCGCATGTGTAGGGGGGGTCGGATTGACCCCCTTTCCCCATGGTTTTTCGCGAATAACTCGCGTAAAAAGCGGCTGATAGCGACGAAACTTTCAGTACCATCGCATTGATCAATTTTACACCTACCCTGAAACTTTCATGACCCTGACCCAAATGACCTTTGACCTGTGACCTCTTTTCCGAGACCATGTTTGGCCGGAATCGCGATTCGGCGTACGTCGGCTCGCATTAGCCGCGCGTTTGCAAGCTTTTCGTGGTTTCAAACGTTCAAACATGTGATTTGATGCTGCTCCCATGCATTAGGGTGGGTGTCAAGGTCACCTGAAGGTCAGGTCAGGTCATTGACCTTTGGTGACCTCGGGTGACCTCGGTTCACTTTTTCGAGTTTTACATGTTTCTAGGCTAGTTTTTGGAGCTGAATTCGAATTTAACAACCATTTGAACATTTACGAAGTAGTTTTGGTGCCTTCGTAACATGTTACGAAGCTGTCAGAGGCGGTTGACACGTACTACGAATACCCGTCACGACGCCTACTGATTGACCTGACCTGACCTGACCCGACCTGGTCTAAATGCTTAAAGACATCATCTGTGATCAAAACTAACACGATATTCATGATCAGTACCCCGAAAAACCCCTAAGCAGCCACACTTTACGACTTTCTAATAGGTCCCGATTTTCCCGACTTTGGGTCATTGACCTGACCTGGAAGGTCAACCAATGACCTAGGACCTTAAAATTGGGTATCATCGGCTTCCTCTCGTCACGGGCAACACGCTCGTTTTTTCCGCGAAGCTCTAGCTCGATCAGGGGCCAAACGGCAAGGGGGGGTCCAACCGACCCCCCCCCCCCTACACATTAGAAGCTGGAAAACGCCGTACACATGCAAGGGTTAAATTTAAATATAACATAACTCACCTCTTCTTTCTCGAACTATGCCGGGTAGGTATCCCTCAGTTTCTCGATCGATCTGCTCCGCCGTTCACGGTTGGCACCGACCTCCTGACGCCGGCGGGGAATGTCTGCTGGTCCATCAGTTCATCTCCCTGTTCTCCGCGGCGCATGCGATTGATAAAAGCTTCATCGACAATCACCGAGCTCTTCACAGATAACTTGCCCGTCCCATCCTTCGCTGCACGCCTTCCCCGCTCCTGCACTCTCCCGCACAATTTCACAATAGCCTCAACAATTCAACGTGAACTACGCGAGTCACCGCGCCACAACGGACTGAAGCGCGCGCCGCGGTTTTCGAACGCAACGGCTATAATACTCATCACGCGAACTCACGCATCACGCAGGAAACTCAACCTGCCGCGCATGCGCGCATCTTCAAGCCGGGGGTACCTCACGCACAACTGCACGTGAATTCGCGAGAACTCATGCATTGCGCAGGAAACTAGATTTGCCCAAGCAAAACTCATTTCCGACTCAGTTCGAATTCACGAAACTAAGCACTCAGAACTCACGCATAACGAAGTCACCCTGGTGATGTGAGTTAGATCAGCCAATAAGTGAGCACCACTATCGTATTCACTGAGTTTCTTCATGAGTTATTACTGAGTTATGCCTGGCCTGAGTAAATTTTTTTTTCAGTGCGATTACTTAGACCTGTTATCAAGTGTTTATTTTGTTTACCTGACCTTAACCATTTTTTTCGCTCAGCAATACGTTACATGTCGTCTTTTCAGGCGCCCAACTCCGTGTCTCTGATATTCTTTTTTTATAAATTTAGTCCGAACCTTTTGAATGGAAGGATTCACAAGGACAGAGCCCCCGCTAAGCAGAGCTTGTTGCGTTGGCCCTGCCCTCTACCCTCCAATCGCGCAATTTCTGATCTATGGCAGAATTTAGAGCCCAAAGTTTTACGTATGCACATAGCCGCGCACGGCCGGTCCCCTCACTGACTTCGACTGGTTACGGCCTGCCACCAACCGCAACCATACTCGCCAGGAGGCTCATTAACATCAAGCGACTCTGTCGCGCTTCGAACCCGGACTGTTATAACCGGGACGCGTGCCTTCATCACGCGGAGTCCAACGCTCTACCGACAAAAAAATCTCCTATACATATCAATCTGTTGTTTCTGTCCTCGGGGCGTCAAACTCTTGTTTTTGCCTATCGTCGTCCTCACTATGCGGCGTCCAACTTCTAGCTGGACGGTCACCGGTGTGCGGCTAGAGTAGCTCCTAATCGTAATGAAGCAGGATTCCGTGGTGGTCGTACGTAGGCGTAGGCGCAGATTGGTTGTCTGTCTGTGGGGACGGGAACTGACAGCTGGATTATCTAAAGAAGTCGGCGTGGAGTCCCGGTGGGCAAATGCCAGCCAAATGCCAGCCTGTAGGGTCCTAACGGGCCTCAAATTGCACTACTACACGGGAAATCTTCATTTTTTGTTTAGTTTATAGCCTCTGACAACCTTAAGGTTGTGTCGGAGATCCACGGCGATTACGACTTACGGAGAATCCACCTGAGAAGCCATCGGTCTCCAAGTTGATACGTAGGCATTACACTAGTCTGAGGGGGCCCTAGTTCTGAGGGCCCTAGTGGACTCTCAGAACTCGGCAGAGCTCTGAGTCAAGCGCTCAGTCTATGCGTGTGGGCCCCCGACATACCTAAGGCTCGGCATGTAAATTCCTTAGACAAGGCACTGCCGCTCAAAAACGCTCAACACCGATAAGTGTGATTATTACTGTCTGATGGGGCAATGTGAGGAGGCTACAAACTAATATAAAAGCATGGGTCGGATGGCCTATTATTTTTTTTCTTTAGTTTTCAAAAAAAAAATCATGGTGTCAGGGCTGTGATGAAAAATAAGTGGTCTAAATCCGGTGAGAAAACAGGATTTGGGGGTACCATAGGTTTGGCTCCTTCAGGCTCTGGCCCCCCCAGTGAAAATTCCTTAGACGAGGCCCTGCTTTCTGCTGCCCATTATTCAAATTTGAATGTAAATGTCGTACTTCTTTAAATTTTCCAATATTTTCAGGCGTGAATATCTGTCAAAGCACAAGAAGCTGTCTAGTTCTGGAGAAGTGTATGCGAAAGCTGTAGACGTGGCAGCTAATTAACCGTTCAGTATGAACCTGCCCTAAACTTCCGGCGGAGGGTTGAAGATCTCGATATTTGCCTCCGGCGAGAGGAGACAACAAAAATCACAAACAACCGAAAGTTGATGGGGGTCAATGCCCCTCGAGAAAACGGTGAATAATAACGAGAAAGCTGGCCAAGGGGTACGCTGGTGAGTCAAGTAAGTCTTTTTGTTTTAGCAATTGACAGTATTGCATGGTATCACTATCCACGGAATTCAGCGTGTTGATGTAGTCCAGACTCCAGGCTGTTTTCTAATTTTAATGTGCTATGGAAAGGACGTCAATCGTGGATTAGGTACCCAGGTTGAGGGGTATTTATTTACTTTAGGTCCGCAAAGCAGAGGGGTAAATAAAAGTCATTCACACGATACTCTAAGACCTCCTGATTTCATTTCTGATACTTATTCCTTCTAGAAACCAATTTAAAAGCACCAGTACACTAGTACCTAGCACCAGTATCACCACCAACGGCCCCACCTCCGACCGGAACTGCACGTGTCAAAAGACTTAAGACCGTCTGCGCGGCGCACCCGCTACAAATGTTCCAACCAAGGTTGAGCGAAATTACGGATGATAATAAATTGTAAGGAAAGTGACGTCAAAATAATCGTGGCGGAGCGGTGCAGTGCCGAAGGCAATGCCTTAGGAGAGATTACAGGCAATGGTAAGTCAAATATTTTTAGGTTAAGTGGTTGTGTATCTGGCTTCAGGCCGAAGGCCTGAAGCCTGATGCATAACCACTTAACCTAAAAATATTTGACTTACCATTGCTTGCAATCTATTCATGCAAGTCACTTTTTCCTTTTCCCCCAGTAGGCAAACATCAGTAGGTCAGGTTAGGTAAGGTTTGGTTATGTTCTGATCATTTTCTCATGCTCTATTACCTTTGCTAAATATTTTCTCTTTTATTCACCGTTTTTCTTGTGCTTTGGTATTATGACATCATTTTCATAACGTCAAAAACTAATGAATATCCACATCATTTTTTCTTTTATAGGGCAGCGTTGTATGTTTCGTTTTTGTTGCGGAAGCGTGCTTTCTTCAGTGTGTATTGTGCAGCAGTGCGGTGTAATGTTCTGGGGTTTTAGTATCTTATTTTACATTTTTGATGCATTTAAGCATCATATCTGAATTCAGGACATCAAATAGTGTAAGAATGTGCATTTTTTCTTGTTAAAATAATATTGCGGACCTAAAGTAAATATTTACCGGTTGAGGTACCTACTTGCCCTCCTATCTCAATCGAATGTACCTGATGCTGCAGTGCACTGTGCTGCGCTGCTATACTGCCTACTGGCGCAGCATTTGAGACGAAGCTGGCTTGATGCTTCAGCGTTGCGAGCGTCCAAGTTTGTTGATCTTTCCATGGAAACCTAATGCACTGCCGTGCACAGCGTGCAGTTACATACACCGTACATCAGTTAATTGCCATGCGTTAGCACAGTTTGGGATGTCCATAGGTGAAGGAGCCATGGGGTAGTGGGGGCAGCCTACCCCCATAACTTTGGGGTCATGGGGTGCTGCTGCCTGCCCCCACTCATTTGATACTTGCTGGCATTGGCATGCCCATTTGCATGCCTGTCTTGATGTCTCCATTTTCTGTTACAGGGCACAATATTCATGAGAAAGGAAGACATCCAGGCCCCAACAATGTTTCCTTTGTCTGACTCATCGATGAAGTATGTCAGCCTGGTGACTTTGACTGTGCAAAATGCGCTGCTTGGGCTGTGCACGCGCTACGTTCGCACCAGGCCCGGTGACATGTTTTTATCCACTTCTGCTGTACTGATGGGTGAATTGGTAAAGCTCTTCACATGTATCGCCATCCTGATCGTCACGGAGCGCTCACTGGATCGCGCTTGGTATGCCATCAAGACGCAGATCCTCCAGAACAAGATAGACACACTGAAGGTTGGCGTACCAAGTCTCATCTACACCATTCAGAACAACCTACTGTACATAGCTGCTTCGAACCTGGATGCTGCCACCTACCAGGTGACGTACCAGCTGAAGATCCTGACGACGGCGATATTCGCGGTGACGCTGCTGCGCCGCTCGCTGCGGCCGCTTCAGTGGGTGGCGCTGCTGGTGCTCCTGGTCGGTGTGGCGCTCGTGCAGCTGGCCCAGTCTGTGCCGGGAGGAGCCGAGGCGGCCGCCGCCGCCGGACAGAGTCCCCTGCTCGGCTTCTGCGCGGCCCTCGCCGCCTGCTTCCTCTCCGGGTTCGCCGGCATCTACTTTGAGAAGATCCTGAAGGGCTCCAATGTGAGCGTGTGGATCCGTAACGTGCAGCTGAGCTCTCTGTCGCTGCCGCTGGCCTTGCTGACGGGCCTGCTCACTGACGGGGAAGTGATCGCTGCCAAGGGTCTGCTCTTCGGATTCGACGCCTGGGTGTGGTTCGTCGTCATGCAGAACGCCATGGGAGGCCTCCTGGTTGCCGTCGTGGTCAAGTACGCCGACAACATCCTCAAGGGCTTCGCCACCTCTCTGGCCATCATCATCTCATGCATCGTGTCCATCTACTTGTTCGACTTCCAGCTGACGGCGCAGTTCGCGCTGGGCACTGCGCTGGTGCTCCTGGCCGTGTTCATGTACAGCTACCAGCCGAAGGAAGCCGCGGCTCCGCTCACCACCGTCTCCAGCAAGGTTTGAACACCGGCCAGTCCAAAGACGAACGGATCATTCCGTTGATTCCCAGCCGACGAAACAGACTTCGTCAGCATATACATTTTATGTGGCATTATGATTCAAGCTCATTTGTTCTGTCTGAGGCCATGTTCTTTTTTATAGTTAGCGCTCAGGTTGTTGGGGTGTAAGGGTGTTTACTTTACTGGCCAACTCTCCTAGTCCGTCCTTGGCCATTATTGTGTTTATATTTTTCTTCACTGTGTCTGGTGCTGGGAATGGGTCTGGTAACGCGGCTTGTGCCAGTGAGTGATGTGCCGTACGTTTTCTGAGACGGTATTCGATGTTTCTCCTTCAGATGGCCTGACTGAGCGTGAGAAGGCGGCTCCTGACCGTGCTGCCGGCTCGGGCCCTATGAAAGAGCCCATTTGTAGTGGTTTTCGGCGACGGACGCTTGGCCGCCGATAGCTGATATGCCCTGCGTCCGATGCGCTACTGACATAGTGTACTGCTGACGGGTAGCGTGTTGTGGGCACGGGCTGACAACCAATCCAGGGACACTGTCGACTTAGAGCCCAAAGGTGTGCTTTAATGACAGGTGAACTATGATACGGTCCTTTTGTAGGATCGTTCTTGTTACTTAAATTTTAAGACCTAATTAAGATATTGGCCGCACACTTTTTGTTGTCAATACAAGTTTATGTGTGATCGTTATGTGTGTTTGGATGTTCTGCCTTCTTTAGCTGGAATACAGATTCCATATTGTCGTCCCGCCAGTTACCAGAAATTACCACGGACCTGAATTCCACTTTTAAGTCGGCCGTTAGAGCATTGTACGGAGCAAACTTTCAATAAAGCTCCTGCGGATTCCAAAGATTCTTATGCCTACCCTACCATATATTCTTATACCATCTTATACCTACGAGCTACGACGTATGGTTTTCTTATCGCTGCTCTGCTTTAGGGCCTTGGCTGTGCCGTTGATAGCAAACTATTTGTAGAAAGTGCTGAGTTGTCATTCTTTTGTCACATTCGAACACTGGAGGAGGCATTACCCTAAAGCATTCCCTGCAATCTACCATCTGGATCCGACCTGACTGTGTGGATATGAGCCGTCGATAAGTTTGCGATGCCGTCGGCTTCATTTGTTTTGGGATTTAGATGTAGCCATGCCGTATGTTTGTGGTTGTCCTCTATCATCTATCTATAACATGAAATGTTTTCTATAGAACATCTTGTTGGTGATGGTTGGCAATGAACTCTTCCATCTCCGTTTTTTGCAGCGATGTAGTCCGTCATTATTGTAAGCCTTGAAGAAAGCGGCTCGAGCCAACACAAACATGGCGCGGACACACAAATGCGCAGTGTGTTTTTATATGCCTTGCTCAGTGTGTGGAGATGCTACGTAACTGTATAATACAAATTACAATTAAATAAAACGTGATATTTCAATTTGATCTCAACCTTCATTCTTGCTTCATTCTTCAAAGTTGGATTGCAAGGCGTCCCAAATAAGCGCTGTTGGCACAGTGTACTGTGTAGGTATGCGATAAGATCTTTTCGAACAGGCTCCATTGCCATGAAATCCACTTTTGTTTGTGCTTGGTGATGGTCAGTGCATGATTGTATTGCCTGTCGATAACATCTATTTATATATATGTAGTCATCGTGATTACATCTTTCTGGGTTGGGGTGGTGTTTTATGGCCACTGCTAGAGGGCTGCAACTTTGCTTTTAGCGCATTTTGTGAGCTGACGAGATGATGACGTGAAACACAGCCTGGAGGGGTGTTCATGGGCACTGCAAACTGCTGAGTGCAGTGTGTGCGGTGTGTGCAGCAGGCATGGGGGTAGGGACGCTGGTGAAAACAGGGCGCCGGAGGGCATATTAGTCACGTCACATTTGGAACTTCTCCCGCTCCATGGGCCTTCTATATCCCAAACGTCACGTGTAAATTTAACGAACCTTGATCAAATCGCCCCAGGCGCCCTGTTTTCACCGTCGTCCGGGGGTAGGGGTTGGGTAGGCGGTTCTGACGTCATAGGCTCATGGCTGCGTGCGGTGAACGGTCCGCTGTGGCCAGTCCCGGCCGGCTACAGCAGTCGCTGTGTGCGGTGACAGAAGGCTGACGTAGGGACGCAGTAGGCGGAGCTTGGAGGCTGTGTATGATCCGACAGCACTCAGGGCTCGTGAACAGCCTTCTGATTCCAATTGATATTTTTATTGACAGATTATGTCTGAACAACAAGACAGAACAATCTGGTGTGGGAACTTACCTAGAGAGTTGAAGGATGAACATCTCTATGAATTATTTCTTCAAGTAAGTTGCATGAGTGAATAATTTTTCTCATTGTATTTTAATGGTGTGTTGCTGATGGTCACTGGTGCAAGGGACAGAAATGGGCCTCTGGGAGACCCCGAAAACGGTACCTTATTCCGATAGACCTTGTGTATGGTGCCCCCCTAGGAGACCTCTTGGTTGAAGCTCCCGTCGGTGACCTCCGTGATGAATAAAAAAAAAACCTCCGTGATGGTGCCTCCCGTGAGGCCCAAGGGGGGGGGCATGACCCCCGTGCCCCCCTCTGGATCCGCCACTGGTAAGGTGAGGTTTAAAATATGTGATATCACTTTTATAAGCTTGAGAAGAAGATTTCACGGTCAAGATCTATGAAGGCAACAATCGGCGATAAATGATGGCAGGGATTGGTGTGCTGTCCGAGAGCCGAGCGGTTTTGTAGCGTCAATTTTTTCAGTGTTTTAGGGTAAGATGACGCGGTTAAGTGGCACGAAACATTAGGTAAGTGCATTATACTAGCATGCTGTGATAATGATTAGTTTAATATAATTATAAATAAAACGCAAGGGAATGTTCACGTCTCCGACCACTAACTTGGTTGTGGTCACAGGACTGAGAGTTGTCATTGATTACAGGCGGGTCCGCTGGAGCGCGTGCACCGGCCGAAGGACCGCACCACGGGCCAGCCGCGCGAGTTTGCCTTCATCACATACGAGGACGAGGAGAGCGTGCCATACGCCCTGGAGATCTACCAGGGCACCCAGCTCTACGGACAGACGATCCGGATGCAGGTAGGCAGCGGGCGTCGTGCTCGCCCCACATATGTCCTGGACCGACCATGCGGTGGTGTAGCCACGACTGGAGCTCCGCCTATCGTGATCTTTATCTATTCACTGCTGATTGTCCATAGCTAGTTGAATTCTCATAAATCGTACAATTGGTGGGTGCAGTACGGACGACACTACCCATTCATTTGCGGCGTACTGGAGCATAGTGTGTACCGTGTATCATAGTATTACTTTTTGCAATAAATAACTTGCGTTTGTCCTTGAAAATGCGAGAGACAAGATGTAGACTAAGAACATCACTAGCTGTTCTGTAGCTGTTGATTCTTCAATATGTTTTGAAACAGAAATCATTTAATGTTCCTTAAGCTGCCCATGCACCCATGCACTACCAGTCACCTAGAAAACGTTCAGTAAGTCCTCTGTTAATTTTTCTGAGTTCTGCCTTAGACCATCCAGGCAGGCCGACGCAGCCTGGATGCGTTAATATCGTGGGGTCGTGTCCGCCGCCCCGTGCGGCCGTTCCCCCACCGTAGGGTGTAACGTATGCCCCGTCCGTTTCCGTCCCGGGAGCAGCCGCGCGGCAGGGTGAAGGAGGCGCCTCAGCTCAGCCGCAGCAACTCTCTGCCAATGATGCCGGCACAGAACCACCACCACCAACAGTGGCAGCAGCAGGAGCAGCCCTCCAACGAGGCCATGATGCGTCAGATGGCGGCGCGTCAGATGATGATGATGGCCACTCAGCAGGCGCAGCAGGTGGCCATGGCGCAGCGGTTTCCGCAGTTCGGTAACGGACCGTGGCAGCAGCCGCCGGGGCCGTGGCAGCAGCAGCCGGGACCCTGGCGGCAGCCGCCTCCGTTTCCTCCTAACTTCAATAACTTTGGTCCGTACGGCGGCGGTGGTGGAGGTGGTCGCGGTCGCCACCACAGGAGCCAGTCACACCGATGGTGATGATCGGGACTGGGGAGAGAGAATGGTAGGAAGGGAGCGAGGTCCTTTCTCGTGGAGCTGAAGCGACATCTGCTCCTAGCGCGCCGTCCGCCGTGCGACCGCAGCGCTAGTGCCGCCTGAGTGATTCGATCTCCGCCACGCCGAGCTGATGGTGGCGCTCGCTGGACTCAGGAGTTTCAGTGGTTGGCGGGTGGGTGTCGTTTTTCCGTTGATCAGCCAGTGCGGGAGAAGTGTAACCCCACTGACCCGACTGACCTCTCCGACCTGACCTGACTGTGATTTACGATGATAAGCGCTACAGCTCCATAATACGGTCATGTAAAGATGTTGATCAGTACCTCATGAGTCATAAAAGCGTACCAGTCCATACATTTGTCAGTGACCATGATGTATGTTTTGATATTGTGCGTTCCGTGTGTCGCAATGCGTACGTCATTCATTCGCGGCATGCTGTCATGCTGGAGAGTGCTTGTTCTGTGTGTTTATAAGAACTTTATGGCATGGAACTTGAATACATTTCGCATTTCATAATGATGTATACTTTACAAAACAGTACACAGATGCAAAACATTTTTATGAGCTGTGGTCGCAATTTACGTGCGTTCAGTTGATTCGCGGCTTCAACGCCGGCATGGTATTGTTAGCTACAATTTATTCGTATCACCACTGAGCCATAACGAAACACATCCTTGTCCCTGTTCTCATGTGAACTTTACGACACTTCTGCCTGTTCGTTGCGTCGTTATCCAAGCCCTGTTTTATCTCGATGCGCTGCTGTGTATGTCCAGGGTGTGTTCGGATATCAGAAGTTTGCGCTGACGGCCGCGAGTCTGCGTCTCTCAGAGACCTTACGAGGTGTCTGTGGCGCGGCAGGCGCCTGGTGGCGAAGTCGCCGGCTAACCAGCGGTCTCCTCTGACCTTGGCGACACCGGCGCATGGCACGAGCGGCACCCGTGTCCGGCCGCCGGACGGCGCTCTGTAAACAGTGCTGCACTCTGTGCTCTGTCGCCCCGACCGTCTGGGATATTTCCCTGGTTGTCACACAGTGTGGGGCTGACAGGTCGCTGCGGGACCGGGCACGTGCTGACGTGTGCACAGTGTCCGCAGCCCGGCGCGCTGGTGTCTGCTCGTTTCAGAGGCTGAGCTGCCATCGTCAGTTCGTGGCGCCAATTGACCATCGCCCACTCCATTTGCTTAGCTGAGATGGTGTGTTTTCCCTTTCTCACCATCTTCAGAGTTGGCAATCACTAAACTCGGGGCACATTTCATATGGTTTTATTAAACACTGTATGACGTTTTCAGTGTAGCTCAGTACACACGACCACTGAACATTTGCCCCTGGCCTCGCCTTAGGAGGTAGGACCATCCGTCCGCAACGCCAAACAGCCTCACACCAATGACGTCAATATCAATTGGCCACAAATGGATGACGTCACGCTGACTGCGCGGCCGACACCAAACTCTGAGCATTTAGTCAACAGGCATCCTTCGATGAGCTTACCATCACAGAAACTTATTTGCTAAACACAATCAAAGTTACAAGTTACAACTAATTGCGTTCTTGAATGTTGTGACGTATTTGCTAAAGGAAAGCGAAAACAGGCAGACGTTTGTCAAACGGCCGTTGATTAGCCTTAGTTGGGGCGAACGTGCTTTGTCGACACGTCCAAACACTGGAGTGTTGCGCCGCAGAAAGACGGTACGTCACACGACGTAACTGCGTCCTCCAGGCCCCCTGCAGAGGACAGTGACCGCGTCACTGGCGACTCGGCCCATCGTTGGGCGCACGTGACCACTGTACCCCACGAGAGGCGCCTTGTCTGGGAAGTCCATGACACACAAAGACTCATCTGCGCACTATATCGAAAGAGCATACCGATTTCCAGCGCTAACTTTTGAAAATGGATGAGATTGAGCATCTTTTGCGCTCCAACTCCACAAGATCTTCACATGGAATGAAATAATCATTCGTTCACTGTCCTCTTTTTGAGTCTTTCCATCACACTCGAGCCCTGTGGTCTCCGAGCGGACTCCGTTTGGAGGTGGCTGGCAGCGCGGACTCTGCCGTGCTTCGGTCGGCACCTGGCGACTCTCCGTCACCGTGCCCGTTCTGACTGAGGCGCCGAGCTCAGGCGCTGGCCGGGCAGCTGGTGTCCTGACTGCCGCCGCAGTGCGGGAACAGCAGCGGGTGCGGCAGACAGTCCCGGTACGCGGCCGCCGTCAGACCGTCCACCCAGCGCGCCTGGTACTCGCCGCGCGTCTCGTACCGGTACCAGCCAAAGTCCAGCGGTACCTTGTACACCACCCAGTCGACTGCCGGCGCGCAGAGCGCCACGCGCGCCGTCACCGTCGGCGAATCGGTGCTGCCGCCGCTCACTCCGTACATGCCCAGGTAGTTGCCGGGCATCTGTTTGTTCTCGAGCCAGACGCGGCCGCCGTGCCACAGCTGGCCGAACAGCCTCCAGGTGCTGTTGTCCTGCGCCGTGAGGTCGTAGGCGCCCACACCGTTCGGGTCAGCCGACAACGAGAGCGGCCGCGAGCCGCCGCTCAGTGTGCGCACGTACACCTCGTTACCGGGCGTGAACGAGTCGTTCTGATGACCTCCGACCTTCTCCAGACGGTGGGCCACGGCAGATTTGACCACGTCGCTGGCGGCCACGCCGTTATTGTCCTGCCGGGAGGTAGGAGGGTCGTCAGAACTCACAGGGACGTTAGAGAGAGATCAGAACACATTCACCAACACGGAAAGTCGGCCGAAACATTAATGTATTGAAGAGCCGGCTTCAAGATCTTCTGAATTAGAATAAAGGGCAGGGGAAGATGAAACTATACGCAGCTGAAACTACCGCCACAGAACGTGTGGCGGTAGACGAACTATCGTTGCCACTCAGTTTACCAAGAATTCATCAAATCGCATCCTAAGAGCGGAACCCGCTGCTTCGAGGATCAGAGGCGTTCCACAGAGGGCTGTTATTAGCTCCCCACCGACCACGGCCGGGGAACGCTGCTATGAGCGGCGGCCCGGGGGAGGAAGTGGATAGTTGCGATGATTGTTGTGTCAATGTAGACCGTTCACTCGACAGCGTGGGCTGTGGGCCGTAGGAAACTGGGACACAGGGAGGGTGGAACATCGGTGCTGATTGCAATGAGTGACAGCCGACAGGTTACTGCACTGTGGTGCTCTGCAGATCAATGTGTGAATGTTGAGTGTGCTACTGCATCTCTTGAACCAACCTAACCCAATAAAACTCCTACCAGTAGGCATGTCTACATCGAGCCTAGCGGCCCATCAAGTCGGCGTTATCCGCACTTTATGTTGAAACAGTTATCTAATCAGGACAAGCGTCGCCCGCGTTTGTCAGGGTTTCTGTTTGCTCGGTTCGATTTATCCAGACGTGATCGTACCACTCCTAAATCGTCCAGCGCTGAGAGACATTTGTTCATTCACTTCGTCCCATGCTCCATTGATGGTATGTCAGCATCATAAACAAGTAAGCTGCTGATGTGAATCAGCGGATGCAGTTATCTTATGAAGTATGAACAGAATGAATGACCGAACGACGTGCCCACTCGATTTACGATCTCAGACGATGGTTACGAGCTCGATGAAAGCAACTCGTAAGCGAGCTGCTTTGGTTACGGCGACCCAGGCCGGGCTGGCCGACCCGGAGCGCTCTCCAGGCCTGCAGTGCCACCGGCCGCTGACCTTGGGTGCACGCGGCTGGCCTGTGACGCCGGATGGACGCACAGCATCCTCAATCACAGAGCGGGCGCTGCCTTCCGGCGAGCGGGGGCCTGCTGCGCCCAGAATGGCGCTCTGGATCTGCGGCGTCCGTCCGTGGCCCTCCGCATCCCGGCAGAATGGCGACTACAACGTGAACTCCATAGCAGCCACGCTAAAGCGATGACCAGGCGACCGTGCAGCTAAATTTCACCGATAAACGACTGTGCAGCTAAATTTCACCGATAAACTCAAAATAAGTAAAGACTCCTCGATTCATAACGAAACGAGATGACCTTATTACTGTTTCAGACCTGCAGCGGTCATGCTCCCCTCTTTCCGTTGTGACTCTGTTGCCAGACAATTTGATGCATGTGGGAAGCTCAAAGTTGATAAGTTTGACTGTGTCTGGGCAGGGGAGGACAAACGTTTCATTGGTTTTTTTCCCAAGTGATGTTTGTAGGCACGGCATCGGGCATCCCGCCACTCGCTCCGTCTCGGGAACCTGCAGCCGGTTCGCGTTGGCGCACTAAGGCCCTAGTGACACTTGATTTCAAGTGTCTATAAGCGATTTCGGTTCGCGCTGAGCCACTAGCCTTTTGGTGTAAAATACCGCTTAGTGCACTCACTAAGGTTACGCACTCACCGTGGTTACGAGTCCCCGGCAGGTCTGCATGTGGAACAGGAAGACGGGGTCGCCACTGACGACGGCTCGCGGGTGGGCCTGGTACGCGATCACCGCGTGGCCCTCCGACAGGCCCTGGTACTTGAAGCGCAGTCGCAGCACGTTCGACGTCGAGATGACCCGCACGTCCATGTCCTTGTAGTCGTTCTGGCGCTGCAGCGAGCGGATTATCTCGCCGTGATCGAGCACCTCGACCGTGGTCAGCATCAGCTCGTTAATGGTGAAGTTGAGGTCGAGGTACTTGTCGGGCGTCGTGATGAGCTCATACTCACACGTGTTGGTCTCGGAAATGTGCGGCTCGTTCTCGTTGAAGAGCAGGGTTCCGTGCTCGCTGAAGAAGGCCTGGCCGCAGATGATCTTGTAGCGCAGTTTGAAGCCGCGGAAGCCGAGGGACTCATCCGAGTAGAGGTTGAGGACGAGGAGGTTGGAGCGAGACGTGAAGTCTGGCGGCTTTACCTTGCCGCAGTAGCGTCCCATTGGCTCGACGGTGTGCGAGCCGTCCCGCACCACCAGTCCGTCGTAGGTGCAGTTGCTGGAGGACGTGCGCGGGATCTCGATGCGAAAGTCCTCGAAGGTGACGTGGATGACATGTCCGACCGGCGCCGAGATGGTGTAGTAGCACTGCGCCGAGTTGTGGTAGTCAGACGGGTAGTTTGGCGAGGTGATCACCTTCTCCTCGGTCTGGTGGTCGAAGGTGCCACCGCACGTGTCGCGCCGCACCCGGTGCAGCGGTGTCGCGCCGGCCGCGCTCTTCAGCAGCTCCTGCTCGAGGCTGGGCTCGCCGGCGGCCGGCGCCGCCATCGGCGCGCACAGCAGACCCAGCAGCAGTCCGGCGCGCGCGGCGGTCATCGTGACGACTGGCGCCGGTCGCGGCCCGCGCGCCGCTCGGACCCCCGGCCGACGGACGGCGGGGGACGGCACGGGGCATCTCCAGATGATCGGGCGGGGGGGGGGGGAGCACAGGCCGGACCCTGAATGGAGGCGCTAACACGGGACTGGCGAGGCTTCAAAGACACATGTATCAAGTTACCCGTTTCACAGCACGACATCTCGATAATGGCCATGTGACATGCTAATTACTTCAGAAAGACATTGAGTGCCGGATCGGCCGTATGGGACGTTATTCACGAAAAGAATATTGAAGCTGATCCCATAAGGCCATAACCTAAACACAATACACGCTCAGTCACTGAGATGCTAAACCAAAACAGGCGAGATTAAAATGTTAATTCTGACACCAGGTCACAGTCACGGCCTTAGATTATCATTACTGATCGAGGTCAAAGAACATTTTTCATTGGGAATGCGATGTTTTCAAATATGCTAGGCGAGTTTTCTGACCGCTTGACCGTTTTCTCAACAGATGGCGTTAGGTGTTAACGCCTGAATTTATGCTGTGCCGCAATACTTCGCTAAGCCTTGAAAGGCGTGTGGCTGGGCGGATATGCGTACACGAGCCCAAAATGAAAGCTAGCTTTGTTGAGATGAGCCTTGACATGGTTTGATATTTGTTACACAATACACCCAGCTCAGAAACAGGACTGAACCTTGCAATGAGCAAGAACCTGAGGCTGCCTGTTGTCTTTTGCCTTAAAGTGCATGGTGTGAAATTGTGAATCTCGGACCTTTGATCGGTTTTTGGCCAGCCTGGCGCTATTTTGGGTCCGGCGCGCTGATGCTGAGGCCTCGGCGGCGCCAGTGGCGGAGTTTCTGGTCAGCCTGCAGGACGCACATACCGGTCAGATAAACAAACGGTGCCGCTCGGTGTCTGGCGCGCGCCGGCGCCGCACTTCTTGCCCGGATCGGCCGACGTTCTCCCCCCCCCCCCCGGCCTCCCTAAACAGACTGTTCTATCTCGGTGACCGGCGCCGACCCACCGCCGCACGACCCATGGGGACCGGGGAGACCTCCGATGCCAGTGGTCGGGGGGGGGGAAGCCGTCAATCAATCTGGTCGATGAGGGTGACGAGTGATGGAGAGTGACGGCGTAATCACGAGAAAGCGGAGGCGTGGACGGCTGGTTCATACTTCATACTGTGACAGTGACTGGAGGGCTGGAGGCCTCAAGAAGCTGCTGATAAACGGCTACCGTAACGCGGTCATAGATGAAACGCTATGTGTCACGCTGTCCACGCTACCAGTGAGGCCCGTATCCGAGTGGAAACCACCAATGTTTCTGATCTGGTGGAGGGTTACATGCTCATTGCTCCGCTCGTCATTGCTTGGTAGCCGGGCCCGTGTGTTTGGATAGAATCGTCTCAGCGGGCCACATTTGGTGGACGTTTAGATGCCCGAGCGACGCCCCGGGGACATCAGTGGCAGGCACCGTTCTGGTACCGACTTCAGACCCGCCGACCCTGAATTGAGATGGAACCAGCGCCACCTGGTGTCCGTATATGTATATTGGTCCGTACTTAAAGGGACCCTCCCACCTTAACATTAGATTTGAGTTGAGATAGCCAAAATGGGGTCCCTGGCTCACAATTACCGGTTTCGGCACTCACAACATCGAGAAATGCCTTAAATCGGAAATATTGAATTTCAAAATTGCAGCATTTTGATTCAGAGGGGCTAATGCATAGGAATACCCCTCTGAATGTGTGACGTCAGCGCAGATATCTAACGATTTTTAAATGTTTGACTAAAACGTTTTGTAGCACGCGGTGGTATATGCTGATTTGCGCGCAACAAATGCCGCACTTTCAAATAAAGTCGCTAGGAACAGCGGAGATCCCAAAAAGTAAACAAAAGTAAAAGTCTAATATCTTGAAAACCGGTGAATATTTTTCGATGAAATTTGGTAGATATTTGTTTTTGCTCTTTCTGAACCGAGCGACATCACTTTCATACCAATTCATGAACTTTTTTGAAGGTGGGAGGGTCCCTTTAATCCGTGGGTACCAATTATCATGTGGAAATTGCACTGTGATAGGAATATCGTGGCTATCGTGGTAGGTGCACGTTGCACATTTTCTGTTCAAGTCTAAGACATGTGCTTGACATGAGCTTCTACACGTACACACGTTAGCCGTGAAAGCTTTGCATGCCTACCTTCATGAAAAGAAGTACAGAAGAACCCGTTCAATTTAGGCAGAGAGACGAAAGAAACCGGTCCGTATCGGTAGAATCTTGGGTACAATGCATGCGATTGATTTTACTGAACGTGGATCTGCCAACCCGGTTAAACCCTTGCCGAGGAAAAACCATGGGGTAAAGCGATAGACGACGATGCACCCGCTGTCCCGTCTCATCGATTTTTTTTCGCCCATATCTCTTGGTGAAGTTTTTGGTCGTACAATGTCATTTGGGTAAAGCCTATCACGGTAAGCACTGATAAAGTCAATTGACCTCATTAGCCCGTCTTTCATACAAACAGGGACTCTGTACCAACTATCAACTAGTGACGTATCGCGGGCTTAGGGGGAGGGGGGAGGGGGTCGGTACCACCCAGCCCTTGGTACGGGCCGCCGCCGATCGGCCTCGGGATATCGGCGATATATACAAAACACCAGCCTGCCGCGGGAGGGTGACATTCTCCAGACTGCGGGCGATGACGACCCCACAACCCGCTCCCCGTGCGCTGATTGTGTAAATAGCACACGTGGCGCCACATAGTGTCATCAAGATACTGCAGTTGTTCATGGTCGCTTCTCAGATTAATGATGTCATCATGATAGGCTTGGTTCTATCTTGATTCAGTGAAATCGCCCGGCCGCCTCAATGCATTGTGTCAGACTTCAGAGCCTCATTTCTCCCCACTCACCACCGCAACGGTATAGTATGAGGGTGACCCCTCCGAAAATGCCGCTGTGGCCTGTCCCATTCCGGTCTCCCGGGGACCCTCACTGGATCTCCTACTTCCACAGACCCCCGATGTCTGGTCAGGGTCTCCTCCCCTAGGCCACCTGTCCTGCGTCCTCAAAGACAACCCCTCATTCCCCTCAGTCACATACACTATGTTATCCTCCCCTTAGACCGCCTGCACCTTGTCAAGATCTCCTATCTCCTCCCTCAGCCCCTTCAATACCGTCCCAGCATCCCTCTCTCCCCAGTGATACTCGGTCCGGTTCTGCATAACCCGTCACGGCGTGGGCCGCAGCGGTTCGCCTTGGCCCTCTCTCTCCGGCCCCGGCCCCCGTGACCGCGTGGGAGCGTCCTATGGGGCCGGACAGTGTGGGAGTGCCCTATGGAGTCACTCTCGGGGAGGGCAGGCGGCCGGCAGACGGTCGCCACTCGTGCCAGGCGCCGCGCGCTGCGCAGGAAATGATACCGCAGCACCAGGATGCGGTCTGTTATCGGTGGAGAGCGAGAGGGGAGGCACCGTGTCACTTGGGGAGACAGGGGAAGTGCGCAGGCAGAGGGGGAGGGGTAATTCCAACGCTGGTGACAAATTATTGTTAGTATGGATTCTACAGTTGTATATTCGTTTGTATATTAGTATGGATTCTACAGTTGTATTCTACAGTTGTACAGTTGTTAGTATGTATATCCAACTGACAATTAATCGTACTGGTTTTGTCACAGTTCGTCGCAATCTTACCGTTTAATCATGGTTTACGAGCGCCAACGCTCCAGCAAGAATGTGCCATGGGAGCTATTTAGCAGCCATTCCAACGGACGGGCATCACGATCGCCGCAATATCTCTATCCTTGCATCGCCAGCTAAAGCACAACGTTGTTTCCCCCATAGCTTTCGTGTGGTCCCGGTGGGCGCTAAACCCCCGGACGCTCGGCTCCAGGGAAGGCCAACGGACGTCCTCCGAGAGTGCAGAACCGATACTTGTACCGACCAGAGACGTCTCCCACTGTGTGAGGGTGCAGAGTTCAGGACGTGGTGTCCGGACTGACCGAAATTTGGCAGACTCCAAACATGTTCTGGGTAAACCGCACTGATAGAGCGTCCTGCCATGGACTAGCGTCGTCGGTAATTCACCGTCGTACACCACGAGACATCTGGCATCCTTGTACACTGACGAGTAGTCCCAAGCTTGTGAAAACTTCGTGCAATGTCCTATATGACGCACATTGCGTTACATAAACGTTTTATGAGCATCAGCACAGACTGCCAGAGTCCAAACATTTGCGGCCTACGCATTCATAATCTCAGAGTTACTCCGCAGCAGAACTCCAGTCAAAACACACGGTCTTAGAATCCTTACATTTCCAGCGAGTTTATTTACAAGAATGTACAAAATGAGTCAGAAGCACATGGATGCATAAAACAAATTCAAATAATAATTTGTACACGTAAAACCACTCGACAATCGCCGACCCTAAAACCGTGCGTAAAATCGATCTGTTTCTCGCTCATGTATCTCTCGCTGTCTATCCGCGTGGCCGCCGGGGCGGGCGGGGGCGGGGGCGGGGGCGGCGCGGCTCGCCCCTGCGGTCGGAGCGTCCAGGAGCGTCCCGCCGCCGGCGACCGTCAAAAATAAATAGTCTCACAGGGCGCTGTGCGGCGTCCTCCGAACCAAGGTAAAACGATCACAGCTGTGGGCGGACCGACTGCGGCCGGCCGCCGGCTCTCACGGCGTCACGAACGACGGGCGCAGCTTCTTCACAGAGGACTCGGGCGGCGGCGCCGGCGCTGAAAAAACGGAGCGGGATCGTCAGAGGCGAGGTACAATGTGATGGTAACTCATAGTCAGGTCTCTTACAGACAAATAAAGACACTACATGTGGGGCAATGAAAATAAGGGTTGATGATCAAAAGCATCACTCCTACATCTTCGCAGAATAGGACATCAAGATAGACCAAACGCCAAGAGGGAGAGTAAACTCTCATCGCGGCCACAGACGCCATCTTTTGTGCAGATAACTAACCACTAGTAACGCAAAGCCACACGCGCAATTCACGTTCTCACGAAATATAGTCGTCAGTCCCATTAAAAAAGCTCTCTTTAGGGAAAAAAAAACTGATAGGAAAACTGCCGGCTATAATCAGTCCGACCTCCTATTAGTCCTCCCCGTTGGGAAGTCGTCTAGGTTACTTCAAAAGACTAACTACGATTATCTATATCCAACACAACAAAACGCCTGGCCCCCATGCACCGCAGATACCGTCTACCTCAGACCCAGTAATGGAGAAACCCGTCATCCCCCGGGGTGCATTACTCACTGTCTCGCTGTTTCTTCTTCAGCTTTTTGATGCGCCGGTGAACGCGACCCAGCTCGGCTTTCACCGTGGAGTAGCGGTCCCGCAGCTTGTCAATTTGTTCGGTGAGCACCTGGATTCTCGTCTGACGGTCGGCAGCATCATCTGGGGAAGCAGGGAAATGTGGGGTTAGAATCAGAGCGGGGCAAAGACACCCACGGACGGCAGTCGCTACACGGCGTGGAACTACACAGACATACACCTACACCGATTGGCTACATTGGACTTCAAATGACGACGAAAAACACGGGTAATGCTGATGCTTTCTCAGATAGTTGCAGCAAAGAACTTTTGGCAGGGTTAGATATACTTTCAATGAGACGAGACAAACTGTGCGGATTACACTGAAGTTTAGAATAAATCTCAACGCTTTAAAAAAAAACTCCAAAAATTATCTTTTTATGAGCATACATGGAAAATATAACCTGGCTCCCAAACAGCCATGAGGAAGGGGATCAGGAAGCATTTAAATCTGAAAAGATTACACAAAACCCAGAATCCCGCCTAGCGGGGCATCCTTTCGCCCTCTGCTCTCCGGCGACTTACCGAACGTGACCATGAAATTGTACTTGTAGGCCTTCTCGGCGCGGCGTGCCTCCGGGTCCGCGTCGCCGCGGTCCCCGTTACTCCGATCGTTGAGATCATCGCTGTCGCTCACACCTGGGGACGAGGGCGGACAGTACACCGTCAGTCAACGACGGACGAAAAAAGCAGCACACAAGTCGGAGCGGCAAAGAACGTACATGACGCAGTGTATTCAATAAAAAAGCGGGTAATGTGCCGGCGAGGGAAATATGGACGAAATCGATTTTACTCGTTTCATGCAGTCATATAAAGTACCAAATACAGCAGCTACTGAGACAAGACCATTTAAGGAGCGGCAAGGCTCGGATATCATTTTCTTACAAGCTGTCCCATAGCCACCATCACATCATAAAAATCTACCATCTGCCACTCACAACCTTCGAAACCGCTTAGCGTGGCACCCGGGCCCGAAAGCCACACATTCATCAACTCGACGAAATTTCTTAGTCTCACCTTTCCCACTGCGTGCCGAGATGCGTCGGCGGCGTCGTCGCGTGCGGCGCCGTTTGGAGGTGGGTTCGTCGTCCTCGGCGGCGGCGGGGGCGGGCGGCTGCTGCCGGAGACCCCTGCCGGCCGGAAGGCTGGCCGGTGCCAGAGACGCCACCAGGCCGTTCACCTCCGACGACGGTGTGCCCGCTGCTGGGGGAGAATAGAGCGGAGACGGTTAGACGGACGGACGGTAAGTCACGAACGGCAGACACGGGAAAGACTAACGGTTACAGCAATACCGCACACAAGGATACGGGCAAACTCCGAGCAGATTTATCACACTGACCCTGAAGACTGACTCCAATGTTTCATAATAGTCGTTCCAGCCCAATGCTCGCATTTTACTGTTCATCTCCCAGACAAACCGCTGTCAGTTACCAACAACGGACTCGCTCCGCTGCCTGCCAAGTCACTGTCAGCGCTACTGACACATACACGCTGGCAGCCAGCCTCCACCGTCTGGGGCCGACAACCTCCCTCCCAGCTCTGAGCACCTACCTGACCGAGAGGCGGGCGGCCGAGCGGCGTCGGCGGCACCAGCGCCGGTGCCGGGACTGGCCTCTCCCTCGGAGGAGACTGGTGACCGGCCACCGCCAGGAGTCACCTGCGCCGAGCCCCTGCGGACGGACACACATACGACCCGTCAGAGACTGAATATAGGGCAGGGGATGGGAGGAGCACATCCTGAACAGTGGACCGTGCTATGAATGATCAAAACAGAGCACAGCTGGTTGGGAACCCTCTTTGTAATTAAAACGGGGATGAATTGAAATAATCATTTACCAGCATTTGTTCCTGTATGTCACACCATTACTTCACGATTCATAATTGTTCTTAAACTGAACGAGAAGCATCGGCCCAAAGTGTCAAGCTATCAGACAATCCCTTTTTTAACATGCATTAGTTCGATCCGGTCCATCATCCCTGCTCCGTGCTCACCGTTTGGAGGAGAATTCGCTCCCCTCCGGACTGTCGGGTGCCGACGCCACGGCTCGCTCCCGTCTCCCCTCCTCTGCTCCTTCCCTCCGCACTCTCTCCGCCTCCTCCCTGCGCGCGGCCGGCGTCCTCTCCAGCTCTGGCCTCGGACGGCCACTCTCCTCCGCCTTGGCCCGGGGCCTCTCCGGCTCCGGTTTGGGCCGCACTCTCTCGGCCTCTGGCTTGGGCCGCGGCCGGTCCGTTTCGACCTTGGGTCGCGGCTCCTCCCTTCGGAGTCGCTCTGACTCCACCTTGGGTCGGACCGGCTCCTCATGCCCGTCCCGGCGCGCCCGCTCCGTCTCAGCGGCCGGCCGCACTCCCGACGGCAGGGACGCAAACGGCATCTCCATGCGGTCCGAGGCGGCTGAGGCCGGCCGACCGGGGCCCTCCACGCGCTCCGGGCTGCCCGGAATCGTCTCCCGGCAGGTGAGGTCGCACCCGGAGCCGGCGCTCGATTTGGCCGGAGAGGAGAGGGCTGCCACGCGCCGCTCTGAGTCGGGTTCGTGGCGCCAGCGCGCGGTCGGCTCCCGGCCGCCGGGGCTGCCCGAGTCGCTCGCGGCTGCTGCTGGTGCAGGTGGCGGGGTGGCCGCTCGCGCTGCTGGCGGCGGTGCGACGGATACAGAGGGCGACGGGGCGGCCGCGGAGGGAGCTTTGGTCGGCGCGGACACCGACGCAGGTACTGGAGTAGGCGCTGGGGCCGGGGCCGGCGCCGACACGGACGTCTTGGCGGCCGCTGAGGAGGGCGCCGGGGCCGGTACAGGCGCTGAGGAAGACCCCGGAACCGACACGGGCGTTGGACGCGGCACGGGCGGCTTCTGAGGAACCGCAGCAGCGGCCGGCGCGGGGACTGGAGGTCGGACTACCGCCATCGGCGTCGGCTGCAGCCCCTTGGCGGCCGCGGGCGGCGGCGTGCGGACTGGCTCGGCGCGCGGCAGCAGCGGCTGGGCCGGCTCGCTGGAGGCGCGGCCGGCCGGGCCCGGCAGCGGCGCAGGTTTGTACTCGGCAGCGCCCAGCACCTGCGGCGCCGGCTGCAGGCGCGGCGGCGGCGGCAGCGTCACCGGCTTCACCGAGGACGCCTTCACCAGGGTAACACGACTCAGCTGGAAGTCGGTCAGCTTGGTGACCGTCAGTTTCGGCGTGATCACGGTGCCGGTCGTCGACAGCGGCGGCTCGGCGCGAGAGGAGGGTGACGGCGAGGCCGACGCCGCCCTCTTCTTGGCCGGCCGTCGCGGGCTCGGGGTCTGTCCGGGCGCGCGGCGCGTCGGCGTGCGGCGCGCCGCCTTGCTCGGCGTTGACAGGGGCGATCGCGCGTCGTCCCCGGCCAGCTTGCGCTTCTTGCTTGGGGACGGCGACAGCGACAGGGCCGGTGAGCCGGGCGATGCACCCGCTGCCGCTGGCGACGGGGCGGTGCCGGCCGTGGCGGCGGGGCTGGACGCCGGTACCGGAGGCGCCGCCGCCGCCGTCGAGGGCGGGTTGTCCGCGGCGCCGGGACTGCGGCCCGGCCGCGCTCCGTACGTGTTTATCACATTTTTCAATTTGCTGGACGCATCGCGCGCCGGAAACCCGTCCTCGCACTCATCGGTGAACTCATAGATATCACTGACGCTGCTGCGCGTATCGGCGGGCGCGGCGGCGGCAGCAGCGGAGGCGGGGGCGGGGGCGGACGCGTCAGACGTCGAGTCCGCCTCCGCCTGGCGCGGCTTGGGTGCAGCACCCTCGTCCGAGCCGGCCTGCTCAGTCCGCTCAGCACTGGCGTTCGAGTCCTCCTCGCCGCGAGTTGCACTCGGCGACGCGGCGCTCTTCACCGGCGTTTCGCTGTCGCGTTTCCGGACACGTCGGCTGCCGCGGCGTGTCGGCGTCGTCTTGCCGTCGTCGTCGGCGGCGTCGGCGCCGGTACGGCTGGCGCTGGTGGTGGAGCGCTGGCGGGCCAGCCGGCGGCGCGCCGCAGCGCCGTCATCGGTACCCTCGGCCGGCTCTGGCTCTGAGTCGGAGGGCGCCGGCGTTCCTGGTGACGGAAACAGCCGCAGTCAGATGAAACGCCCACAAAAGCACGGCAAGCAGCACACACAATAGTCATATCCAGAAGACTTCGCTACCGCGGATCGCGTATTCATTACAGTACGTAACATATGGGAGCGTTTATACTCTTTACATAGGCCGTGTATATAAGTCTGTAGTGAAGGAGTGTGGCAAAGGTTACCGAATTTCGTGACATACTTCAGCCCCATAATTCAACACCAGACGTTCAAGCTTAGCTAATCTCTCTAATCTCTGTAATCATCTCACACATTCAAATCACCCTCCTTTTCCAACCACTCTACGTCCAGTGCCAACCCGTGTCCGTAACGCGTCCGTTACCTTTCCGCGTCGTTTTCCGGTCGCGCTCGGCCGACTGTCTGACAGCGGCGCGGCCGGAGCTGCCCGGGGAGCGAGCCACATCCGAGGCCGGCGTGGAGCCGCGGGTGGACGAGGCTGCCGGCGCCGACTGCACCACTGGCGAGCGGCCGCGCCGACCGCCTGATGGAGACGGCACTGAGCCGGCCGCAGACGCCGCCGCAGTCGCCGCCGGCTGGGACAGAGGCAGAACGCGGTTAAATGCCAGTCATCTAAAATGAACATTGCCTGCATGCCTCATCAAGACACAATACGCTGATTTATACTATCAAAGTCGGCAAGTTTCTGCCAAGTGCCAATAATGATGATTTGTAATTTTAGGGCACCCGGACTTCAGACAAGAGGTCATCGACGCCCATTTTTGCCAATAGATGCAGCAAAACATTCCCGTCTACAAAAGTCGATCAGCCCGTCATCTCCAGCCCAAATCGGCTTTCTCACAGCTCAGGCTTCTAACAAACATCTAAACCCTGCCATCCCCAGCGTTTCCCTGATAGGCAAATGGTTCTCACCTTCGTCTCCACACGACTGTTTCGGCGTGCGCGCGTCGGCGCCCAGCTCAGGTTCTCTATGATGCGGTTACGCTTGACCCACTCGTCGTAGCGCTTGTTCCAATTGAGATAGTGGATGAAGTAGCGACGCACTGGGCTGACCGGGTCCACCTGCAACACCTGGGGAGACAAAACGGAGGAGGGTGGGTCAGACGGGCCGACCAAAGCTCAGACAGACGGTCTTTACGGCGTGCTAAGGTTATCCCCAGCAGATGTTATCACGAGATGTTAGCACTTGATCACAAAAATTTTGGATATCCGAATAGTGATAATGGAACTTCAGACTGTGAGACAGTGATGGATACACGCCGTAGTCCGATGTCCGATGTTAGCATGTCATTAGCGTTCGTACAACGGACCTAAGTGTTCCCAGAGCCTTCCCGGGTGACGATCGAAATCGTCATTAATGATTGTTTACAAACTACCTTCCATTTTAATATCATCACTCACTGCGCTCCCCATCAGACTCCCAAAGGCGGATCATCGCCTACGATACCACCTCGAACTACGCCCATCACACAAACCTTAGCCTCGTAGATGGTTCTCTCCTTCTTCGAGTTGATCTTGTACAGGACGGAGACCTTGTCTCCCACCTGTACGTCCACGTACGGAGGCAGCGTCTCCGGACTGCGGGAACACGACGGAGAGCACATGTCAGAGGGTTGACATACAAAAAAAAAAAAAACACACATCCGATGAAAGCACGCGACACACATAGCAGACGGTGAGGTGCACCACACAAGGTTGTCAGGCAGGGCAGAAAGGGGACCAGTCCCATACGTCCACGCAATGAGGCGTGAGGGAAGATCGATTGGACAATTATAGAAAGGCGACAGGGTGAAGAACTAAATCAACGGACACTCGCTGATGGTTATTACATTTTTAAAACTACGACACGTTGCTATTTTGTGATCGATCCGTAATGTTATGAAACACCAACAACTGTCAAGTGTCACGCATTCTCAATACGCTAAATGTCAGCATCATGCCAACACACGACCACTCTAACTCAGTATATAAGGCAGCGTATCTAACTTGTCTTTCAATTTCATTCGTCAGCGAATTCAGCATCTTTATTCGAATCTCTGCGGCCCTTGGCGTGCAACGTCCCATCCACTGCGAGAGACCCCCATAGCGAGGCACCTCCCCCACCCTCCCCTCCCCACGGCGTCGCGGCGGTGCGCGCGCCGATCGAGCCGCGTGAGCCCCTCCCCTCTCCCCTCCACCTCCCCAGCCGAGCCTCCGCTCGGTGACGTCACGCTCACACGGCCGGTCACGTGACCGGTCTCGGCGCGTGGCCGTCCGGCCGGCCGGCAGGGGGCGGGGCCGCCGCCTGCCCTCCCCTCCCCCCGCTTCCCGAATGCCACGGCGGATCAGAGTGGAAGCTAGAAAGACAATCCCGTGATTCCGGACTCGGTGGAAGGAATATGGAGAGAATACGGCCTATATTCTTCCTCCACTCGGCGGTAAGTTGATGGACGGCGTACCCGCCGGCCGGGTAGAGGGGCAGGGGTGGGGTAGAGTGGCGGGGAGGGGGTCGGAGAACTGAGGGGTGTTCACGGGCACCGCACACTGCTGCGTGCGGTGTGTGCGGTGCGTCCAGCAGGCGTGGGGGTAGGGGATGGGTAGGCGGCTCTGACGTCACGGCTGCGTGCGGTGGACGGTCCGCTGTGGCCAGTCCCGACCGGCCACAGCGGTCGCTGTGTGCGGTGACGGAAGGCTGACGTAGGGACGCAGTGGGCGGAGCTTGGAGGCTGTGTGCGGTCCGACCGCACACAGGGCCCGTGAACAGCCCTCCGGTCGGGCCGGTCTCCGCGGGCGGCCGAATTTCATAGAGACGCCTGCCGGCTCCGGGCGAAGTCAACAAGCCGGCGGGCTGTGCACGGCTAGCTCTGCGGGTCAACAGTCGGAGGGGCGGGCCGCGTACACCGGAAGAAGGGATTGACCGACACCGCGCCGGCATCCAATGCGGGTTGCAAACACAAGAAGGGAGAGGGACTGACGGGGCACCACGCCGGCGTGCGCCGCGGGCCGCACACGCAGCGCGGCGGAGGCAGGCGCACAACACTGCCACTGCAGGGCATGATAGGCTGCTTCCCTAAAGAGGAGGAATCACAATACTAAATACGGCCAAAGAAAACGATTGTTGATAGAGTTGGTGGCAACACGAGACCGCCATCTTATTTCATGATTTAATTTTCTACCAGGGTTCATCATTACAGAATGCTAGCCGTATAGTATTAATGCTTTTGGATGTTTCAGGTTATTGAGTATCTAGTAACGTCACGCAAAAACTCTGTTCTAGTTTGTTTAGTTACTTGACCAATACAGGTGATGGGTACTAATAAAACAACTTTTAACCACAGCTATGGACTTTCAGTCAGGAACGTGTGAAAACTGTCACGTGGAACACGCTAGTCTAGACATGGCCAGCCGACCGCATTGCTACCTTCTGGCGGCCCGAAGCTTTTCAACCTGCTCAGCCATGCGTTTCATGATTTTGCGCCTCTCTTCGCGGTCCCGCCTGGCAGAAAGGTAAGTGATGATAAGCCACCAGCAGCCGATAGCACAGGGGCATTATTCATCAGAAGCAGTCTAGAGCTTATGCTCAAGATAAGCTTGTCGAAAGGCAGCGCCAAGAGTTCAGCTATTTACAGACGTTGCCTGACGATGGACAGGAACGATTTTACATTCCTGCGGTAATTGGGAACTAGTTATAAATAGCTTGTTCAGGAACGTTGTAACATACCTACTGGGTTTACTTGCTCCATTCTGGTGAGCATTGTATTACCGGTTTATCATAGATGGAGACCAAACTTCATACAAGTTGGGTCAATGCAATACCAAATGCAGCATTATATAAAAATTCAAGCCAGCTTAACCTTAAACTTGCATGAAATACGTAACGTTTCGTGGCGGGACTGTTTTTACAGTAAAATGCGGCTGTTCTTCACCCGGTTCCCCAAACTCCAGACGCCCGTGTCTGGCCCCGCAAGGTACCCACTGGAGCAGCAATATTCAGCCCGGCGTGGTGCAGCTCGGATCGTAACGGGACGCTCAGAGACCTTTACACGCTGTGTCACCACGTGAATAAAGTTTAGCTATTTGGAGACGAAATAGCATAGCGTGTTGCTCCTATTTGAACACAAACCCCGCTGGATTCACCTATGCCATTTCAATTACACATTTTATTAAAGGGACCCTCCCACCTTCAAAAAAGTTAATGAATTGGCATGAAAGTGATGTCGCTCGGTTCAGAAAGAGCAAAAACGAATATGTACCAAATTTCATCGAAAAATATTCACCGGTTTTCAAGATATTAGACTTTTACTTTTGTTTAATTTTTGGGATCTCCGCTGTTCCTAGCGACTTTATTTGAAAGTGCGGCATTTGTTACGCGCAAAGCAGCATATATACTACCGCGTGCTACAAAACGTTTTAGTCAAACAATTAAAAATCGTTAGATATCTGCACTGACGTCACACATTCAGAGGGGTATTCCTATGCATTAGCCCCTCTGAATCAAAATGCTGCAATTTTGAAATTCAATATTTCCGATTTAAGGCATTTCTCGATGTTGTGAGTGCCGAAACCGGTAATTGTGAGCCAGGGACCCCATTTTGGCTATCTCAACTCAAATCTAATGTTAAGGTGGGAGGGTCCCTTTAACCCCAAATGCCCTCAACAACCAATGCAGCAGAGTGCAATCGCAATCCTCCACCAATATGGATGCAGTTATCCTGAGATAACTGAACTGAAAATGTCAGGATACTGAACGCATGATAGCCGTCCGATTTCCTACCAAACGTAGAACCCGACAAACCTCGTAAAAAACCTACAACTTATCGCAGTATCCAGTCACATAGTAGACTACACAGCAGATGGCCAACCCACCCAGACAGCCACTCCCGATAATTCTCCCCGACCGAGTACTCACTCATCATCGTCGGGCGACTCGTCTTTGCGCCTCTTGACGGGGCCGCTGCGGCGGCGCTCTCCTGCCGCCGCCGCCTCCGCGCCGCCAGCCGCCGGGGCCGGGGCCGCCGCTCCCGGCGCCGGAGAGCCCTTGGTCTCGCGGAAGCTGGGCCGCCGCTCGCGCGGCTTCTTGGCGGGGGCGGGGGCGGCGGACGAGGAGCTGGACGCCTTGTCAGACTTGTCGCTCGGCGCCGGTGACGCGGACGACGCTGACTCCGACTCCTTGTTACGGGCACGCAGAGACTTGGTCTGTGAAAGATAATCATCAGGACATACTGTAAGACGAGTTGAGGTTTTGGGCGTCCAGATTACGGAGGTCATTTGCGCACATGTATCGCGAGACCACGGTATACATGGATGTATCGCGAGACCACGGTATACATGGCAGGATAAGTTCGTATGGCAGTAACCAAAGAAACGTACGAATTAAGTTGATTAAAACAGAATACGTAGGTACGCCGGAATAGTACGAAAGCACTCATTATATTTAAATATGACTCGAGCAAAAATATTACGTACACTTAAAGTTAGATACTTTATCACTTCCGGAACCACTGTATGCTATTTTCCCACCGTCCTTCTCACCTCTGCATCCTTTTCCTCCGTTTTGGGCTGCTCCTCGGGCGGCTCCTTCTTCACATCCTTTACATCATTCTTCTTCCCCGTCGCCCTCCTTTCCAGCGAGGCAGCCCGCTTCCTCTCTGCCTCACTGCCGCCCGCCGGCGTCGCCTTCTTACGCGACTTGGCCGCGGGGGTGACTGGCGTCGATGGCTCCTCTTTGACTGGAGCGGCAGCCGCCGGCGGGGGCGGCGGGGGCGGGGGCGGTGGAGGCGGCGGCGGGGCGGCCGGAGCCGGGCTGGCCGAGGCCCGCTCGCGCTCCTTGGCGGCGCGGCCGGTAGCAGGCGCCGGTGACGCGGCCGCCAGCGGGGCCGGACTGCCGCTGGAGGCGGTCCGGTCCCGCTCGCGGATCAGACTTCGTCCGGAGGACGATCGGACCTTGGTGCCGCGGGTGTGTGACACCAGGGTACAGCCCAGCTTACGCTGGAACTCCTCGAAGTGCAGTAGATACCTGCCGGGCGGAGCAGGGTCAGTGTCAAACCACAGGCTGGTAACTGGGACACGGTCCGGCCAGCTGTTACGGTAAAGCCGGGGTAAAGACGGGATAAAGACGGTAAAGCCGTGCGGCGATCACAGCTGACTGCCTGGTGCTTCGAGGTAGTTCAACACTCAACCACATTTCCCAAAGTCTGACCGAGAGTCAGACGGGGCTAAAGCGGTCTCAATAGCCACTGGCCGTGGTAAGCAGCAAATATCCGCCAAATGATCCCATTCCACTCCAGCCCAACAAAGTGTGCCCAGTCACAGAACTATCCCCTAGCGACACAGGCCAGAAATAGGACATCTATTCTCAGAACGGCATGAAGTCGTTACCATTCGCAAACAGCCTTGTCAAGCTAATAATAGCATCAAATTCCACGGGGATGTAAAATGAACCCGAAGCCCTTACCATGCTGCACCGACTGAACCATCTGTTAACAACCCTAAATAGCCGTCTCTTCCCATGAGTTTCCCGAGCGTCACTCACCGCTTGTAGGCCACTTTGACCGAGTTGGTATTAACTGGACTGGACGAGTCCTGCGTGAGGCGGGTGCCGACCGTCTTCCACACGTTCTGGTTGGTCACCTTGTTGTAGCCGCCCTGCCGCTGTACCACCTTCCACAGCCGGTGCAGGTCCAGGTCGCGCGCTCCCACCGTCGGCGCCCGGTTGATGGGTGTGCCCCGGTCGTCCATGAACTTGTACAGCTGCGCCACAAAGTGGTCCTTCTCCTCGCGAGACTCTTCGTCCGAGCTCTGTGCGGGAACGGATGGGACGGGGAAGCGGGTTAGTAAACGAAGCTATCCCCATGCACACTATTGAACCGACCAGCAGGAGTTCAACACCCAGACATCAGAACTAAACGATGAACAAACACGATAAAACGACGAGCAGCGATCAGTTCCCGGAACAAACCCCAGCCTCGACAGCATTTTGCATATCGCATAGTGCCACGAATCCTGTAGCGGTCGATCAGGCAGTGCATACCGTACAAGTGTGTGTCACGCCCATCCCCCAACCCAGACTGCCTCGCTGCCGCACCCCTACCTCGGAGTCTGACGCGGTCGTGTTTGTTTCCGAGTCGTTTGTGCCAAACAGCGCATCTCGGTCCCAGTGCGGCGGCAGCTCGTCACGATCCAGGTAGTGCACCGCCTTGTCAATCGCTGAGGGACGAGAACGAGAGGTCAGTGTGTGCGAACATATGGTTAGGGAAGTGAGACACTCAGACAGGTGATCTGCAGCAGAGCTCAGCAGGTGGTCTGGATACCGTCTACGGGGGAAATACCCCATGATCAGCCGCGCTGGCAACGCGTAAAAACCGCCATCGTGAGTCACGAAGCAAAACACATTGCTATGAGTCTCATATAGGTACCACGTTCTAACCACCAATACCTTTACCATTGCCACCTCACGCTAATTCAGCCGACCCACCTTGCCCGCCCGCCCTTCACGCCAGCCCGTCCGTAACCGATACCTGTTTTGAGACTGTTGTTATTTTTGGGCACAAAGTCGCGCTGGAACGCGCCCGTCTCCTTCTTGGGCACGGTGTAGTAGCGTCCGTCCTGGAAGCTGCGCACCAGGAAGTCCCGCCGCGCGTCGATCTGAGCGGTGGGCGCCACCACCAGCGCCGGAAACCAGTTATCCTACGGGAGGCGAGGGGAGGGCGGTCAGCCATGTGCGCGGGAAAGGCGGTAGCGAAACAGAGATTCCAGAGCATGTAGAAATATAAGATAGACACACAATATAGAAACAGGCAACTTGATAGAAATCATACCGAAGGAATTCACTCTTTTGTATAAAACGACTGTCCTGACTTCAGCCGCTGTATGACGCGGAAGCACCTACATCCCGCAAACAGTGAGGTTTCGCCAAAATAAGTTTCGCCAATCCAACCTACAACTCCCTAGCGAGTGCAAGGAGCACGGTTTCTGACGATCCCCACACAAATCCCCGTCCCGAGAGCCCGTCTCCGTGCGTACCTTTTTCTTCTTGTTGTTGTCCATCTCGACACTGACCACCTTTCCGACCATCATCAACCAGTCAGAGGTTTTACGGGCGGCCCGCTTCGTCGGCGAGCCCTCTGTGTCGGAGTCACTGTCTGACTCACTCGAGTCATCCGACCTGAGAGTCACGGGGGAGAGTCAGACGGTGGTAGGCCTGTGGCGGATGAATTTCGTGCGCTGTGTCGTTCAATAAAATAAATCTCGCAAGATTGCCCTTCCCACAAACAGCGCAGACGCTGTCACCGAGAAAAAAAGCAAGAAGTCAAGACATCACACGTTCCGGTCGACAATGGTCAGTAATAGGTCAATTAGAGATGACATTGTGCCGACAGCATCCCAATTATCATCTGGATAGCTAGCTCCGACTGACGACAAAATCAATGCTTCTCTCACAAGCACATCCAACTATAGCATGCTAGCTTCAACTATCATTTTTCGGGAAAGACAGACGCCAAAAGATTCATTGATGAAGGTCGATGAGATGCGGGGATCGAACAAATAACTTATAAATCCACGGAAGCGACTATTCAAATCCCTCAAGTGCAGCATAAGGATAAACGTCACTTCTCTAAATCATACAAATCGCGATTCATTGCAATTGATTGCAAAATAACTACCGGGTTGGACCAAATCCAGGAAATTTTAGTACGCCACAACAGCTGAGCACAGAGCCTCAAAACATTAACATCGATTAGCAGCCACCATAATTCAGCGGCCGACAATAGCAGTGAAATCCACAAGCCCAACGAATTTCTCTATGAGTTTAAATAACACTTACAGTGCAATCAGGCTGCTCATTCTCACACATTATCCCCCCTGCACTCTTTCCCACAAGCCCCCTCCCCGCTTCCCGCCCTGCCTGCCCTCAGGGCTCAGTCCCCCTGCGTGCCCCGCCCACCCCACTCACTGGCTGGCGTTTCCACGTCGTCTCTGCCGTACTGGGTTCGAGAAGTGTTCCGGATGTGTCAGCGGCAGGTGGTCCAGAGACTCTGCCTCGGTGAAGTGCCGGCCCGATTTGAGACAGAGAGACGTCCGACGTAACGTCGTAATGTCACCGTCGTCGAACACTGCCGGTGGTAGAGAGGTGGGTGGTTATACGATGGGAAGAGTCGGAGAGCGCCTGGACAGGCGACAGCTCAGTGGTCACAAGACACCGGTTCATCGGACGCTACTCCCACAAGGTTAAACAGGCACCGGGTCATGGGGTAGTGAGCAAACGATCAAAACTCCAACATTTAAAAGCCAAAGCCAAGCATTCAAAGCTAAACCCCGGTCAAATCGGCACCCGGTTACCGGGCAGCAATCACATGGCCCGACTCCCAGACGTGAGTTCCCGTCAAAAGCCCGGTCCCAATTACAGTCAATAGCGCTGCCACGGACCCGCCCTACAGAACATCGGCAATCTTAGCGGGCTCAACACATGAACAAATGAGAACAAGATGTCCCACTTGACCTTCGAAACAACAAAGCGCCAGAAAACCACCTGAAGACACCACACTCCACTTGAGCGAGATCGAATTCAAAATCCGACCGAAGGCCGGTATCTTACCGACAGTATACTGGCTGGTGTCGAAAATCTTCACCACCACTCCCTCGAAGTACTGTCCTTTGTCAGGATGTTTGACTTCGACGCTGGAGCCCACGTGCAGGCGACCCTTGATGTGCTCATCACTAACCACTACCGTTCCCATGTTGAACTTGAGGTTAACCTGGAGAACGCAGTAGTAGTCGTCACACACCACACACAAGCAAGGGACACAACGACAGACTGAACGACAGACTGACTGCTTCTCAACCAATGACCTGCCTCCGGAAGCCACAGGGGCGGGGCGGTGCGGTGCGGGGCGGGGCGGGGGCGGGGAGGCACGAACCGGCGAGTACGGTCACAAGGGAACGATAAACAGGCCAGCCAATTCCGCCGGCCGGCGCGATCGACACCAAGACGCCCGCAGAATGCGGCGGTACCAGTGGTTAACGAGAAGTGGCCGGAAGATTGTGGTGGCGGTAGCAAATACTTCTATCACAAATAGGATCGTAGTAAGTGGGGTACGGTATTGATTCGAGAAGTACCTATTGTACCGTTCGACGACACAGAGTGGTCACGATACGACAAAGAAAATAGCACCGATAGAGATGTGAAAATATGGCGGTGGGCGTCATTAATTCGTGCTCCCGGAAACTTCAAATCATGCCCATCAAAACTGATAACGGAGGGTTAATTGATTGGTCGTGAGGTTGGCAATGGTGAAGTCATTCTAAAAAAATCCCTAAAAACTCCCAAAGCTAAAACAAGACGTGCTGGAACTTGTTCCCAATGCACTTATGCAGTACAAGCTCATTCATCGACATAAGTAACAGGGTTGGCATTTTTGCCGGCAAAAACTAGTTTTTGCCATTTGCCGGTTTAAACCGGTTTTAACCGGCATAAAGTGGCAAAAACTGGCAAAAACTAAAACAGTCAAAACGCTATGCCTCTACATGCGTTTGAGCAGGACACGTTTAAAGTAGGATTCAGTCAATACAATATGCTTTCAAACAGAAGTGGTATCTTGACCATTTTAGTGTTAAATAGTTCCGTGAGTCCTCTATAATTAACCAATAAGGCGCCTTTTTGGTGAGACAAATGAGAAAGTGCGCCGGCGGGCGGCGAGTATTGAAGAAGTGGGAAAGGGCATCTGCCACTGACTTGTGCACCGGACCCTACGAACCGGTTCCTAACAGTGTCAGTGCCAAATTTGTGCTTAGTCGACGTAGCCGTTCTCCCAATCTGGAAGCGTCACCCCGCACGTGCGCACGTGCAAAATGGACCCCGACCGACTATGCACGACACCCTACTAATCAGTCCCTAACGGTGTCCCAATTTGAGCGCAATCGACCCAGCCATTCTCGAGGTCTGGTCGGAAACGACTCCTGCATATGCTCATGTGCAGAAGCACACCAACAGCGATGCATGAAAGTGCACTTCCCGGTGGACATCTATTGACTACCGACAGACATTTTAAGCAGCGGTAAACTAGCGAGACAATGCTTACTGGGTCCCAATGACAGACATGACTTTGTACATTTCAACCGATTGCTTTTTAGGCAAACAACGCAGTTTTGGCTACTTGAGTTTTTGCCAGTTTCTGCCAGTTTTTGCCACCATGGTTTCTGCCAGCCGGTTTAAACCGGTTAAAACCACTGGCAACAACCAGTTTTTGCCACCCTCTGCCAACCCTGATAAGTAATACGTCCCACGATCTGCGCCCCCAAATTGGCCCACCCCGTTCCTCCAGTCGCCCAGTCGTTTCCACTGCGCTATAGACTGCTCATACTGACCTTGGCCTTGACTTGTTTGACGACCTTGCGGACCTTGGCCTCGCAGAAGGCGCCGCGGTACTTAGCGCTGACCTCCGTGCCGACCTCGAGGTAGGCCGGGTAGGCCGGGTCATCCGCCTGGATGCGGGCCATCCGGCCGGCTGCGCGCTGTGCTCGGCGCGGGGCTGCACTGGACGCTACCCAAACAGAAACAATAACACCTGCCGGACACAGAGGCGGGCGGTCAGCGGACGGTCAGGTCACAGGGCTGACCGCAGGCGAGAGGTCACTTTACGGGTCATTGGTTGGATGACGGTCATTGGACATACCAGACGAACACTCACTCGGGAACAGGTCAATGTCAGCGGGGCAGTCATCGGCCAGTGGATAGGTCAGGTTTGGCCCCAGGAACGAAGGACAGACAAGTTGCGGCACGTGCGAGCCAGAAGGGCGCACCGTCGCCACCTGCCGCCGCACGCAGCCGGCCCATACCGGCCCGCCACCTACGGGGAGAAACGCGAACTAAAGCCGCAGTAACTAACGTCAACGCTTCCCGTACGCTCAACAGGCAAGGAATGGGATTATTGGCTATTGCCAAAATATCCTAACCTTAATTTAAGGCAGTTTTGCTGAATCTTCAGAAAGACAACACTCTTTTTAAAGTCAATTGAAAGATATGAGAGAGTGGTCTGTGCTCTTTTCATGGATAGCTTTAGTAGAGCAATACTGAGAACCAAAGTTGGCTGAGAACCAATAACATAATTCACAATATCTTCCCATTCTATAGAGCTTTAAAAATGATATTTGACCACTATCCAGAATAGACATTTGATATGTAGTTACTCGACTGCAGATCGGCGCGTGTCCAACTCTCAGTTATTGTCCGTGGATTTTGTCCGTGACCTAAGGTCAGATCCATCCTATGCCGAAGGTAGGCTAATATGACTCAATTGTCCTCAGATGGATGTGAATTAGTTCCGACGATCGATACATGACACTTCTACCGGCGGAGATAGTCAGAGTTTGTGAGGGGGAAGCCATAGCCATTGAAGCTCTAATTCGTTTTTACTATAATTTCGCTCATTTATCAGGCTGCATCCACGATGAACTCTTACGATAGACGCGACAATAATTCGTTTTGACGCGGATTTCCCGTTCTCGATTCTCGATACTCCCTTCATACTAAGGGTAGGATCGTCCATGGTTACACTTAGTCGTTCTAGGCTCAAATCATTCTTGCACACATTTTTTGTAAGGATTTTTTTCTCGACCTGTGTTATGTCACACTGGTCCGTCACTTTTGAATACCAAATATTGATATCAATTGAAGGTCTTTGCAGTAGAACATTGCCCAGCAAAGAAAAAAATGACAAAAACTGAAATAACTGTAACTATAGTATACTATGCATTGTGTAGCCACTAATGACAAGTGATACTAGGTATGTCACTAAGAATCACCTTCAGTTTCTCGTCAATGACCTAGCAACTGGTTTTTAACAATCAAGTCTACACCTTCTTATGCCCAATTTCGGTGGCAGTGCACACATTTCAGTAATAGTGCAGGTGATTTGGACAGTATACCTGGTCTGTCTGAAGCAAACTGTCAAAATCGGTTGCACTATTACTGAGCCATGTGCAGTGTGCACAATGTAAGTCTATATCTGGCCGTAAAAGGCGCAGTCTCTGGCCATTGGCAAACGGGGAAGGGACTTTGCTGTTTTGACCGCCTCCCCCAAATGAGCCAAAGCTTCAAGGACAAAACAGGTGTGTGCGTCATCATAAGACGTACCGATTGGTACACAATTTTAAAGTCTCAGGTCAACTGGTGACCTGAGGTTAGGTCAAAGACCAAAAGGTCGAATGTTTGGTGAATACCTAAGGTAAACATTGTCACAGGACAACAATTTTGGCACAATCATTTCTGTCAAGTCTAGCTAAATCAAATGGCAGACTTCTTTGTCTGGGAAAAGCCAACTCATATGCTGGACTCAGGTCAATGCCAGATGAATGACAGCCAGGTCAAAAATTGGTTAAAGGAGGACATATTGCTTTCCATTCGAACTGGCCAGTCTTGTTTAAGTCCATTTAGTGGGTTTCCCTGTTTGGTCGAGGTATTAAAAAAGCTTCAAAAGAGCTTAAATGACTCAAGTGATATAAAATATGTCACACTGACCTAAAGTCAAAAAATTAAAATTAAAATAGGGATGGGACCTTGTAATTAGGATGTAAAAATGCAATTCCTAGTGCACAAGATGGGACTACATCATGTCCAGTAGGTATCAAATAAGCATTTTCACAGTTTAAAATAAATAGTTTTTTCATTTCACATTTACTTATGTGAAATGTGATTGTGTGATTGCTTGAACAATGTGACCTAAGGTGCTTCTTTGAAAAATCTGAGATACACAGCTTGAAAGCACTCAGAAGCTTCCTTCACCCTCAAATATTAATCTTCCTTTGGTAGTTTCCTGCCACAAATATATATATATATAAAATGAACCATTTTTGGACCATGCAGAGGCTCAAGTATATCATCAGCTAGTGATCTGACTTCAAAATGTGATTGATGCCAAAAAATCCCAAATAAATCAAAGTCAAGTTGTACCAAAGGTGAACCATTTATCTGCATTCTGTTCTGAGATATTGCAGAGTAAAATAAACATCTTGGTTGCACCAGGACCAGTAAGTGTCAGGAATTACTTGGTAATTCCAAATTAAGGTACTGCTGATCTGATCTTTCAAAAGATATGTTCACCTAAAACCTTTCATGAAAATCAAAAATTGCTTAGTCCTGAGTTGAAGGAAAACCCAGCTCAGGAGACTGAGAGGATCAATTACTAAGCAGCTGCTGCTATATAATATATAAATTCTTAAGTGTCTTCCACTGTTATGTTCATTTGCTGCCCTTCAGCAAGAGCTGAATTTAATCTAATGGTAAACTTTATGGGAGTAATTTGATCCCAGGCACAGAACAAAAGTACCATAACAATCAACAGAGTTGAATCTGCCTAGAACACATTCATGATCAAATTTAGAAGGCAGGTGCTAAGTGGGAGATAGTGGTATCTGGCTTACAGAAAAAGTTAAGAAGATTATAAATTCTAACATTGCTTTTTCTTAGTTTACATGATCATAATATGACTAGGTACCTACCTGATAAGACTTTGAAATGTGAAAACTCTCACGAAACATTCCAATATTTTGTGATAATGAAGCAAACTATGTTTCTAGGATGCCTGGATGAAGAGATGATTTTGGCCACCTAGACTGAATTTTAGCCCATATTCTTAGGTAGTTGATCAAGGTTAAGGTTAAGAGTAAGGTTAATGAGGTAGGTTAGACATGGTCTATCTATGTCTTATGATGATTTATGATGACTCTGATTGTGCTGAAACTTTAAAAACATGATTAGCTCTATTGAACAGGTGGCTGCGTGCATCACTGCCATATTCAGCAATGCTCAGCTTTATGAGAACTACCATTAAAACAGCCATATACCTACTGGTGTTATAAAACTGATGAATTAACAGTACTGAGCAACAAATGGCCAAATTTATATGTCAGGTTATTCTTTTATTCACAAACTATAATAATATCAGATTCAGGTTAAAATCATTCCAATACTACAGCAACTTTTCGGCATTAAACTTTGGAAAACAAAAGCCAAAAATACGAAGTGCCATTACATTATGCTCCATATAAGAATTGTGTGGATACACTCAGCAACTCTTTTGAAAGAGAATGTTCTTGAAAATCAAATTAACTTACAATCATGAAAAATTAATAAGAAATCAAGGCATATGCCAGAAGAAATACCAAAAAGATAAGCCAACAGGACACTGGCAAGAAGGAAAGTAGGTAAATCAATATGTGGAGACCTTACAATGGTGCAGTGAAATGATAATCAATGAATAAACTGTGAGCCAAATGAGCACCAAAATACTCTTTTCACTCTACAATGCGGTACATAAAGCTTTGAAGCTGAATCAGAATGGAAAACGTTACAGTTACGAATGAAAGGCAGCAGGCGTGGCAATTCAACAGCAAAATATCAGTAAAATGAACCCTCACCTTTATAAGGCTTTCTTCTGGCAACTTCTTACTGGTAGCACACAGATAAAACATGAAAACCTCAGTAATTCTACTTTAACTTCCAAGCTTCGAGCGCCTCGACCCCATTGCAAACGATTTCACGACGACAACCGCGGCTGTCTGCGACGAACAACTTGCGCCAGAAGTTGGCAGTGTGCCAGTAAACAAGGATGGGAGGCATTTAGTATCGATACTTGTTCCTATGCCAAATTTTAGAAGTGTTTTGACTCGTATAATTTAAAAATTCACAAAATAAACGTTACAAAAACTTGTAATATATGTTTTCAAAACCACCCAAAGAAGACAATTGGCTTATAATAAGTTTTCAAGAAAAGCAAAGAACCGATCTTCTTTATCGATAGCATGAATATCAAATATTTAGTGGAGTTTTATTTTCGCGATTATATCGATAGGTCATTTTATCCTTGAGCTAAGACCGCCAAATTAGCAGAGAGGTGGCTGATTATTTTTTTTTTGTTGTTGAAAAATTGTAATTGCGGGGCCTCGTGTGGACTGGATAAAGATAGTTCTTTTTGTTTCATCCTTTTGAGGACTCCTGAGCTTAGATCAAACTCTCATGTCATATCGCGTTGTCACTGGTCTGTGTTATTTCAATTTCAATTTGTGCTGTCATCAACATTGCATTGGTGTCTGGAGGTCTGGATCAACTGCTGCATTCACCTTCACAGTAGTTTTTGAGCTTATTGCACTTGTTATCTTGTTTTTTTTTCTGAAAATTAAAGCATTTGAAGATTGAAATTGCTCCTTTTTAGGTGTCACTGACGTCAATTGTTCCAGTACAAAGGAATCTTGAAACAGATTCGGATCAGTTTCGTACGAGAAGTTGAAGGTATCAAGTCAAAGTGGGGTATGTTTGTTTGTAAATGAATTGCAAATTTCTGAAAGCCCACTGAAGTAAAAGACATTAAATACTTATTGCCTACTATGTACCTTTCTGTATCATTTTTAAAGATTTATGTGATCTGTGGCATGGTGTGCCCAATCATGCATAATTTGACGAGTTTATTTTTTCAGGTGTTCCACTATGGAGCATGATGAAGAGCGTCAAAGGTGGATGTTTGCTGAACATGATGAACGCTGTGAAAATGGCGAGAATTGTGTTGAGCCAATGAATGCAAAAAGTCCCAAGCTACATAGAAGAGTTGGCCATGTTGCTGTGAAGTACAAAAACTTTGTAGTTGTTTGGGGTGGATATGAGGTATGACATGATCAAATATTGACTATACTAGAATTCCCTTTTATGTTACCTGAGTATATTGAATATGGAATGATTCATTGATGCTTTTTGTATTTTTTTCTGAAAATGTTTTGACTGAATTTCATTATTGCAGGATGATGAACAGTATGACAACAATGCATACACAAGGGAGCCCTATTATCACCCTGCAGATGAAGTGATGCTCTATGACTGTGAATATGAAGTTTGGTGAGTGGTTGATGTTAATATAAATGCGAGTGAAAGTGAGTTTTTTCAAGCATTTCAATAGTGTTAAATGATGAAAAGCTGTAATAAATGCATCTTTTTTCATGCATTTTTTTGTCAGCATGAACTATGCTTGTAACTGGTGTTACCTTTCCACTGCTCTTGCAGCCTGCTGAGGCGTGCCACATATTAGGAGTGTATTGTGTACTCATGTAATTCTCATCTAATTAGATGCCATACTCTTCATTAATGAAGAGTATGGCTCTGCTGAAATCCCTGATAGCCAAGCTATTGACATGAGCCTGTTTCCGTGTCTCCTTCTAGGCACGGCGTGCGGATCCACGGCGACCCTCCCCCTCGGCTGTGTGGGGCCACTGCCGGAGTCATCGGCGACAGAATGCTGCTCTTTGGCGGTAGGTGGATCATAAAACTGGGTGGTGATACCGCTTCAGTATATAAGCAAATAGCAGCTGAAATGGGGACCTAGATATGATAGGTACTAGGTAGTGTCACTGATATGCGTACGATCTTACGGTGTTTTCACCACCGGGTGAAAGGTTTAGTGCTGAGGGACTTTCTATGCTTACCGATGATATTATGCCCCGTTTAATGATTCCTGGCCACAGAGAGCATCGCTTATAAAAACTTCGATTTATCCGTCTACCATTGCTGCCGTTGCAGCTGCTGTGCTGATAGTTAATATCTCACCCACCTCCGTCGGACAGGGTTCATGGAAGACCGTCAGCTGGGCACCTCTAACGTGCGTACCGTCTACGAGCTGGACCTGAACAAGATGGCGTGGAAGCAGATCTGGGCCGACGGCGTGCCGCCCCTGGCCTGCGACAAACTCGTCAGCTGGTGCTACGAAGGGAAGTGAGTAATGTTCCGGGATGCAATGGCTCTACAGGCGATGCTAATGTTGTGCTTGTACGTTTTACGGATGTATTCAACTTAAAACGTTGTGCTTTGCGGATCTATTTGAAAGGCTGTCGTTCGATACTTCCTTGTCTCCTTTTTGCATACGCGGATTGCGGAAGTTTCATGGAAATCTTTGTTTATTTACGTGTTACGTAAATAAACAAATTTACGTAACACGTAAATTTACGTGTTTCCGATATCTTGTGTTGTGATTGGTCAGTATGGTTCAAATTACTAGAGATGACCGTGACACTGGCTATAGGCTCGCCACACGGCACACAGTATCCCGACGCACCGTCCCCGAATATCTGTCACTCCGTACCTCTGCAGATCTTGGTCTGATTTCTGACGGCCACTCACCGTCTCCAGGTTCTACTTGTTCGGGGGGTTCGGCCCCTGGCCGGACGACCCGGGCTACTACCGGGACGTCCGGCTGGCCGCGCACCCGGGAGCCATGCGCGAGGATCGCTGCTGGAACGACCAGCTGGTGCGACTCGCGGACGGTCGGTGGGAGTGGCCCGAGACCAGAGGCGACCGACCCACCCCGCGAGCCGCACACGCCGCCGCCCTGGTCGGCAGTAGGGCGTACATCTTCGGTGGCCGACTGGGCAACCGGCTCAACGACTTCTACTGCCTCGACCTGGAGACCATGGTCTGGACTAAACTGTGAGTAATGAAGCGAGGAGCGCAGGGAAGTTTAGATGGGAGGGACAAATGGCGGCTTATATTGGAAGTGTAGTTGGGAGGGACAAATGCCGGCTTTTATTGGAAGGTCGATTTACGGCGGTGACTCGAAATATGATGCGACTCAGTGACTTCTGGGGGGGGGGGGGGGGCTGGAGGAGTGGTTCTATGGCGAGTTGCTATTCCTGAATAAATAAACCAGTATAACGCCTTTTGTGGCGACTAACGGAGCGAGCGAGAGGGTGGGCCTTGCACGTGCGAAATCGCGAGGGGGTACCTCCAACTGACTTGTGCACGGCACCTTACTAACCGGTCTCTAGCGATGTGCCAAATTTGAGCACAATCGGCCCAGCCGTTCTCGAGATCTGGAAGCGGCACCCTGCACGTGCGCACGTGCAAAATGGGTCCCAACTGACTTGTGCACGGCACCCTACTAACTGCTCCGTAACCGTGTACCAAATTTGAGCGCAATCGGTCCAGCCGTTCTCGAGATCTGGAAACGACCCCTGCACGTGCGCACGTGCAGCAGCACCCCAACTCTGGCACATGGATATGCATTGCCTAGTGGGTGCCTACCTACATGCCAACTCTCAGCGCAATCGGCCCAGTAGTTACCGAGATATTGCAACAATTACAAAAGTGACACCTCTTGGTTTTGCACGTGGCACGTGCATAAGGGGTCACCCACATGCATCGGGAATAGTGCAATACTTGGTAGAAGGAATGAAGCTACCCTACAAAAATTACCGCATGTAAATCGGTCAAGTGGTTGCTGAGATATAAGCCTCGCAAAAGCGTGACCACGGCCGGCCGGCCGCTCATACTCAGAAATTTCCGTTAATCTAAGGAAAGACTACGCTCGCTTCGCTCGCTCCGTAATTAGGTGAAGTAGCAGATCAAAAGCTCCCCGACGGGGAATCGAACCCCGGTCTCCCGCGTGACAGGCGGGGATACTCACCACTATACTATCGAGGAGTGGGTGCTGGGTGGTGAATTCAACTTTCGGCCAAAAGTGACTGGACAGACTGTAAGTTGCGTGACGTAGGTGCCATAAGTTGCGTGACGTATGTGCCTTCAGCAGTCCGCTAGCCGAGGGACGGTCCGAGTCCCAACGAGTCCTTACAGGACTGACTGGATTCAATGGACGATAAGAGACTGGCTGTGGTGTCGCCTTAGAGCCGGGGATTGCTGATTGTTTCTCTTGGGCAAATAGTGTTTTTTTTTTGTGTGTGGACGGCCTGCTCCATTCGACGGCCTTCGTTGTTAGGTATGTTCTTTACGTCAATTATCGCGGCTACGGGCTACCCACCTGGTTTACGGTATCGAAGCACAATAGCACTGATTTGGTTATCGGTAGACATCATTATATCATCATTATCGGTATCATATGGGTGATGAAGAAGGCAGTAGCCTTTGAAAGCTACCTTTATATAAACTTTACTGGTGTTCAACAATTATTTTTACCTTAACATGTCCCAGTACAACAACACTGCCTTTAAAGTAAAACGGTATCATCATTGATTGCTTATGCCGATGTAGTGTGGAGGAGGTTAGTGCGGTAACTTACCACACTAGAGCATCATGTCTTTTCTGCTGTCATATCGTGAAATGGCTAACCGGGCTAGTTATCGTAGGTTACGTTACTAGAATAGTTTAATCGTGATTATAGATGGTTGTAAGTGGCGGATTAAATACGCATGGATGATTGAATATTCATAGATGTCGGACCCGTACGAGTAGCGGCGGAACACCTTCAATTAAGGGGGGGGGGGGCACTGCCGACTTTTGGTCCCATTCTTTCCATGCAACGCTCATAGGGCTTATGTCAAAATGCCAAAATCAATAGGGGGCACGGTGCCCTCCTCATTCCGCCGCCTATGACCTGTACGATTGGAAACACTAAATAATCGTAGTTGCCGGCCTGCTTGTCACTTCCACAGTCTCATTCATGGAGTAGTGACCTGTTTCGGTTGGCGACACAGTCCGGCCAGTCTGTGTTCGTATGCTGCTCTGCCAGGTAGTCACCACGCTCCTGTTTGTATGTCTGTTTGTGACTGTGACACTATCCTCTGCGGCCGCCACAGGGAGCCGTCCGATCCGGCCGCGCCGGTGCCGGCCGCCCGCTCGTGGCACTCGCTCACCGCCCTGGACGATCACGGCCGTCTCCTCCTCTACGGCGGGTTTGACGCACTGAGCCAGCCGCTGGCCGACCCGTGGATCTGGAGTCCGAGCGGTCAGCGGTGGTCGCCGTGCACGTGGCTGAGCGAGCCGCCCATCCGCATGTGGCACGCCGCCACCCCCGGAGAGGCCGGCGAGGTAGTGCTGTTTGGCGGACTGGCCAGCAGTGTGCTACTCGATCAGCCCACCTACGCGTCGGGATCGGTGTTCCTACGAGAAACGCCCAAGTCGCTCATCAGGTTAGTACTGACGGGGGAAAGGTGAGGGCACTAGCTGATGTTTTTTCGGTGTTTTACGCTCTGTTAGTTCTGTTTGAACACCGCTCTCCCGTTTCTAACCTGAAAGAGTTACCAGCAGGCGCCAGGGGTTGCGTTATGGAATAGTCGAATACCGTAGTCACGTATAATATGACGTAAGCAAGAGGTGCTCGTCCTTTCGGAGTTTGCTCCATCCTGGTTTTGAGACCCGATTGGCAACTCCTCGATAGTATAGTGGTGAGTATCCCCGCCTGTCACGCGGGAGACCGGGGTTCGATTCCCCGTCGGGGAGCTTTTGCCTCGTAAGCTCCATTTTGTCTTCGACTATCAACTACTTCCCCATATCTGTTGCCAACTAAATGTTAGTTGGCACGCTATTTTCGTAGCCATACCTGCTGGTGAGCGTTTTTTTTTTGTTCTGACGCCGCTCTCTCTCCCGGCAGGCTGTGTCTGGACGTGCTGGATGCGAACCGGGAGACGTCGGTGCCGCTCGTATGGTTCACGCCGTCGCCGCTGGCCGATGGCATCATCGCCCGGCTGACGGCGTGCGGCAGCAAGCCGGTGGTGTGATCCGAGTCATCCGCGGCTGCCCGGCGGCCGGCATTTGTAACTGGCTGTGGTCGTGCGACGCCAACGCCAACTCAACGCGTGGTGGCGATACAGTTCCGTGCGAGTGGGAAAATCGTGGCATTTCAGCGGGAGTATTTGTACCGTCTGCCAAATACGGGGTGCGCTTTCTGAGTATGAAGGTGCGCGGATGGGAACTGAGGGTGCTGTTCAAATATCAGGTACGATACGATTTGTGCGCGAGAGCGTCCGCGTTGGTGTGTAAAGCCGGCGTCTTACTGGTATCTGTGCGACTGTCTGTGCGAAGTTTCTGAGATCTCCAAACAGGTCCTAGTCTCTGAGGAGCCGTTTATCCTCCTGGCCTCCGATATTTCAACAAAGACGCTCACCATGCAAGCTTATGATGTGTCCAGCCAGATACTTCGTAAGTGATCCCCAGTCACTAGCCTCCTTTCCGTTGTACTAACTCATCGATTGTTTCTGTGGTGTCCCGCAAACTCAATTTGTTTCCCGAAACTCACCTGTTCCCTATTCGGTCTCGTAAACATTCACATTGATCCATTACTTTTTATCTGCATCGTATTCAATTCGTCATTTCCCCGGTGTTGCCTACATTTTATGTGTTTTTCCAAACGTTCTTCATTTTTATCTGTTCCTCACTTTAACCCATTTCCTGCATATTTTCCAGTCTGAATGAGTCAGTAATTGGTCATAGGGCGGTGGCCACTCCCGCCCGTGCCGTCCTCCGCTGTGCGTCCTCTAGTCCTGGCCCGTGAGCCTCCTGCCTGCCTCCTGAGTGGGCGATTTCGCCGCCTGCCGCCTCCGGTCGTACAAACTCTGGTGAGTTGAGAGCTAACACTCTGTCACATGTCCCGAGTTATGTGCCCGTGATATGCATTGGCGGGTAACACTGGTGTGAGTTAGCTGGAGCCGAGCTGTGCGATGACCCGTGATATAAGCGTGACAATAATAGTGACGGTACAGGCCAGAAGTGAGTGAGGCTGATGTTTAGTCGTATTCATGAGAAGTGCTTTCAACTGATACATCTCTGGTGACCCCCATGAAGTTGTGTTTTAGCGTGTTGTGTATGATGCAAGTGTGCAATATCGGCTCAACGAATAAACTCAATGCCTTTGAACGCAGCTTTGGTAGTTTTTTTTTTTTTTGGATAGGGTACTTTTTGCATATAAAGTAATAGGCCTTTCTCAAATGGTTACCAGCAAGGACAAGGAAAAGCATCGTTGCTTTCGACCTTCAGGTGCAGGTAGAGGAACGGACAGTTCCAATGCCAAAAATACGCGCCCGCATGAATAAAAACATGAAAAAAACATGAATAAAAAAATAAAGATGTATCAGTTCGAAACTAAACGAATCTGAGGCCCGCCGCTTCGGTTGAAGGGAGTTATGTAACTGACGCCCGGTCGGACGGGGTGGGGTGGCGTCTGGACAGTGTGAGAATTGCTAGCCGTCCCTGAGTTCCCGGTGTTTCCTGCCGCCCCGGCCGTGGCTGCACCAGCGGCGCTGCTGGTGATTGCATCCATTGTCACCGAACTGGTTGAGCAGAGCTCAAAGTATAGCGGACTCACTTTGATGTATCCGTGCCATTTTGGCCCCGTTTACCTTTTCATCATACCCTGTCCCTTACTTTCATGGTCCAAAAAATTGAGTTCCTTCAGCTTTCATCCGAGATCTGGGTCGACGCCAAAACGAGTGAGCATTCTGCTGAATATGTCTCGCGACGACGCGAAAAATCAAGTGCTCTCAATTGATATTTTTCTGCAGTTAACTTGGCTTCCAAATTCGCTCAGCATTATCGTTGAAAATTGATCGTGTTAGCTCGCAAACCGTCACCTATTTCAGACGGCTTTGTTTTCAAACATTCTCGTTGTTTTCGGTGCGTGTTACATAAACCTTTTACCAAGCCACCCTTACTTAGGTACAAAATTTCATTATGTCAAGTGCATCGTATCTGATAAATTCTTCTGCACCCTGCCTCATCGCGTGACTCTGCGCAAATTGTCCGCACGTTACCCCGGTGTTGGTATTGGGCGTGACTCACCCCGGCGTACCGACTCGACAGAGTGCGGGGATCGTCACGTGCGCTCCTACGCTGAGCGGCCGCCCGCGCCGGCGACCGGCCGCTGCACGGGACTTGACCGCCGCCTCAGCCGCCTCTGCCGCCGCCGCTAACGACAGGTCCCGTGCCGCGACCTGCGGCAGTGCTGCAGCTAGCAGCGGCGGCTTTCTCCCTCCGGCCGCCCGTCGTCCGGTCGGGCTGGAATAGTTTCGCGGGTGGCCGCCAGGGGCGCTGCTGCGTCGTGTCGGCAGTGGCGGGCTGCCGGCGCCCGCCGCCAGTGAAGTCAACGCCGCGATGATGTTAGGACGGGTTCTCGGCACCGCGTGCCTGGTGGTGGTCGCGCTGGTCGCGGCGCCAGCCGCCGCCGAGCAAAGCTACGAGACCATCGATAACGCGCCTTCCAAGGCGGAAATTGCCGAGAAGGTGCGAGACTTGTTTGACGATTTCTTCGCCTGGCGACTGGAAGACAATCCGGAGTTCGCCACTCAGGTGAGTCCGCCGCTCCGACGAGTTTTGCGTGCGGAGTTTTCAAGGCGTGTGTTGAGCGCGTAATAGCTGATTTCCTCGTATTGATCAAATTGCTATCTGTTTACTGAAATGAGCTCATTTGCTAAGAAAGTCGATTTTTTTAAATCTGCAATTATATCCCATCGTCTCATATTTTGATGTTCGTTCAACTGAGTGATGCCAGTGCAAAATGATGTCCGCAGTCCAGGAATTTCAGAGTCGGCTCGCCCACCCACCCCTCCCTCCCGTCGTCACTCTACCCCTCCCCATTGGTGCACGTGTTGGTGCGGGGATGGCCGCATTTGCCCGGTCAGACCCGTATATAAACAGAGCTACCATCTCGACACGGAGAGACACATGGGCGCCGGTCCCGCCCCCGCCCTTCCGCCCGTGACCCAGCGCTCTCCCGTCTGTCAGTCTCGACTCTCGTCTATTCGGTGCGGTCTGTTCCCTCCACGCCCTTGTCCGGCCGTCCTAAAGTAATCTTGGTCCAGTTTCCCCATTCTTTCTGGTTAGACGTTTCCCGGTCTAGTTAAAACGTCTGTCCGCCTAATCCAGCCGTTCTCTTCATTCGCTCCGACCGTCCGGCCTCTCCGTTATTCGAGTCATTCGTTCGGCACCTGTCGTTCTCCTGTGTTCTGTTGAACTCTGTCTGGTCCTGTCCGTCCGTCTGTCTCTCTGGTCTGTTGGTTTCACCCAGGTGTGGCCACATCTGCCCGGCACTGCTCGGACCACGCCCCTGTCCGGTGACGCCTGCTCGCCCTGACCGCTCCCTGGCAGCGCGCCATATCCGTTCACGCTGACATACTGTTCGTCCCAACCCCGGCCACGCGGTGCGGCCGGCCGGCGTATATTTGGGAGACGCCCCGGCCTTCAAACAGTCCAACAGGTGTCGATTCTGTGAGAGGGAGGGAGAGGCAGCCTGGCTGCTGGTCTGTTCTGTGGATATCTGAATGGACGTGCAGAGTCTCGTTCAATCTGACCACTCTAAACCGTATTTTAGGCGTTAACAGCTCTTTCATTGTCGGTTCTTTGCTTGCTTCGCCGGTTCGCGCTTCGACAAGTATCGATTCGGATGCGGTGTGATTTGTGATTCGGTGTTTTGATGTGCCCGCGTGGTACACATATTTTTTCCATGTTTTGACAATTGTCAGCCAGTCCTATCAGGCTCGTAGCTGTACCCAGTGCCAAGCCATCGGGTCTCCCAGTTTCCCCGCCCTAACCACGCTGTAATAATCGGTGGTAGGTGGCTGCTGACCTCAATCGGACCGCATGGGCAGCTGGGGAGAGGGAGGGGAGGGGAGGTTAGCGGAGCGGGGAGCCACCGGGCGCGATATAGGCTCACTTTCGTCCACCTGACCTTGGGACGCCGACCGTGACAGATTTTGGAGTTGGCCTCAGGCAACGCGTCTCACCGTACGAAGTTTATGTAGAGACAATGCATCTGACATGGCGTTTGGAGTCCGGGCCTAGTACTTGGTGTCTCACCGTTCGGAATTTGCTAGAGATTGTGTGTCCCATATGTCGTTTGTCGTCGGTTTGGGGCACCTTGTCGCCCGAGAGACTGTGTCCCACACACACATCTAATTCGTCTCGTCGCTGGCCTGAGTCACCATATGTCTCATTCTCATAGCTCTGAGCTGGCCCAATCACCATCCGCATTCCGCTGTCACTAGTTGGTGTAGGTATCCGTGCGGAGGGGGTAGACCCATCTGCGAGGTGACTGACATCACCGGTCACCAGCCTCGAATCACCAGTCACCAAACAGTCACTGCATGCGTGGGAGGCACGCCACCCGGGCCGCGGCATGCGGCCATGACGTCATGGCCGAACGATGACTCTTCCACCCGGCTCCGTGGTCAACTCCAGCCTGAACTCCAGTGCGCTCATGCTGATCGATATTGTGGTATAAAGCGATATTTGTTGGTGGCGATGAGTTTGTGTAAGGTTGATTTTTTCAGTCGTTCGTTCTTTTACAATTTCAGCTACACGAACAATTGATTCTGTCTACCGAGACTACTGGCTATTGGCTAATTCAGATGGCTACCAAGTGACCGCGGAGAGATGATGCATAATACTATTGTGCACAGTGTGCAGTGAAAGGCACCTCGCAATAATGCTCCTTGCTCGTATTTTGAGCTCCATTCGTCAATTCATCTGTGTGCCGCTTTCTCCAGGCCCCTCACGCTCCGTTCTTGCGACAGGTGTCGTTGAGCGAAGGTTTTATGTCCTCTTCCAGCCTGGTTTTAGGCCCACTTCTGATGACGTCGATGACGTGTCACTTCTGATGTGATGAGGGATGACATCCCGCCAGTCAGGTCGGGGAAGTCTCAACTCGCTCGACCGTGAAAGTACCTATATTTGATGTCCGTGAAGTTAGCGTCAGCAACAGCAACGAATACAGCGTCGGATTCAGAATCGCTTAAAAAACTCATATTAGGTCAATTGGGGGACGGGGAGCAAGAATATGACCTTTATTTGGCCCTAGCTCTTACCCCTTACCCCTTAATCGGCCCTTAAAGGAAGGGGCGCGTCAAAAGTGCCTCAAGGGTTCGTCTGATCGCCAAAATAAGGGTCGCAATCGATTCCCCGGGTCAATATCTAGCCGCAGCCTCGGGTTCCAGATGTGTGCAACTTACCCCTTACCCCTTAATCGGCCCTTAAAGGAAGGGGCGCGTCAAAAGTGCCTCAAGGATTCGTCTGATCGCCAAAATAAAGGTCGCAATCGATTCCTCGGGTCAATATCTAGCCGCAGCCTTGGGTTCCAGATGTGTGCAACTTACCCCTTACCCCTTAATCGGCCCTTAAAGGAGGGGGCGCGTCAAAAGTGCCTCAAGGGTTCGTCTGATCGCCAAAATAAGGGTCGCAATCGATTCCTCGGGTCAAAATCTAGCCGCAGCCTTGGGTTCCAGATGTGTGCAACTTACCCCTTACCCCTTAACCCGCGCCCGGCTGGGGGTCCTGGATTTCCACGCCCTGCTGGGGGGGGTGTTTGAACACCCCCCCTTGTAACTCGGCTCCTGGGCCACGTAGCGATACGCGGAAGGCGGCGTTCGAAAGAGCGTCAAAAATAATGACGAAATCACTTCAGTCAATTTTTTGGTCAGGTCAAAGGTCAGGTCACCAGAGGTCATTGAAGGCAAATTTTCGCCGATTTCCAGGTCGAATGTCAAAAATTTCCAAGAAGCCAACGCATAACTCGGGAACCAATAGAGCTACAGCGCCGCGGAAAAGCGCATTCGATAGCCCTATTAACGCCCTTTCTGAGTAATTCTCTCAGATTTGACCTAACGTCAACGGTTTTGCCTGCAGGGGGCAAAAACTGCAAAAATAGCCGATTTTTTCGGAAACAGTTTTTCTGCAATAACTTTTGACCCAAGCCCTGTACGAGCTTATTTTTACCGGCATCGTGTTCCTCTCGTCAAGACGCATCGAATGAAATATAACTTGACCTTGAAAGGTCAACTTGAAAATTTGACCTCAGGTCAAGGTCATGACCTGACCGGAAAGGGTCATGTTGCATATCAGTCGATCCGTATCGTCGAGCTGAACACATCTAAGGCGTTTTCATCGCTCTAGCATGCCTCTATCAAAAGTTATTTGCGAAAAACTGATAGATACCATTCGTGACCTAAGATGACCTCAGGGCATAAACAAGGGTCACGGACACCATTTTCATGTTCAGTGTGTCTAAACCACTTGTAATTCGGTGTTTGGGAGTGTTTATAATGTCTTTCGTCCAAAAGAGGCGCATTTCAATTTTCTCCCATTGACTTATAATGGGGAGGTCGCAAAATTGACCTGACCTTAGGTCATCGATATCAAAATTCTGAGATATACATTTTGTACATGCTATTGCTCTTAGCGATCGCTGAAAGTTTCAAAGCGATCGGTCACTCGGTGTAGCTATGACAGACATTGAAACTTTTTATGAGGTGAGGTCACTTCAAGTGACCTGGTGACCTGACCTTGAATGACCTTGGTCTGAAATTTTCACAACATGTGTAGAATTGATGTATGATAAGGTGTACCAAAAACGGCGGCGCTCCGCGCCGCCGTTTTTGAGATATTCGCGAAAAACCACAAGGGGGGGTGTTCAAACACCCCCCCCCAGCAGGGCGCGGGTTAATCGGCCCTTAAAGGAAGGGGCGCGTCAAAAGTGCCTCAAGGGTTCGTCTGATCGCCAAAATAAGGGTCGCAATCGATTCCCCGGGTCAATATCTAGCCGCAGCCTCGGGTTCCAGATGTGTGCAACTTACTCCTTACCCCTTAATCGGCCCTTAAAGGAAGGGGCGCGTCAAAAGTGCCTCAAGGGTTCGTCTGATCGCCAAAATAAGGGTCGCAATCGATTCCCCGGGTCAATATCTAGCCGCAGCCTTGGGTTCCAGATGTGTGCAACTTACCCCTTACCCCTTAATCGGCCCTTAAAGGAAGGGGCGCGTCAAAAGTGCATCAAGGGTTCGTCTGATCGCCAAAAAAAGGGTCGCAATCGATTCCTTGGGTCAATATCTAGCCGCAGCCTCGGGTTCCAGATGTGTGCAACTTACCCCTTACCCCTTAATCGGCCCTTAAAGGAAGGGGCGCGTCAAAAGGGCCTCAAGGGTTCGTCTGATCGCCAAAATAAGGGTCGCAATCGATTCCTCGGGTCAATATCTAGCCGCAGCCTCGGGTTCCAGATGTGTGCAACTTACCCCTTACCCCTTAATCGGCCCTTAAAGGAAGGGGCGCGTCAAAAGTGCCTCAAGGGTTCGTCTGATCGCCAAAATAAGGGTCGCAATCGATTCCTCGGGTCAATATCTAGCCGCAGCCTCGGGTTCCAGATGTGTGCAACTTACCCCTTACCCCTTAATCGGCCCTTAAAGGAAGGGGCGCGTCAAAAGTGCATCAAGGGTTCGTCTGATCGCCAAAAAAAGGGTCGCAATCGATTCCTCGGGTCAATATCTAGCCGCAGCCTCGGGTTCCAGATGTGTGCAACTTACCCC